CGTGAATGAGGGTTTCGGCGGCCTGAGCGGTGAGGCAATGGCAGAACCGGCAATGTTGCGGAGGTGGAGGAAAGCAGAGTGAGTCATGGCAGGGATATGGGGTAGAAAGGACAGTTGAGGATCAAACAAGACTCGAAGATTCTGGACTGGCTCATTGAGTTGAAGTGTGCATCCCTAGATGTTGTCAGAGCCTGAGGTGTGGAGGCATTGATGGGAGCCAATCAGGAGGGTCTCGGTCTTATTGATGTGGAAGCTGATCCCATGTCTGCGAATGATGATACCAAGAGGGAGTATGTACATGTTGCAGAGGAGAGGACTAAGGGTAGAGCCCTGAAAAATGCCACAAGAGATGGTGCGGAGGCTGGAGGAGAAACCGTTTGTGGAGACAAACTGGAGACGGTGTGAAAGGTAGGATCTGAACCAGTCAAGAACAAACCATGAAGGTTAAGGTGAGAGGAGAGGCGGTGAAGGAGGATAGAGTGGTCAACAAAAGCATAAGCACAACAAAATCAAGCCTGTAATACCATTCATGAAACTAAAAACATATGGATAAGCATAAGAACACAGACAAAATGACAAGTGACCCCTGTAGACTTGGAGTTTGATTACAAAGTCTTAACTGAAAAAAAAGTTCAGCGCTTTAGGGGAAACTGAAGACACATGTGTTTAACCCTTAAACCATTGAAACCTCTTCAGTGATCATGGTTAGCACAGGCCATTCATCTCCTTCTACAAAACAGTCAAGAACGTATTGTTCATCAACATCCCTGGATATCCCTGTTAATCCCTGGTGCTGTACCACTGCTGTAAAGTTGGCTGTAGATGGTTAAAAAGATTTTGTTTCTAAACTGGTGTGCTTTCATGAGAAAATCACATATAAGTTATGTTGTTGTAATACTAGGGTGTTGGTTCATGGAAAATGCAACAATAAAAAATATACAGTGCACCTGCCTAAACATACATACAAACTCTTCACTGTATAGTAACAACAACAAAATACACTTGTGTAGCTCCTTTCAAGTCGGAAAGACATCCTAGGTTGTTGGTAAAGGTGATAACATGGGCTTCACAGATGACTAAGTATCTTTATGTACTGTGCTGTAAATATCACCTGAGTGACACAAAAGAATCATATAACAAATGCTCTTCTAAGAAACCAATAATGAGTCAAAGTCTGTAATTATTGCATAATATGCACTGGTAGAATTCCCAAGCTAAATATAAGCTAGAGATAGTTCAGGACTAAAGAATTTTTCATAAAGTATGGTGTAGTATGGCCGGTCTCAAGACCTTTCTCTTTGACCGTGCCTTCAGCTCCCCTCTCGACTCTCTACCCCCTCCTCGCTCCCTCCCTTCCCTCCCCTCACCCTGACCATTTCCCCCCTGCTCAGGTCCTGACCTAACTGTACAGCGCCTTGGGATGTCCTCCCGACGTGAAAGGCGCTCAATAAATGGAATCTTGTTGTTGTTGTTGTTGTCGTACCTATGGACACAACAGATAACATTTTATTAGTACAAACCTTTACAGATTTTCACCCTGACCCTGAAGATTAAGTTATTTCATGTCAACATCCAGGCATTTAAAGAGAAGCCTCCTGAGTTTTGAGTGAAGGATTTTATTTTCTTGTTGATGTCTGTGGGAAACTAAGGTTAGATTGGCAACACTTACTTGCAGGTTGATGAATTTCAAGAGAAAGGATTTTAAGATTATTAAAATCACTTTATTTCCTCCAGGTTCTATTAGGAGAACTCTAGCAATCTCTTGTCCAGCAGAATGACAGGTTATTGAATGTCCAAGCTGTTCCTTATCTGACCCTGAAACCGAATCTTGGCAACAATGATAATTTGCTTTTCACGTATGATCAATATCACAAAGTACATTACAGTAGTCACCAAGCAGGAAGGAAAGGAGGGGGAAATTAGAGAATGTTGACCAAATACAAAAAGTTGATTTTTATAGAAGTTTTTGAAAGCAAAGCGAGAAGGAGCAAGATGAAGGGATTTTTGATAACATTCCAAAAAGTGGGGGCATAAGCAGTATTTAAGTCTACAGACAATCCTAAGTAATTTTACATTTATAGAGGCCAAAGAGTCAACTTTGAGTGCAAATTCCTTTTGTGCATGTATGAGAGATCAGTTCAGCAAGTAAACTATTGCATTGTCAATTCCAAGGAGGAGTTCAACTCAGAGAGTGAGTACACGATTTCCACAGCAATCTGATGCACTTCCAAAGGAAGCACAAGTGAGTTTCCCTCTTCCATTCATTTAACAATGGATCACAGCATTGTCATTTGTTCACAATCATGTAGATCAGTTCATTATTCTGCAAACAAGACAATCTTAACACCTCAGGAAGCTTTACATTGATTATTATTTTTTGTAGGTAATGCATAGTCATTTTGCACAAAAAGTCTCATAAACAACCATGGTGTGACTGATCAATTTATATTAATAATAATAATCCTTGCATTTGATATAGCACCTTATCACATCATTGAGACATCTCAAAGCGCTTCACAGGATACACTGTAAAGTGTAGTGACTGTGTGTTTCGTGGGCGAAACTTGGCAACCAATTGCACACAACAATGTTCCACAAATAGTCATAGATTGAGTGACTATATCAACCAATAAATTTGGAGGGATTATTACCACTGGAAAGTGATCTACAAATCGACTAACAAGCGGGTTCCTACTTACTGCTGGGTAAACAGAGGTGTGCGTGTTTGTGGAATAACAAAACTTGCCTAAGGTGTCGCCCTGCCCGGGAATCGAACCTAGGTGCTTTTGCTTGCGAGGCGAGTGATCCAACCACTACAGTACAGGACTCATGAGGAAGGTTGGGGAGAGGGTTGGGGGTTGGCGAGAGGGTTGGGAAGGGTGGGGGGAGAGCATTGGGGGTCTTGGGTAGAGGGGCAGGGTGTCAGTGCCCCACTATCTAGAGGATTCTTGCCCAGGACACTGGGAGAAACTCCCTTCTGTTTTCACATGGTGTCTTGGGATCTGTAATGTCCTCCTGAATAGGCAGAAAAGACCTTGGTTTAATATCTCATTTGAAAGCAGCATTTTCACCAACACTAACCCAGCGCTAGTCAGCTTAGATTATGGGCTCAAGTGTCAATGTGGGTCTTGAGCCCACAAATTTGTGACCTAGAGGCAAGAGTGATACAACAACAACTTGCATTTATATCGCGCCCTCCACACCGAGTGGCATCTTGGAGTGCTTAAGAATGGCAGAGCCCGAAGCTGAGCCAGAGGGAGGGGAAAAGTGACCATAGGCGCGGTCGAAGATACCAACTGAGCCACCCTGATACAACAGAGTACAGACTGAAAATCTATCAAAGGTAGCTCTAAGATGGGTAGTTTGACTGTGTTTATTTGCCCCAAATGTGGGCCCCTCAACCTCTCAGTAATACATCTGCTATCAATATGAGAAATGTTAATGGAGGCTGAAACCAGACAGAAACATCTGCTTTTGATTCCAGTACACATCGCAAGAAAGTCAAATCCTGGTTACTTGATGTGATTGTGGCAACCAGTTTGGATACCACTGGGACAGGAGGGTGAGTGGAAGAGAACCCAGGATAAGCCTAGAATGCAGAACTACCAAAATGGCTGCTGACATTCCCAGAGGAGAAAAGTAGAGTTCATTCCTGTCTGATAGCTTAGATCCTCACTTTGGGGGAAGGAGGAAGGAAATCTGAATATAATCAAACAATTCCTGGAGATTTCTACAGCCAGTCACCTAGGAATTTAGATTTTAAAGGATTTCTAAGGTTACAAATAAACTTTACTGGAGAAAATTCACTGGACTCCAATCTTTGCTACTTCCAAGATATATACTTGTAACTTTGGGGGATTCAAAATGACATCCCAAAGAAATGAACATCAACATTTGAATCACAAACTGGAAGTAGCAATTATCCCTGTTAACCTGGTTTCTAAATATTGCATTTTAAATTCCTTTTAACATCGCTGTATCTCATTCTGATTTCTCCGCGTTTTTCTATCATACTTTTTTAACTTAAAAAAAAACCCCACTCCAAACCCAAAGCATTCGTTCAGCAAAGGTGCGATTTATCTCTTAGTGCATTCGACATACATGCAGTCACCGCAATTCACAGTAAAACAAATCTGTGAAGTACTTTGAGACGCCCCGATGAGGTGTAATATAAATAATGTAATACTTTAGCATGTGTGACAAAGAACTGAAGTGTTAGACAGGATCAACTTCAACTTGATGTCCTGCGATATCATCTCCCGAGATGGAACGATCAGGTGAACGGTGAGTTTCGATTGAACCGGTTTACGTAGAATAAGGTCGACTAACAGCCGGGCAGATTGTGCCTGCAAATTCGGGTTGGAATTAGGCAGCAAACAAATTGCCTGAAGAGTTTGAGAGATTTGAGTCATTTTTTTTTTGGTGGCGGGGGGGGAGGGGGGAAAAAAAACTTTGGAGTGCAACAGTCTTTCTTGGTCCTACTCATTCCTATGCTCGGCAATGAGTTTACACTGGATTAGGATGTGAACCCCTCCCTCTTATATATATATATAGATATATATACACACAAGTTGGGATAATACATAATTAAGTGCCAATAAAACGTTTGGCAGCACCGCCTGTGTTCCCATTTCTAGTTTTTCTTCTGTCACATGATGGTGGGGGGGAGTGGGGGGTAAAAAAAAAAGTCATGGCTTCAAATTAGAAACAGAGGGTGAGGAGAGGCGGGTCAGCAGCCGGAGAGGCTGAGGGCTCAGGTGGAGGTGTTGTTGCCGACCCCGGAGCACAGACTGAGACACAGAGAGTGAGAGAGAGGCTGTCAGTCTGGAGACATGAGCTGAGCTTTACTGTCTCTGCTGTGTGCAGCGGCTCAGACACTGCTCCGGGCTGTGTGTGTGTGTGTGTGTGTGTGTGTGTGTGGGGGGTATAGCCGGCGGGAGGTGGTGCTTTGCTCTGCTGTTTCCGCGGTGAAGGGGGTGAAGGCTGTAGCGGCGCAGACCATGGAGCCCGGGCTGGGGGTCGGGCTGGGGGTCGGGCTGGGGGTCGGTCAGGGGAGGGCTGGGGCGGCCCCGGGACTCAAGGCAGCTTTCAGCTCTGCTCACATCCCTACCGAGGTGAGTCCTGTCCACCTGCTCACTAACACACTCACTCACACACTCACTAACTCACTCACTCACTAACACACTCACTAACACACACACACTCACTAACTCACTCACTAACACTCACACACTCACTCACTAACTCACTCACTAACACACTCACACACTCACTCAGACACTCACTCACTCACTAACACACTCACTCACTAACACACTCACTAACACACTTACTCATTCACTCACTCACTAACACACTTACTCACTCACTAACACACTTACTCACTCACTAACACACTTACTCACTCACTAACACACTCACTCACTAACACTCACTCACTAACACTCACTCACTAACACTCACTCACTCACTAACACACTCACTAACACACTCACTCACTAACACACTCACTCACTAACACACTCAGTAACCCTCACTAACACCCACTCACACACTCACTCACACACTCACTTACTTGCTAACTTATTCACTAACACTCACTCACACACTCACTCACTCACACACTCACACTCACTCACACGCACACTAACACTCACTCACAATCACACACTCACTAACTCACTCATTCACTCACTAACACACCACTCACTCACTCACTCACTAACACTCACCAACGTACGCACACACTCACTCACCGACATACTCACTCGCAAACTCCCTGTGTGTCTTGACCTGTATCGCCCACTCACGCCAATATTAGTAGTAAAACACATGCACACTTGCAAGTTGAGTGAGTGGGTGACACAGGCAAAGCATCATTTATTTGCGGCAAAGTATCATTTTCATTTGAGTATGATTTTGATTTGCATTGTCTGGATTTCTATTCGTTCACACGGCTGAACGGAAGGGAGTTGATTCAGGTTAACCCCTCAAAATTCAAATACCAGCTCGTGACTTTTTTGTTTCATTGATGTAAGAAAAAAAAACTTTTGTGTGTGCGACTGAGTGTCAGTGGAGGTAATATACTACATCTCCCGAGTTTTATTTAAAAACGCTGCAGCGGATTCCATGCAGGGTCCTGTGCCTGTAAATAACAAAATGCAAATGCAAGGATTATTATTATTTAACATAGGCTTTCTAAGTGCTTCAGAGATGGTGGTACTCTGGATGGCATAACAAAATGTTCAGTAATTTAAGATCAAACCAGTTTTCAATATAAGGTTCTCTGCTTGAGCTATATTTCTTTCTATTTAGGTATTGAAATGGGATGCATTGACTTGATTCTAACCCTCCTTGCCCCCATTATTTGTTGGAGAATGAGCAGCAGAGAGCTGAAGCTAAGCTAAAGTATAAACTTACATATGAGGAATTATTTTCTATCAGAACAATATTTCAGGAAGATGCCATTGTCGATATAAATTAAAGTTTTTTCCAGCATGCACATTTTTTCCATAGGTAGGTACATGTAAAGTTACAAATCAGGGAATTGCTTCAGCAGGGGACTGTAAAAGTGGAATGCACTTTTTTGTCTCCTTTTTACGATTATGTGAAAGGAAAACCCAATTTTGCAATTAGGAAGAACCTAATCCTCTTCCTTGTACGCTCGTTGCTTATAATTTTTAAGCTTGCGGTCCAAATGTTGGTCTAGCAATTTGTTAACTTTTATTTCCTTGTTTTTTAAAAAACCATATTTGGGGCTTTTATATTTTTCATTACCAAAGAGTAATAACTTAAGTTTACTAATGTATGTACAACATGGAAAATAACTGCTCCAAGCTAGAGAAATTAGTCCAAGAAGGAAATTACTCATACTAAGAATAATTATATTTGGTGCAGCACCTTTCATGTCAGGAGGAGAGCTCAAAGTGTTTCACAGAATTTACTGTAAATTGGAGTGACTGTTTTGTGGTCAAACGTGAAAGAACCAAATAAGATTATGTTGCCATATATTTAAATATTTCTACTCCAAGGAGGGAGATGAATAGTGATTTCACAGCTTTCTGAGCCAGTGGGTAAACTCTTGATCCGGTATGGTATTGAGTTGTACAGAGGTGCCAGGTTCAGTCCCTGGTTTGTGCTGAGTTAATTGAGCTCAGTAGTGGACCAGCCCTGTGATTGACTTCACTATCACTTGGGAAAAGAGAAAATTCATCCAGGATTCCTAATCCTGATAGCTATTCCATTGGTGTCTACCTGGTGGGTGAAGATGGATTGAGATTGGTTCTATCTTTCCACTCCCCATGATGTTATTGTCTACTGACACTAATGATAATAATAATCCACTTTCTAATTAATTAACTGCAGATTTTCTTTTGGTTATCTGTATGACTGATACATGCAAAAAACCAACATATCTCAAGGTACAGATTAGGGTGAGGTACAAAAGGGCAATAGTACCTTTGAAGAGAAACTGCTTTTCTCCCTTAGGAAAGTAAGGAACACAAGACTTGCCTACCTCAGCTGCCAGACTTTCCCTACTAATCCCTGCTTTTTAGCCCATCAGAACTGTTTTGTAGAGGTAAACCTTCACAAACTGAACCATAATACTTTTTTTTAAAGTTCTGTGACATGACAGAGTACAATAATAAAAAGTATTGTGTTAGATCTACAGAATTGGTAAGCCCTGTGTATTAGTGACTTGATTCTTCTGACGTAACATTACTTTTGGTTAATATTAAACTGTTTTTTCTTCCTCGGTTACAATTTAACAGCAACTTGAACTGGCTGCATCTTATGTCTCTGATGCTCAATATAACCGAAACATTCACTTTGAAACCTCATCACAAGCAATTAGGTAAGTTCTAATACCAATGTGAATCCAACCAGAGCACAATTAGCTTTTTTTTCCTCTGCTCTTGTTGAACTTTGCACTCTTCATGTTGAGGGATGTGTATGGTGTGGAATAATTTAGCTCATTCAGCCTTTCGACCTATTTGCAGCGCAACAACAACTTGTATTTATATAGCGCCCCTCATGTGGGGTAACATCCCGGAGAGCACTGGTAATTAGTGTGGGATTGTGGGCTCACTGACAATTGATCCCACAATCCCACACTGAGACTGACCCAAATATAATAACTATAATAATGCTTGTATTTGATATAGCACTTTTAGCACTCTAGACATCTCAAAACACTTCACAAATATACTGTAAAGTGAATTGACTGTATATTTGTGGGTGAAACATGGCAACCAATTGCGCACAGCAGGGTCCCACAAACAGTCGTGGATTAAGTGACCAAATTATTATTGTTTTTTTTTAAGGATTATTATCCCCGAAAAAGCGATTCGCCAATCGACTAACAACCAGGTTCCTACTTACTACTAGGTAAACAGGGGCGTGTGGAGTAAGGAAACTTGCTCAACATTTCGCCCTGCCAGGGATCAAACCCAGGTCTCTCGCTTGTGAGGCGCCTGCTCTAACCACTGAGTTATAGGACTCCACTACAGGACTCTAATATGCTGTAATGTTTTGTAATGTATTTTTATTCTGCAAGTTAGAAAGTCAGCAGGGGGAAATATAAAATCTACAAGTTATGCATTTTATGATGTATACATGATAAATTATCCACTCATATCGCCTTTTGAAATGCAACATGGGGAGCTGAATACTAGGGACTATGAATAGTTGTGGGAGATTGGGTCAATATTTTTTTAAATGTTGGTGTAGAATTAACAAGATAATTTGGTTGTGATTTGACTTTAATCACATAAGTTTTGGGTTATTGAATTGGGTGTTTTTGGAATAAATGTTGCTGTCACTGAATTTTTTAAATATATATTACAATTAATTTCTACTTTAAGAGAGGATTGTTTTCCCTCATGGGGTGAAAGGAAGTCATCATCTAATGAAGGTGGCATATTGGACCTATTATCTTGCAATAAGTTATCCAGGCTGGCTAAATCAATTTAATGATAATAAGTCCAAATAAGTCCTTTAATAAATTCAAATTCATTTTGATGGATTGTAAAATCTGCAATCTTTGTTGCAGGATATGGCGGTAGAGTAAATTTGACCTAAGGCATTGTCCAGAATTTGTTTTGGGAGAAAGTAAATAAGGCACGATTGTGCTGTCTGCAATTATGGATTTCCTAAATAATGCCAATTTCTAACTTTGTCCTCATTTGAATTAGAAATAGTCAGACTATCGTTGACCCATTGGTTTAGCATGCTTTCTTTTCTGGGGTGAAGGTATTTTTCTGAGTGAGTAATTGAACTGAGTTTGTCAAGTCTTAGAATGTCTGTAGCACAGCAAGTCTTTTGGTGTCTGACCTGCAAATGAGAATTTGTCCCATCAGATTTGCTTGAATATTTCATGAAATAAATGGGTCCTGATATATGAATAGCTTACTTATTACTGTAATATGTTTCAGTGTTGAAATATGAAAAGCTTGGCAAGCAAAGGTGTTAGAAGGCATAGCGAAAGAGCAGGAAATTGGGGCCATGAAGGATGGTTTCTTACAAGAGCAACACCAACATGAGAATAATGGGCCAACTAGCTATTGGGTACTAATTGATAAATAAGGACCAATTTACTAGGACCAATGGAAGGAAAGAGAGAGACGGGGGAGGGAGGGAGAGGAAGCAGGCAGAACTGAATAGATGGTGTTTGGTGTTACTGTTGGTTTGTGTAACTGGAGATCTAAAATAAAATAAACATTGGTTGTTGAGAGCATTGTACGTTTCTAACATCTAATTTGTAGCAGTTTGGAATCTTCACACCATCTTGTTGCAATAAGATGACCGCTAGAGGAACTTATTTCCTTAGAGCTCTTCCCTTATTTTGCTGAACAAAAAACCTCCACCTCTTCTTAAAATGTGTTCCGGTGTTGTTATTGGAAGGGCCACATATGCTGACTGAGCTCACTAATGCAGATGCCCAAGATAAGTGGATTGTGCAATAAAAGGACCAAATGGTAGACAAAATATTCTTTTATCCTCACAGGGTGAAATGTACCTCAGGAACGTAGGGAGACTAGGCAGAAGATTAGTGCAACTCTGATGGACATTATGAGGGAGTCAATTAGGACTGTCAGAATTCCAACAGACTGGAAGCAAGCAGATGTTTTTCCCATATTCAGGAAAATAAGGTGACAGGAAATTGTAAAGGTTTTTATAAACATATTAGAAGTAAAAGGATAGCTCAGGAGGGGGTTCGGCCACTTGGGACAAAAGTAGTAAATTGGTGGTAGAGAAGAAGGGGGTGGCAGAGCTATTTCATGAGTATTTTGCTTCATTTTTACTGAGGATTTGGATACTCCCACAATAGATCTTAAAAAGGAAAAACAGCTACTTGGGATAAGGACCAAAAAGGAAACTGCACTTTCTTAAAAAAGTATCCTGATGGGATGCATCCCAGATTGTTGAGGGAAAGAAGAGAGGAGATAGTTGAGATTTTGTTGATAATTTTCCTAATGTCTTTAGAGTCTGGTAGGCTGCCAGAGCATTGAAGGGTGGCAGATATGGTGCCTTGGTTCAAGAATGACACCAAAGATAAGACAGGATCTGTAGATAAACTTTTGGAGGCAATAATGGAGCAGAATAGCAATTACTTAAATAAACATGAGTTAATCAGTGATAGTCAGCATGGATTTATGACGGGCAGATCATGTTTGACCAATTTAATAGAGTTCTTCAAGGAAATAACTGAAAATGTACGTCAAGGAAATGCTATTGGATGTTGTGTCTTTGAATTTCTGAAAAGGTGATACAGAAGATTAGTGGAGAAACTCGAGACAAATGGAATAGGAGCGAAAGTGGTGGTTTGAATTGAAAGATGGTTGAAGGATAGAAGACAGAGAATAGGGATATCAGGTTGTTTTTCCATTGGAAGGAAGGTAATTAGTGGCATACCACAGTAGTCTGTGATGGGGCTCCTTTTTATTTATATATATATATATATATGTATATATGTATATGTGTGTGTGTATATATATATATATATATAAATGACCTTGATTTCAATATAAGAGGTATAGTATCAAAGTATGCAGATGATATCAAGCTAGGAAATATAGTGATGAGGATGGCAAGAAACTGGAAGAGGATTTAAACAGATTAGCGCAATGAGCTGATCAATAGCAAATTAAGTTTAATTAAGTGAAAGGTGAAGTGATTCATTGTATATTGAATGGTATTATCTTGCAAGAAGCTGAGGAACAATGGGATTTGGGAGTTCAAGTCCAGAAGTTATTGGAAGTGTCATTGCAAGTGACAAAAGCTGCAAAGAAGGCTGTGAAGAAAGCTAATAGCATGCTAGGTCTTATACACACAGCATTTTGTTTTTGTACTAAGTGTGTACGAATCATTGGTTAGACTGCAGCTGGAGTACTGCATCCTGTTTTGGGCACCTCACTTCAGGAAAGATATTGAGGCCTTAGAGGATTGCAGAAGAGGTTAATGAGAATAATTTCAAGGACGAAAGGTTACCATTATGAGGATAGATTAGAGAAGCTGGGTCTGTAAAATTTTGAAGGGTTCTTACAGGGTAAATGGAGAGAAGTTATTTCCATTGAAAGAGGAGTGGCTAACCAAGGGACATAATTATAAGATAGCTATAAGAACAGTGAAAGGAGAATCTAGGAGGATATTTTCACTGAGAGCTGTTGGGTTGTGGATTGCTCTACCGAGTAGGGTGGTGGAGGTGGATTCCATTGTAGTTTTCAAGAGACAGACATATGAAGAGAGGGGCTCGAAGGGGTATGGGGGTAAGGCGTTGGAATTGAAGCGATTCCTTGACCCATTATCCTGAGTTCAACAACAGGAAAAATTATGGAGTCAATCATCAGAAAGGAAGTGAAAGGTTACCTATATAAAATTAATTTGAAGAACAGCCAACATGGGTTCAGAAAGGGTAGGTCTTTCCTGACCAATCTCAGACTTTTTTGAGGAGTTAACAGCCCAGATTGATTTTGGGAAGCCATATGATATAGTATACCTAGATTTCCAAAAGGCATTTGACAAAGTACAACATGAAACAACCTTCCACAACCTGGGCATCAAAGGCAAGGTGTGGTTGTGTATTCTGAATTTGCTCAAGCGAAGGAAGCAGAGGGTCTGTGTTAGGGGAGCTGGGTCAAAATGGGAAAATGAGACCCCTCCGGTTCCTTCTAGAGTATATCCTGTAAAACATATGGGAGATCGTCCTGATGTGAAAGATTCTATAGAAAATGTAAGTTATTATTGTATATATTAGTGACCTGTATTTGCAGACCCAGCGTAAGGTAATTAAATTTGCAGACCAAATTGAGGGGGAATTGTGGTATTGGAGGAGGCAGCAAAGTGAGCTTGATAGTGTATGCATATGGGTAAATAACTGACAGATACGTACAAGGTAATTCTGCAATATAAGGAGGCTGCCCAAACCTAGAGGCTGTGCAGAGGAGAGTAATAAAGATGATCCAATATGTTAGAGGAATGAGCTCTGAGCAAAGATTAGACAAGCTCTTTAGTCTTGAGAAGAGAACTCAAGGGGACCTCCTAGAGGTTTGTAAAAAAAATTTAAGTGGGAATAAAATGTAAACCCAGATCATTATTTTTAGGATGCACCAAGGCAGTGGAAGAACTTTTCAAGGTACTGTACAGTTAAGGGTTTGCACCTGAGCTGAGGTTGGAATGAAGAGGGGTGGAAGTAAGAGGCGGGAGGGTGACTGAAGGCACAAAGAGTTGCAGAACTGTGAATTCAGGACTGTTACCATCAAGCATCAAGCTGGTTTGCAATCCCTAAACCTATGTCCTGTCATTCTACTGCCTTGGTGCATTCTAAAGTATTGTTCTCTTTTTATTTTGTCAATCCCATTTAATCATCATGACTTCTTTGTATATGACTACTGTGAATTTAAATGCTGGGATCTCACTTGGTTTAACAGTCGCTCAGGTGTGAATTATAATTTTGCCTTGGAAAAAGATTAACACTTTTTTGGATTTTTCTTAGATTGCACAAAATCTACAATCATTGGGCTGCTCAGAGAGTGATCTATTTATTTGTGCTAGTGGACCTGTTGCTCGCCTTGTTTGAGGAGCCTGCAGTTTATTTGTTGCCTATTTGGGTGAGTGTAGTTTTCTCATTCAGTAATTGTATTCATTTTCATAGCACTGTTACCCCGGTAAGCCTTTTTAAATGTTACTGATCAGTTTATGGTTAGAGAACTTGTACAGAAATCTAATTTCTTTCTTCCACAATCCTGCATAAGGACATGGACTGTAACCAATCCAAATAGAAACTTCGTAAACATTTTTCTGTCAATATTTCACAGATGCATTTTTAATACAAAATAGGGAATCCAGACAAGTGTCCTCATTTTTCAATGTGAAATAAAGTCAGTGCATCAGAACGTAAATAACATAAAATTTACTTTCAAATTTGCATATATGAAATTCCATGGCTAAAATGTCTCCTCACTATGGAAGCAGACCATTTTATTGCTTTCCCCAAACACCAGGGATAAGTAAATAGAATTGTGTTTGGGATGAGAGGAAACCACACCTTGCCCCCTCCTACCCCTCTGACCTGCTGACTTCTTATGAGCCTGCCCGCTCCCTCCGTTCATCAGGCTCCGGCCTGCTCCATGTCTCCCGCCCAACCTGCCCTACCTTTCAGCCTCTCTGCCCCCATACTCTGGAACTCCATCCCACGGTCCCTTCGCCTCGCTTCCTCCCTTGCCTCCTTCAAGGCCGGTCTCAAGACCTTTCTCTTTGACCGTGCCTTTTGTCTCCCTCCCACCTCTCTGCCTTCCCTCACCCCTACACCACCCTTCTCCCATGCTCGGGCCCCGACACCTGACTGTTCAGGACTTTGGAACGTCCTCCCGATGTGAAAGGCGCTCTACAAATGTAATTTTGTTGTTGTTGTTGAAACCAAGGAAACAGATGCTGAAGTTCTTTCAATCCATCGACAGCAATGCCGACTGGTGAATTGTGCACATGTTCCATTCTATTGCTTCCATTTCCTTTCTAGGAACAGCCTTGGAAAAGCTATGAATGAGGGGGGAGCATTTGTGGAATAACTGGTCTGAGCCAGAAATCCAACATTCAGTTATGTGTTGTTCTCTGTACCTTTTTAATGTGACCATATCGTGCAGATTACAACATTTGATCCCAAGATGTAAATGCGATTCAGGGAAAGACTTCAGGCTAATTGCAAAGGCAGAGAGGGTGCAATGTACAGTGGAGTCCACATAATATTATGGCGCCTATTGTTATAATCTCATAATGTTATACTGGCGGCCAATCCTGGCCACGTTTGTTATTTGTACACATTTGATGTTTGCGTATTGTTGAAGCTGTGTGATGTTATCATTTGTCTAATGTTATGCTGGATGTATGGTCCTGATTAACAAAAGGACTAGTGTTACTAGAGCATCGCTCTGGCACCTGAAACCTTCGTTCAAAGAGATGGGTAGATGGTTCAATGGGAACACAGGTCTGGATGATGGAAAGCAGATAGTCCAATGAGAAGAGGCTGTTACACTACAGTAATTTAGTGCCCACAGTGCTGTTATATTTGTGATTTGATTTTGAAGATAAAATAGTCAAAAATAACTGACCTCATTTTTAAAATAAATATTACAATGAATTTAAAGTAAAATATTGGATTTTTAAACTTTTTCCTTATCCGTGAAATTCTAAATGCCTTCAGAACAGTCTGGAAGTGTTTGTAAGTGTTTATAAGGGATGTTCCCCTATTGTTATAGTACGTATAATATTATAATTTTATCTGTCCGACAGAGTGTAACATTAAGCAGACTGTACTGTGCGAATAAACTGCAAAATAATGAGGCATTTTTTTATTGAACCTTATTCATACCTGTGAACTCATCATCACTGTGTGAATTAAAACATTAATAGATCTCCCTTCCTTTATGTAATTTTGCTCCAATTATTTTGTGTGGAGAATTAACAGTAAAAATCCAAATTTCTACAGATGCAGCTCCATCAACAGATAAGACCATAAAATGTAGGAGCAGGAGTAGGCCATTCGGCCCCTCAGGCCTGCCCCACCATTTAATAAGATCATGGCTGATCTTTTAACCAATTTAATTTACCCGCCCTATCCCCATATCCCTTAATCTCTCTATCTTTTAGAAATCTATCAATCTCAGTCTTGAAAATGTTCAAGGACTGAGCATCCACAGCCTTCAGGGGTAGAGAATTCCACAGATTCACTACCCTCTGAGTGAAGAAATGTTTCCTCAACTCAGTTCAAAAAGGCTGACCCTTAATCTTGAGACTATGACCCATAGTTTTAGATTCTCCAACCAGGGGAAATAGTCTCACGGTATCTACCCTGTCAAGATCCTTAAGAATCTTATGTTTCTATAAGATCACCTTTAATTCTTCTATATTCTAGAGAATATAGGCCTAGTTTACTCAACCTCTCCTTATAGGTCAATCCCCTCATCCCAGGAATCAACCTAGTGAACCTACGCTGCACCCCCTCTAAGGCGAGTATGTCCTTTTTTAAATAAGGAGACCAAAGCTGTACACAATATTCTAGGTGCGTCTCACCAAGGCCTTATACAATTGCAGCAAGACTTCCCTTCTCTTGTACTCTAACCCTTTTGCAACGAACGCCAACATGGCATTAGCCTTCCTATTTCTTTGCTGTACCTGCATACTAACTTCGTGTAACTGGTGTACAAGGACACTCAAATCCCTCTGAACACTAACACTACCTAGTCTCTCCCCTCTAGAAAATAATCCACTTTTCTATTTTTACTACCTTGGTGAATAACTTCACACTTCCCCACGTTATACTCCATCTGTCACCTTCTTGCCCACTCACCAAGCCTGTCTATTTCTCTTTGCATTCTTCGTGTGTCATCCTCACAGCTTACTCTCCCAACTACCTTTGTATTGTCTGCAAATTTAGATATATTAAGTTCTATTTCCTCATCTAAATCATTGATATAGACTGTAAATAATTGAGGCCCAAGCACTGATCCTTGTGGCACTCCACTAATCACATCCTGCCAATCTGAGAAGGACCCGTTTATCCCCACTCTCTATTTTCTTCCTGTTAGCCACTCTCCAATCCATGCTAATATATTACCTTTAATTCCATGGGCTGTAATCTTATGCAACAGCCTTTTTTGTGGCACCTTGTCGAATGCCTTCTGGAAATCTAAATACACTACATCTACTGGTTCCCCCCATCTAACCTGCTAGTTACATCCTCAAAAAACTCTAAAAGATTTGTTAAACATGATTTCCCTTCGTAAAGCCATGTTGACTCTGTCTAATCACGCTATGATTTTCTAAGTACCCCACGACGACGTCCCTAATAAAGGACTCTAAAATTTTCTCTACCACCGATGTCAGACTAACTGGTCTATACTTCCCCATGTTTTGTCTCCCACTCTTCTTAAATAGTGGCTTTACGTTTGCGATCTTCCAATCAATGGGAACCATTCCAGAATCCTGGAAATTTTGAAAGATCAAAAACAAAGCATGCCACCTCTTTTAAAACCCTAGGATGCAGGCCATCAGGTCCAGGGGATTTATCGGTTTTTAATCCTATCAATTTCTCTAGTACTGTTGCTTTACTGATGTTCATTTCTTTAAGTTCCTCACTAACATTAGTCTCCAGGTCCCCTCTATTGGTCTACCATCCTTTTTAATCTAATTTCCCAGTCTATTTTAGCCAAATCTTCTCTCATACCTGCAAAGTTGGCTTTATTTAAATTTAAGACCCTTGCTTCAGATTCAACTATATCACACTCTGACTTAAAGTTAAATTCCATCATGTTATGGTCACTCTGCCCTAGAGGAGCCTTAACTTCCAGATTATTGATTAGCTCTATTTCGTTACACAAAACAAGATCTAGGATAGCCTGTTCCCTGGTTGGTTCCTCAGCATACTCTTCTAGAAAACTATCAGAAAACTATAGATGTTGCTTCATAAACCGGTTTCAGATGACTTTTTTTGTTACAAAATATTTGTTTAAAACTTTTGTGAGTCCGTACCCAAAGGACATAAATACAGTAGAAGATAATCAGTAGTAGATCTAATGGGGAGTTGAAAAGGAATCTTTTTGACGCAGAGGGTGGTGAGATTGTAGGACTTGCTGCTGGACGCTGTGGTTGAAGCAAAAATCATCAATGTATTTAAGAAAAATATTGATGCACATATGAGGGATAAGGGAATGGAAGGGTGCAGGAGAGGTGAGGGCTTGTGTGTTGTGTAAACAATGTGGACTAGTTGGGCTGAATTGTATGTTTCTGTGTCGTAAGTTGTGTAACTTAGCAATAATAAAAATCCTTGCATTTGATATAGTGCCTTATCACATCTTCGAGATATAACTTATCCTTTTCTATGCACAATATTCATGTTCTGATAGTGATCAACTAAACATTTCTTTAGTTGCCGCAACACTTCCTCTATCTGTAAAGCACAAGGCACCATCACGTGTGTAATTCTAGTTCTTGATGTTTTGTTCCCACAATTCATTAAGGACACAGAACGATTAATGATACTTTAACCCAACAGGTAACTTTGTCAATGGAGTTGGTTTGTCTTCTGACATTTGTTGGACGACTGGCACACTTCTCAAAAATAATTCCTACAAAGGTGTTTTGGAGAGATGCAAAAAATATCTGTCTCATCATCACCATTATGGTGAGTTGTATAATCAAAAAATTGTATTTAGTCTTTTGTATTACCAACTAGTTATAATATTGAGAGTGTTGTGAAGATCTCTGCTGAGTAGCCTTGTAGAGATTGGTTTGGTCCAATGTTGCAACACCAGTGCTTTGAATCTTCCAGGTAATTTCAATACCTCCCTTGTTATTTTTTCCCCTGCTGCTTCACACTTGGTTGGGAAGGGGGAAGTTGAAGTTCAGATTATCTTCAGTTGTACGTATAAAAGTAAATTGAAGTAAACAATAATGTTTGAGGTTTTTCTCTTATTCATTGATTGTGTTGGATGGGTGGAGACTCAAACCATCTGTTGCTTGTGTTTATGATCTTAATGCAGTTGTGATTTGTTTAAGCTGACGCTCATCGATATGACTGTGTACTGGGCTGTGGTCATTACTGGACATGATACGGTGAGGTGGTCAAGAGTTCTGAGGCCACTTTTCTGTGTGAACTTCACTGAGAGTCGCCAGGTGAGTTTTCTATTTTATTTACAGCAAATAGCGATTTTCAAAATCTATTATTTATTGGTTTTGTATATTCACCACAAAGCAGGAACCAGTGGAGTCAGTTACCTTAAACACAATCAAAATAATAACAATGATCCTTACATTTGTTATCAAGTAATCGATGTGTCTAAACATTTCACAGGATATACTGTAAAGTAGAGTGACTGTGGATTTTGGTTCAGCTTCGTGCTCCGCCACTGTCAAGCACTCTGGGATGCTATCCTGAGTGCACTCTAAAAGTGCAAATTGTTGTTGTGAGTTTTTCTTTTGTGAGTGTTTATCTTGGAAACAAAATTCCCTTGCATCCTTCAATTCCCTCGAGAGACAGGCACAAACTGAACGAGTGGCTGAGGCTAGACAGGGCAGCTGGTTGCCTGTGATATTCTTGAGCTGTTGCTAAAATGCATCCTGAAACTTCTGGTTGGATACTTCCTTTGATTTGATATTTCTTTCGTCCCCCCAACCCATTCCTCCTTCCCAGTAGAGGAGCACTTGTCTGTGCCTCTACACAACAATGGCCTGAGACTGGCAACTTTGTGGAGTCCTGAAGCTCAGTGGTTAGAGCACTCGCTTTGCAAGCGAGAGACCTGAGTTCAATTCCAGGCAGAGGGCGAAACCTTGGGCAAGTTTCCTTACTCCACACAGAGCCCTAATAATAATCTCTCCAAAAACAAAACAATAACAAATTGGTCATTTTCAATCCACGACTGTCTGTGGGACATTGCTGTGCGCAATTGGCTGCCGCATTCGCCCACGAATATACAGTCAATTCACTTTACAGTGTGTTCTGTGAAGCGCTTTGGGACGTCCTCCCGATGTGAAAAGCGCTATATCAAATGCAAGGATTATTATTACTATTATTATTTGTGCTACATGGGGTGTAGTGCTCCCTGACTCTGAACCAGTATAACATTCTCCTAGGATTATATTGTGATTACTGGTGATGCAATAAACTGTTCCATCAGGCTTGTAGGTTTCACCGGCTGCAGTTTGACATCACCCAGAGGTGACTGAATTGTGAATCCGATCGAAATGGAGGTTCATTCATATAGCTGAATGGTACTTGTACGTTCATGACCTTGGCTAAACGAAGAGGGAAACTGTCTCCCAATATCGATTCCTATTGTACAGCCGGACACTGGGAGATGTGGATGAGGCCTGGCTCTATTTTTACTCCTTTGTTGTAGCTTTCTTACAAAGATTAATTTTAACGAGGAAATAGCTTTCATTGTCTTCCTGGTCAGTTCCTTGAAGAGTTTTGATGCATCCTCCTGATGTGAAAGTAGCTTTCTATCTAAAATTGTCTGTTGGTCTACCCTCCTCTGACAGTCCAGCTCGTATTAATGGTGTGAAGTCATGGCCTGCCTCCCCTTACTCTGCACCACAGAAAGGTGTTTTGCACTGTTATAGTAATAATGTAATAATAATCTAATTTTTTAAAAATGTAACACTAATATTTTCTGTGTATTAACGATTTTTCTTATTCCTGTAGTTGCGAAGAGCTTTCAGGAATATTCGCCACACTCTCCCAGAGATCCTAAGTGTGTTTGTGCTGTTCATGTTCAGTGTTGCAGTGTTTTCACTCATGGCTTTGAAACTATTTGAGAAAAGGTGAGAGTTCCAACACACTAACCGTCAGACTTTTAAAACACTTTTGCTAGTTCTTGGCACTCAATAGATTGTTCTGTTCAATCGTAGCACAATAAGGAATGTGATATCAGGTGGGTTTTTTTCAACTTATAATCTTCCTGATATAATGTATTTGCTGAATGCCCAAATGTACCTGACCAAAACTTCTCACTGTTTGCAAATCTTCCATGCGGCCTTGTGTATAGTTCCTTTTTGCTGTTTGATAAGTTATTTTGTGTTACACCACATGAAGAGTAAACTGAACATGCAACTGCTACTTGCACTTATAGCATCTTTTACAAAGGAGAATGCTCAAAGCACTTTACAGGGGACCTTCAGGATACAAAATATAAAATACAAAGTACGACATGTCATGCAACCACCAAGGTGGTCGAAGGCAAACTGGATAGACCTTGGTCTTCTTTTGCCTAGCAAATTCTTATGTTATGGAAGAACGATTTGGGATCTGAAAATGGGAAGGGAGGAAGACAGTGAGGCAGAAAGATTTAGGGAGAGTTCCGACAAGCAGGGGAAAAGTAGCTGAAAGCTCCTTCAACGATGGTGGGGAAAGCCAAAGGTAGGGGAATGCAGGACTCTGGAGTCCTGTAGCTCAGTGGTTAGAGCATTCGCCTCGCAAGTGAGAAACCTGGTTTCAATTCCCCGGATGGCGAAACGTTGGGCAAGTTTATTTTTCCACACACCTGATAATAATCCCTCAAGAAAAAAAAAACAATAATAATTTGGTGACTCAATCCACGACTGTTTGTGGGACACTGTTGTGCGCAATTGGCTGCCGATTTCGCCCACAAATATACAGTCAATTCACCTTACAGTATATTCTGTGAAGCGCTTTGAGACATCTAGAAGACGTGAAAAAGCGCTATATCAAATGCAAGGATTATTATTATTATTATTGTCAGAGTACCTTATATCACTGTCAAGTACAGTTTAGTTTACCATTTAAATATTTTTAGTGATTTGTCATCTGGTTATGATGAAGTAGATTAATATCTAAATTCACACACAGAATCTGTCAAACCAGCCAAAAATCCTTAAAGCAAATACAGTTCTCCCCTGTCAAGTATCAGTATTTATATAACACATTGGGTTAGAATGCCCTCAAGCCTCTCGACCTAGTCTGTTCAATAGACATGAACACTCTCCCCATAGGAAGGGAGAAAAAGTCAGAGGATAAGTTGTGTCATGTTGCATTGACCAGTATCTTATAGCAGGGAAGGTCAGGCCTTGGGCATCTCCCAGAGAGATCCAAGACCAAGGAACAATTTGCATCAAAACTTGAGCTGGTGTGCTGTGGCCATGCTAGCTGACCTTCACTTTTGTGCTTCACTTGTGAAGTGGCCATTGAGTTATTGGACCTAGTCAACCTATAATAAGGTTTCCCTGTATGTAAATGTATATGTCTCATTTGAGAGCTTTATGAGATACATATCTTAGAATCTGTTATTGGGCTTGCTGTTCACAATGAATTTAATGAGACATTAAGTTTTGGATCAATTCAAAACTATGGATAATATGATCATATAAGTAATGATATTTCACTTCTATTGGGGATAGTGTATAGTGCTCTATTCTCCACATTACACATCTTGTCACTGGTGTGTGGCTGTTGTCAGATTGTCTTAAGTTGTACTTAGTGATAGTAGTAGTAGTAATAGTAATCCTTCACTGGTAGCCTGCTGCACTCGAGTGTCTTATTGGGTCTCAGATCTCAGTAGTTGATATTGAGTTTGATGACTGAAGCATCACAGCTGTATGAAATGTAATGGTTTGATATTCCGGTATTAATAGGATTAAAATATTTGTTTGCAGACAAACTGCCTCAGACGCTAGCTAATCCAAGATGTTTATTTCACTTTTTAGTATCTGGGTGCTAAAAAGAGTACCATGGACACAGGGTGAGGGGATTTAAGCGCTCCCAAGACGCTACCCTGCATGAAGGTTGCTATAAAAATCCAAGTTGTCGTACAAGACAGTTGCATCTAATTTGGGGAACCATTATTGCCTCCAATGCTTAGTAGGGAGTGGGTGCATCTCCCTCATTACGTGGATAAATAAATGACTTGTTTTTGCACACTTTAAAAAAACTAATTATTGCACATTTATTTTTGATGGTTAAACTTAATTTCCACAAATTTCTTCAGGAATGGATTGTCATTTTTTGACATTGTCACAGATTCACACAGAATGTGTTGTGCTAGAACACCAATTCCACTTTGTTTTACAGGAATTTAACTACAGATAAAGGAGCTCCTTACTTCACCAACTATTTGGATATATTCTTTGAACTCTATGTGCTCGTGACAACAGCAAATAGTCCTGATGTGATGTATGTACATACAAACAAATATTTCTATTACTTGTGCTTATTTTTAAAAAAGTCATTCTAGAGTTTTTTTTAAAGAGCATTTTTCAGGTAAAATATTTACAGCTAAATGCATGATTTTGTTCTTTTTAAAAATTATACCAATTCTGTTTTCAGAGTATATTGAGTTTTATTCTGATGTCAAAGTTGTAATTTGCAAAAGCTAGTAGTTCGCTGTAGTACACTATTCTTTTTAAAAATAATAATACGAAGACTTAATGTGTTCATCCAATCAATCTTTACCCCTAGTGTGAACTGCTAAATATTACTTGGTTTACATTTGGAGTCATTTATACTTGAGAGCGATCTGTGCTGAGCAGAATAATTTTTATCTTCTGGTTAGGTGTAACATTGGTAATGCCCTATGTTAAGCTGCTTTGCAATGCACAATAAATAGTTTGGGAATGTTTCAGATTAAACCACAATGCAGATGAGGACCCAGGCCATCTTGCAGGTTGAGATCCTATTCGTGACTTTTATATTGCTTCAGATTCTGAATTTTGATTTTTGCAGTCTCTGGGCTTTAAGGCTTTCATGAAAATATCAGTGATCTTTAGAGGGAGACACTGGGAGGACATTCTGTCCATTCAATAAAATATCACAAGATTGGTTTGGGTGAAGAAGGCTCTTTCGTCCATTTGATCTCCTCCTTTCAGAATACCTCCTCCTCCCATTACAGTATTAAGCTGTTTCTTAAACAATTACAGAACTCTGGCCACAACCACCCTTCCTGGTAATATTTTCCAGTTGTTAATTACTCTGGGTAGAGAAATACTTCCCAGTGTCAGTCATGTAATTTCCCTTTGCAAGTCTAAATTTGGGTCATCTTGTTCTGCTGTTTCGCACATCTGAAAATAATAGCCAGAGATGAGCAGAATTCTGCTGTTTGTTTTCCAAAATGCTAATGGCATGTAATGACCTGAGGATTAATTTGGCTTGGGTGAGGTTTGTATTAAGTATTTATTTTGGTGCTTGTTTTTCAGGATGCCAGCATACAACGTCAGCTGGGGATATTCCATTTTCTTTATTGTTTATATAATCATAAACACCTACACCTTCATGTCTGTCTTCCTGGCTGTTGTGTACAATAATTACAAGAAACATTTAAAGGTATGTACTTAATTGGAAACTCCAGGCAGCAGAAAATGCAGGTGTTTCACATGTCGTAATGAATGGCAATCAGTCATATTAAGTGACCTTCAGAGATTGGAATGGAGCTGGAATGTGCTCCTTTAATAGAAAACAACTTCCTTTTCCAGGGATGTTGGAGTTTAAAATGTTGACTTCACTAATCTAGCTGGAGACTGCAGCAACTTTGGAAGCTGCTTGTTCCCATTTTGAATCGTTAATGCTAACAATTCAAAAAGGCTTGACACTAACCTCAAAAAGCAGACAGTGTTTAATTAAACTTCTCCACTTCTGCATCTAATATGTTTTTTTTTACATTCTCTTTCCTTCTTAATCCCTCCCTGCTAAAGAGTCTCATTATAAATACAGCAACAAAAACTTGCATGCACATAGTGCCCTTCACATATGATAACATCTTGGAGCATTTCACAGTGGCGGAGTTGGACACTGAGCTGGGGAATGGGGGGAAGTGACTGTAGGTCCAGTCGAAGAGGTAATTTTAAGGTGGGATTTGAAGACTGATAAAAAGGTTGTGAAGCAGAGGGACAGAGGCTGGGATTGTGATGGTTGAAGGCTGCCACCGAGAGTGATGCAGAGGGAGTGGTGAATGTGCAGCGTGACTGTGATAGCTGAGCAGAGAGGGCAGGCAGAGGAATGGAGTTTGAGGAAATCACTCATTTTCTATTTGGCTACTGTGAGTGGTCATAGAGAGTCTGTGTACTAGTCTAGTATTTGTGCTAAACAACTACATCATGAGAATGAAGAGGTAGTCAAAGGTTCTGCAGTTTTGAGGGACAGGAAGGGAAACTGCATAGTTGGGATCTGCAATTCTTGCTTTGGAAGACCAAGAAGGGCTATGTTGGTGTGTAACTAAACAAATTACAAGTTTTTCTTTGGCAGGAAAAGATCCATTATACCTCAAAACATGCTTTCTCATGTATCGATTGTGGCACAATGAGCCAATTAAAAACAACTGAAGAAAAAAAGGATACAAAATGGGGTCGTGGAAATGTCCAATTTATTTAATGAGAAGCTCATAATCTATACTTATTTTACTAGGGAAGTTTGCATCAAGTTACATTCACCTACAAACACACAGACACTCCACTTCAGAGTGAAGCACTTTAAGACGTCCTCCTGATGTGAAAGGTGCTACATTAAATGCAGGAAGGATAATGATGATAATTATCTTCTATTATGGATATTTATACTATATGCTAAGGGAGTTCCCATCCTTTTTCATCCATCAAAATCTTTTTGGTACAAATGGCAACCATGATTACCTCCAAAAATTCATCACACTTGACTACAATTAATGTAAAACACTTTGAAAATAATTTGCACACCTAACTTTGAAACATCTCAAAGACTTCACAGTAATAATGATGGTGTGGTAAATGACCTTCAGGATTCATTTGGTACTGCAATTGGATTTTTTTTAAATTCCCATCTTAAGTGGCGTTTATATCGTACAGTCTGTTTATATGCGGTAGACATATTTCAAGATGAAACACACAAGATGCTGAAACACATTGTTTTTTTCAGAATGAAGTAAGAAAATTGGTTTTCATGAAGCATAGGAAGATGGTTGAAGCATTTAACCTCCTGAAGGTGCAGCATGGAAGCGAGTTCATAATTCTGGAAGCAGATTGGAGCCAGCTGGTGAGAATAGTGGCCCCAGAGATCCCCAGTGCCCATCGAGCACTACTGTGGAGAGTTTGCGATGAAGACCAGAAGGGCTATGTTGGTGTGTAACTAAACAAATTACAAGTTTTTCTTTGGACGGAAAAGATCCATTATACCTCAAAACATGTCTCCTTGATTGCACTTTCCGTGATGTTTCACCTCGCCTTGGGTCATCCTCCCAATATTACTATATAATTGTAAAATTATATTGGGTAATTCCAGCAAATTGTCCAATTTTTTATCATTGTCCCTGGTGATTGGGAAGATAGTGGCCACAACTTCATCTCATTTCAATGTTCTTCTGTGAAGATCCCAGGAAATGTTTGTGACCTCTCTTTCTGCTAGCCTAGGGGAAATGTTCAGTCCTCGCATTATATCAAATTGATGTTATAACAAGAGCTCTATGCCTTCCATTGTAGACTATGGAATATCTGAAGCCTTTTTTGTAAAAAGAGTCTAATTTAATTGAAATATTCATTCTTCTAACTTAACGTGGCTAAAAAAAATGAACTAACTTGTATTACAGCAGAGTAACCTACGAACACAAAATGTGGACCCTCAGCATTTTGTTTAATCACAAAGGAAATTTGGGTGAAGAAGATCCTACAATCTTCTTGTTCACATTCTTTCAAAATCTCAGTCCTCCCATTTCACATTGCAGCTTCAATCTGTTTCTTAAATAAATCCAGTATCATGGTATCCAATTAAATTTGCTATCTCTGTATTTGACGACTCAAGCTTTTTCGTGTGTGTTTGAATCCTAAGTAACTTGCAAACTTGCATCATTATCTTACACAGGACAAGAAGCTTTCATCCAGTTAGCGGATCTTCTAAATATTCAAGTTGTTCAAATGAAGGAAAGAATTCATCCACTTGAGGTGCGCATGCCAAGTATATACACTTCGGCAGTCAGCCAGTTCATACGCAGAATGGTCAAGCACAGGTATGTGCAACGCTGTAGGCTTTCAAAGTTATAAACGTTCTATAATGCTCCTGTGTTTTAACTAATAATAATTCTTGCATTTGATATAGTGCCTTATCATGTCTTTGAGACATCTCAAAGCGCTTCACAGAATAAACTGTAAAGTGAATTGGCTGTATATTTTGTGGGCAAAACGCAGTATCCCACAAACAGTTGTGGATTCAGTGACCAAATTTTTTAAAATTTATTTTGAAGGAATTATTACCCCCGGAAAAGTGATCCGCCAATCGACTAACAACCGGGTTCTTACTTACTGCTAGGTAAACAGAGGCATTTGGAGTAAGGAAACTTTCCCAACGTTTCACCCTGCCAGGACTCAAACCCAGGCCCTCTTGCTTGGGAGGCGAGTGATCTAATTACAAAGCTACAGAACTCCACAGTGATTAAAACACTTATTTCTTGATTGTCTCTGAGTAGTGACCTAATGTTCTTAAGCACGATGATGGGTTCCTCATATATGAGAAGCCTGGCTGATGTTTAAAAAAAATAACACTTCAGTGTGACTGTTGTTGAGCATTGACTGTCGGCATAAAACAACTCAAATCATGAAACTTGTGAGATAGGCTCTACTTGTCCTCAGAATCTCTAGGTTGGAGAGGAGGGGGAATCAGTCAGGATTTCTGTTCTTGTTCTTAAGCATTACAGTATTGGATAGTAATCGAGTGGAAATCCTGGCTGAATATTTCTTCTTCCCTGCCAATGTTCCTGAAGTGAATTGTAGTGCCCAGCAGAAGTCATCAAGCTTAGACGTGGAAACCAATCTGTGTCCTAGACTCTATGACTTGTGCTATATTGGTTATTGATTTTATCAATTTATACTCTTCAATGTATTAAAGCTGCTGACTTTATACAAATACAGTAACAACTTCACTTTCTACCCTGAATTAATTGTGGCTCAGTGGGCCTGATGCAACAGTGATTTCTGTTTCTGTGCGTTATTTAGTTATAGTATAATAATCCTTGCATTTGATGTAGCGCTTTATCGCATTGACTATGCTAGTCTTTTGGTTTGTCACTAGTCTTGATAGATCATGATATAAGATTCTGTTAATGTGTTGCTTACTGCATATTTTTCTCCTGCAGGGGTTTCGGTACATGTATGATTTTATCATTGTCGTGAATACTATCTTCATTTGTGGTGATGAGGCCAACCCTTACATATCTGAGGCAGAGTGGGTCTTTTTGACACTCTACTTGATTGAAATCATGCTCAAACTATACACATACGAACCCAGAGTATATTTTGCGAAGAATCAGTTTTGGAATTGGTAATTTTTTTTCATATTTGTTCTCTTCCTGTTTCAGTTTAGGAATAATTTAAGCAGATGTTAACATTTATTTTTACTCTCCAGGTATGATACTATAATAGTACTTGCAGCTTTGTTGGGCACTGTAATCAATACTGCGCTCAAATCAGGTAAGCATTGCCTGCTGATTTGATTGAATGGTGACTATCTTTCTATTCTCTCTTTCCCCCTCCATCAAAATCCTGATCTGTTTCACATTAAAGGTAATTTAAGTTTCCTTCCTTCACAAATCCTGGCCAAATTTTTAGCTTTTTCAGCATTGTCCCTTCACGTGCAAATGTATTCTTGCTAATGTCAGCAATGTGCTGCATTTACCTGTGCCATGTGATTATGTGCGAATTTTGTTACACATGCATCAGTGTTACACATACCCACAATTTCAGTAATCAGACACCGCTTTTGTTGGATTGGTGTTTTGGATTTCCAATGGTTAGTGCACCCTGGGGTTAGTCGCTGGTGTACAGCACTTGGCTGATGGTGCACTGAAGTGAGCCCATTAGAAATATACTCCAGTCAGAGCAGCCGTGACACTGGTGCATGTGGCTCTGATAGTTGAACATTATTGATTTAGTGTTGAATATTGCTTTGCAAATAGATGCATTTTGTTATTCATTTTCAATTATTTTATATGCACTTCTGCAAATAAGTTTTACCTCAGTGATGAATTAAATCAGAGATGGCCAACTTGAGAGCTGCAATGTGTAAAATAGTCACCCAGTACCCATGTTGGCCATTCCTGCATTAAATAATGCAACATAATGCAATCAAAACATTTACATTGCTTGCATAATATTTCTGAAAGTTTTTGTTAATTCTTCTGTCCTTCGTGGTGCCTTATGGTTTCTGAAATAGTAAACCTTTGAAAATCTGAGTCAACTAGTAGTGGATAGCAGAGCAGTGATTTACTACTTGATTGCTAAATGTGCAGAGCAACAACTTGCATTCATGCACCTTCCTTCAAACAGGCTAGCATCTTGGAGCACTTAGCAGTGGCAGAGTTTGACGTTGAGCTGGGGAAACAGAAGGAGATGACTATAGGCATGATCGAAGAAGAAGGTCTTCAGTTACAATCTGAAGATGAGCAAGGCAGACGGATTGAGGCAGAGAGTTTCATAGTTTCAGGGTGTAATGGCTGAAAGCACAGCCATCGTTTTGCTTAGCTGGTGGAGCAGAGGGGATGAAGTTGTGCAAGAGGCCAGAGCCAGCTAAGCAAAATGGACAGAGGAATGGGGTGAAAGCAGATCAGGGAGGTGCTAAGGCACAAAGTGATTTTTGTATGCAAGTGTGATGATCTTGAAATTGATCCATTCTATAATAGGGAGCTATGGGAGCCTGGCAAAGACGACAACAAATTACACTTGTGTAGCATCCTTCACATTGGAAAGGTGTCCAAGGACACTCTAAGACTGGGGTAATGGAGATGCCAAGTTTGGTACAGGCGTGGATATGGGTGGTGAAGTTTTGAATCAATTGGATTTTATGAATGGTGGAGCTGGGAAGACCGGCGAGGAATGTATCAGAATCGTCAAGACAGAAAGTGATGAAAAGATGGGCAAGGGCTTTGGCTGTGTTGGGTGTGAGGTATGGTCGGAGGTGGGCAATGTACTGTTGGTGGAGAAAAGTGGTCCTGGTCAGGGACCGGACGTGGGGTGGGAAGGACAGATGGGAATCGACCCTTATGCCAGGTTACGCACAGGTTCAGTACGTCTGAGGGAGAGGCTGGGGAGGTTAAGGAGATTGGAGCAGCAGATGAGATTATGTTGATGGGAAGCAGGATAGCTTCTGTCTTGTTAACATTCAGCTGCAAACCGTTGGCACTCATCCAAAAATAAAGTTATAAAACATCTGATTCAATAGGTATGCCTTCTGCCTTGTGTCCCTTGTTGCTGTGTAGTTAGTATTGTGACAGGACTGTTGGGACATCCTCCTGACATGGAAGGTGTTATATAAATGTAAATTTGTAATGTATTAATAAAAAGCTGCCACTTCCTTAAGGATTGGCTAGCACAAACTCACTTGATGTGAAGGAAATAATAGAGAGAATCTGCAAACAGGTCACAAGTGTTTTCTTGAGGGTAGCTGAAGCACCACATGCAGAAAACTGTTCTGAATTGAAAAAACACCGGCTTGGGAGTCTTCTGGAGGCACATGTGCTTAAAGGTTTCTGCAGGGTCATTCACCTGCGTGACCCTTATTGCTGAACCCAACATTGCTCAAAGATTTCCATAAAGTTAAACCTGCTTCACGTACGCTTGGGTTAGCGGCAGGAGGTTTTGTCCTTCCAAATAATTTTTTTTAGTTATGGGTTTGTTGATCAGGAAACCAAAAAGCAACAGCAGCAAAATACTGATTAGGGGTGAGGAGCCAATTGTTGTCATCTCACTCTGGAGATGAAAAATGAATCAGTTGCTTGTTTTACTGTGGAAAAAGGAAGATAGCTGTATAAATGTGATTGTTGAGTCCTGTAAAGGGTCAAAGTGCAGAATTACAATGCTGGCTCAAAGTAGTGGATCTGGACTGGTGGAAATTCAAGCTTTATCTTCTGCAATAAAGTATGTGTTTCCAAGCCCTATTAGTCGGGCTCAAGGTGGCTAAATGACAGTAATTCACTGATTATAATCAATATAATTGTGTTTAGTGTAATTGCAGAGAATGGTTTGGTTAATAGACTAAGGCAGATAGCTGTGTGAGAGATTTCTATGGTTTTCTGAGTGAGCGAAATGTTGTAGCAGTCTGTTTTACTGTGTAGTTTCAGCCAAATTCACTTAAGAGTAAATATAGGGGAATGTTTCTTAAAGTGAGAGGGGGAGGGGATCATTTGTAGTGTAACAATATATGCAAATTGATAGGTTGAGTAGGGATTTTGTCTGGGTGAGGTCATGGCAACTTCGGTAACTTATTTTTTGAGATAATGGGCATTGTTGCTTGTTCTGGGAGAGCTCAGTTCGCCAATGTAAATCCAGGTAACCTTTATCATACAGTGAACTATCTTTTGGATTGTGTACTGTTAACCACTCAATAATTTTAAGACCACCTTTTCTGAAATGCAGTGTTGTCCACATAATGATACCATAATTTAGAGTCTAGGGCTGTTCACACCATTGCATGTGCTACATTTGAGATACCTAGTTCACAGCAGCATATTTAATGTAGTCTCGTCTTTCAGCGAATGGATATTCCAATCAGCAGATCTTGGATATTGTGTTTATCTTGAGAATCCTTCGAACAGTCAGGATTATTGACAGCTTCTACAGGTAAAAACTGAAATTCAGACTTTTTCAACAAATCGCCTGAAATTTACAACATTTCATAAGTAGTGTTACATGCCAGGGGAATGATTGATATCTGTAGATATTGACATTTTTCAGGGTTGATGCTTGATTTGTTACTGTAATAGATGAGGCTATCAACTTAACGCTTGTATTTCTTTAGACAACAACAAGTTACGTTTGTTTCAGAATGGATGGGGAACTGTTCTGCCACTAATAGTGGAATTAAAGCATGGTATCTCAAGCCTCTGTTCTGTGTCAATTTTATATTATTGAAAGACCCCAGATATCTCACTTAGTAATCCATTATTTTACTCTCCAGAACTTTCTTCTCACACATAGGGATTTGAGCTGAGTCTAGGTTGCCTCTTAGTTCAGTAATGGGGAAGTACGGCATTGTCTGAGGGTACTATCTTCCAGACGAGACATTAACATGAGAGCATAAGAAATGCTAGACAAAGAAAAAAAACAAGATCCATCTAGTTCGCCTTCCACCTTCCTAGCAGTCGCATGCACATATGTCCCAAACTACCTATTTAATAATAATAATCCTTGCATTTGATATAGCGCTTTTCATGTCTACTAGACATTTCAAAGCACTTCACAGAATATACTGTCAAGCGAATTGACTGTATATTTTGTGGGTGAAACAGGGTAGCCAACTTCGCACAGCAGTGTCCCACAAACAGTCGTGGATTGAGTGACCAAATTTATTAATTTTTTCTTGAGGGATTATTATCAGGCATGTGGAGTAAGGAAACTTGCCCAGAGGTTTCGCAATGTCGGGAATTGAATTCAGGTCTCTCGCTTGCGAGGCAAGTGCTCTAACCATTGAGCTACAGGACTCCACAAAACTACATCCGATAATGTTATTTGATAAAAGAAAACTATCTAATCTGTGTTTGAAAGAATCAACACTTCCTGCTTCAACCATCTCCCTAGGGAGCCTGTTCCACAGGTTCACTATTCGCTCACTGAAATAGTGTTTGCGTAGATTTATTCTGAATTTCCTGCCCTTCAATCACAGGCCGTATCCTCTGGTTTTATTATTCTGGACAAGTTGAAACAGCCTGGCATGATCTATGTTGTCTTGCCCCTTTAGAATCATAAAAACAACAATCATGTTAAAGACATATCACTTTGCTGAACATCAATAGTTTGAATTGCATTTTTGAGGCTTGATTTATTTATCTGCTGTCTTGAGTTCAGAGACCAAATTAAAAACTCTTGAGCTTTAATTAAGCTGCTGAATCCATGGAGCAGGCAATTCAAGTCGCTCGGAAAAGTGAGTAGAATTGCAGGGAATTAAGACTTTTAAGTAACAAAAAGAGATTGTAGTCTTGTTCTGTGTGGTGATCAGTTCATGATCCAAATCTTTTAAGCAGAGAGGATGTAGCTATAATTGGGCTAATTAAAACAGAAGAGGAATGTACAAATAGCAAGCCTCAATTGAGACTGTGATCAAAACAAGCCAGAACCTCCAAAAATGCAATTCAAACGTGGCAAAATTAGGTACATCTGATTGGGAATGAGATTCAATATCTAGGGATTAGTATAAAATGAAAAAAACATACATTTTGCATTTCAATAGTGCATTATCAGGTCACTCTCAAAATGCTTTACAGTAATTATTGTTCCTAAGTGAGTGTAGCAGCCATCTTATAAGGTTTCTCAAGCCTGAGATGAATGATTTTTGTCTGGAGGATTGTTGGCCAGAACATTGAGAAAAATGCACTTCTCTTTTCAAAAAAGCAGCCAACAGAACTTTGATTTAACATTGTATCTAAATGATAACCCCTCAGATAATGTAGAGCTCCTCCGAGACCTGATGTGTGTGTAGCTAGGGTTTTATTCCAATATGGTGTGGTCTCACCTTACCTCTGCAACATTCTCAAACTGCTCCCTCTGTTTGGTTGACTGCTTCACACCCCTCCCACCAGCATTGATCGGGCTTTCAGCCTAGTTGTCTCCACTCCATCCTAGAGTCCCGTCAGGCATCTTTCCGCAGCCCCCCTTGGCTCCCTGTTGACCTGAACATGCAGACAGGACCTTGGACAGCACTGCACTGGACTATCACCCTCTACCATGAGTTCAAAATCACAAATTGGGTCTTGAATCCACAATCTTCTTACTCTGAGGCAAAAGGCTATCAACTGAGTCAGGCTGGAACCTTCAATATTTGTGCAGAAAATAATTGCCTGGATTGAATTGTGAGATTTATGCATTCTATAGTTCTGCTTATCTACCTGAATGTTCCATCGGAGCGTTAAATAATAAGTCTGTTTGTATTTGGTTTGTGGGCTCGTCCATCAAAGTGATCTCTTTATTCTTTTAAAATCCAGGTTCCGAATTCTTCTCAATACACTGTTGAATCTTCTCCCTACAATGCTAACATATGCGATGCTTACTGTGGTGAGTAGTAACTGGTGAATTGTTTTGTAACTGAGGAACCTGAGTAGGAATTATTATATGTATTAGATAATTATTTGTTGGAAGATTACGGCAGATCTTTAATTCCCATATCCTTTAATACCTTTACTACCCAACTATCTTTCTTCCTTTTAAACAATCCCATTTGATTTTGCACCTAACATGTTGCTCGATGGAAAAAATATATTGTCATATGGAAAAAAACTGACTGGGATTTATTCTCTTCAGATTGTGTACTATACATTTGCAATAATTGGAATGGAGGCATTCAAAGGTAGAATTCGATTTTATGGATCCAATTCCAGTGACCCTGCAGCTAATTATTGTGGAAATCCAGCACTGAAAGGCACTCAGTTTGCTGCTGATGGATACTGCAAGAACAACTTCAACAATATTATTCACTCATTCATTTTGCTGGTTGAATTGACCGTTGTGAATCAATGGCATAATATCCTTTTTGATATTAAATATAAAAAGAAAATCTGGTTCTGAAGCATAATGTTAGAATTCTGGATAAATGAAATTGAGCATGAAGGTTTGCTTAAAAATATTTTTTTATAGAAATGGAACTCCAGTGGCAAAAATTAGTGAGCCAAAAAACATAATAGAATTAATGAAAAGGTGGGGGGGGGGGCCTGATGTGTCTTAAATGGGGTTATTTTGGATAACGTTGCAATTCCATATGGCATAAAGCCATGCAGGCCCAAAGATTGTGTGTCTGGTCCTTGGCTTGTGATTTGTTTGCTGGCACAACATCAATCAATGTCAGCTTGCCTCAGTTGGTAGTGCTCACATTTTCTGTCAGAAATTTGTGGGTTAAAGATTATATTCTAGGTTGACACTTTAGTGCAGTGTGAGAGAGTATTAAACCAAGTTTCCATTTGTCTTTCAGGTAGATGTTAAAGAACCCATGGCATGATTTGAAAACAAACAGGAGTTTCTCCCAGCAACCTGGCCTCATGCAAATCAATGCCATTCATCTCACTGAGAGACATTGGTGTTTGCAAATTAGCTGCTATGTTAGCCCACAAACAGAGTCCCTACATCGAACAGTAATTACTCTTTACGTGTTTTGAGATGTTTCCACATTAATGACCCTATATGAAATTCTATTCTATTCTGGAGTCCGGTAGCCTGGTGGTTAGAGCACTTGCCTCACAAGTGGGTTTGATTCCCAGCAGGGCAAAACTTTGGGAAAGTTTCCTTACTCCACACACCTCTGTTTAACTAGCAGTAACTGGGAACCCGGTTATTAATCGATTGATGAATCACTTCTCCAGGGGTAATAATTCCTTCAAAATAAATAAAAAGAATTTGGTCACTCAATCCACAACTGTTTGTGGGACACTGCTGTGTGCAATCGGCTGACGCATTTTGTCCACAAAATATAGTCAATTCACTTCACAGTATATTCTGTGAAGCGCTTTGAGACGTCTTGAATACGTGATAAGGCGCCTTTTCAAATGCAAGGATTATTATTATCTATTAGATGTCAGTTTAGGATCCACAGTTAGCCTTAGTAACCCTAAGCTAAGGAGAGAAACACAGTTAGCATTCCGGCTGTGGACTGTTATGCAGTGATTCCTGCTGGATGCATATATGTTTGTTGATATTGTAACAACAGGCTTGGCTGTGATGGCTTCTGAGGAAGGATTGCTGCTAACATTTGTAGTCTAGGCTCGCAGATGAAGAACAGCTAAAGGGATAGCGACCAAAGGCTGCTGGTGTTTGTGAAACTGTAGCCCAGCCTGGGTCAGTGGCACTGTACAAATGTAATTTTGTTTTGTTGCATCTTTGAGTCATAACACCTTTTCTAATCCAGGATAGATTTTGTTTCATTGTTCCTTGACTATATAAATACTTATTGCAACTGGATTTGTGGCGGTAACTCACTTAATTACAAGGATCTACTTTGTTATATTTCACGTTGTGGTCGTCATTATATTTATCAAGTAAGTTTAATATGATGAGTTTTAGAATGATCTAAACCTGTGTGGGGGTGGTGGTGTGGGAGTGAAGTAATTGATGTAGCTGCATTAATCCTCTCCCTCTTTGAAAGTATCTTCATAGCATTTGTCTTGGAAGCTTTCTTTGTGGAGCACTCACTGGCCAGGAGTGCAGTAGAAACTGCGCTTGAGAAGAAAATTCAGGAGTTGGGGATGGGGTTTTGCGAGTAAGTAAACCAGGGCTCAGAGATTATGATCGTCAACAATGTAACTCATGTTAAACCTTCTGCATCTGTTGCGTTTCAGAGATCAACCGGATGGACAGTTAGTTGATGTTACAGAGATGAATGAAAATTATTCTAGTATCGATGACACAAAGCTAGAAACCAGACTGAAGTTCAAAATAGCTTCGATCAGTGAGTATTCATTTTGTTACATTACGAGTTGAAAAAAGTAGTTTATTAAATCTATTAATTATTCTTTGCATAAAGGTTTTTATGTACCAGAAGCTTTGGATGTTGTTCCCACCTCATTTTATCACCACTTTGTCCGAGGAGCAGGAGGAATGAGCTGGTCTGTTAATGCTGCTCTTTTAGTCAGTAGAGAAATGGTGACATTCAGCTAACAGATGTGATGGATAGAAAGGACTTGTCGCTCAGGGACTTTTAATCTATTAGCTCATATTTGGAGCAAGAGAATTGTTACTGAGCAAACATAAATCTTAATCTTGTAACTATTTTTCTTCCTGTTCAAAATTAAACCTATTGATTTCACAAATGTTTTGAAAAGATGTATAATAATTGCATAGGTCTACATTGCTGCACGCAGATCCCAGAGATCCAACTCACAAATCAATGCAATTTTTCAATAAAAACTGAACTGGCTGCAATTCTCGTGAATGCCTCTCTCCAGTGCTACTGCTCCAACCAGGCGACTGCATTTCAGATCTTGTAGTTATCACGCCGACTCTAGACTACAACAATGCTTTTAAATCCCTCCATGGTCTTGCCCCCACCCTAAATCTAACCTTATTGAAACCAACCAATCCAGCCGCGCCCTCTACTCAACATGCATTGGCGTGTTTCACGTTTTTCTCCGCCCACCCCACTAGCAAGTGGTTCAGCCTATCTGTCCCCACTCTCTGGAACTCTATCCTAGAGTCTCTTCACCTCTCCCCTCCTTCAAGGCCCATCTCAAGACCTTCCTCTTTGACTGTGCTTTTGATGATCTTTTTCCCATTCCCCAACCTTCTTGAATCCAACCCACAGCTCGGGTGCAAACCCTGAATTGTCCTGCACCTTGGTACATGAAAAGTGCTATGTAAGTGCAAGTTGTTGTTGCTTCTGCTTCAGCATTTGCATATGGGAGAAGAGAGTTTTACACAAGTCATTACTGTATTTATTGATGATGACTCTTGTTCAGAGCTTATGATCTGGAGTAGGCAGATAACAAACTGTCCTTTGTTGCAGGGTACAAGACTGTTGATACTTTGTTACAGCATATGTTTGAGGCGGAGCTGAAACCAAAGGATCAGCTGCCAACGCTGGAAGAGATTGAGGAGTTTTCACCAGATGACATGGTGCCACAGCGGCCTACTTTTTATAGTGTTGCATAGCTTTTTCTTACTGTAATTATAGAAGCATTCCATATTAATGTATCAATTTAGCTAGTTTCTATACAGGAGAAATGGGCTGCCTTTTCACCTATCTGGCATTTTATTTGTACAGTACTATTTCTTGAAAGCTAATGGATTGTACTGAGAAATTGCACTTCAAAGGGATTATCTTACTTTTTTGACGATTGTATATTTTCTATTGTAAAAAGAAATTCATATACTTCAATAAATGTGGAGTCCTGTAGCTCAGTGGTTAGAGCACTCGCTTTGCAAGTGAGAGACCTGAGTTCAATTCCAGGCAGAGGGCGAAACCTTGGACAAGTTTCCTTACTCCACACAGAGCCTAATAATAATCCCTCCAAAACCAATAATAAATTGGTCATTTTCAATCCACAACTGTTTGTGGGACACTGCTGTGCGCAATTGGCTGCTGCGTTTCGCCCACAAATATACAGTCAATTCACTTTAGTCTATTCTGTGAAGTGCTTTGAGACGTTGAGAAGACACGAAAAGCGCTGTATCAAATGCAAGGATTATTATTTTTATTATAAATGCAGCAAAAATATTTAAAATTGCTGTTTCATGTACCAAACTAGGAAAATATTGATTAAAAAATATCAATTACTAACTTTTGCTTTAGTAGATTTCTATCCCTTAACTAATTTAACTTAATTATTAGAATGCTTATCTGTAATTGCTGTAAAATTCTACGATTCTATAAATGCAAATTGTTGCCTGGAAAGGTCCCCCAACTACACTGAAGCCAGATGTCTGTCAACTAGCTGATAGATTTTTTTTATTTTAACGTCTACCCAAACAGGCAGACAGTTTAAATTCTCATTTACAGGTGGCACCTCTGCTAATGCTGTGCTCTCCTCTTCTGAGCAGTGTCAATCTAGATTGCAAACTGAAGCCCCAGCTTGAACCCACAACTGTCTGACCTAGTGGCAAGAGTGCTATGCTACCTGAACCAGGCTCCTAATAGCATCTCAAATTGCACTTCCTTCTGTGAATATTTTACAAATTAGCTGAATCTGGTGCTCCAGGCTGTTTCATCTTAATCCATTATGGCAGGTGGTGCATTGGAACTATTACACCCTCTAGGTTTGACCACCACTGAATGGTGTAAATTAAAACTAGCACTTTATAGGTTGTGTGAAAATGAATCTGTTGCCTTATGTAGCAATACTTTCAGACACTGAAGTGTAATTGTACAAGCCATGTGGAAAAGGCAAAATCAAGGAATTAAGTGAATAAAATTGAAAAGTACTATGTGAGGATCAATAGCACTCTACAATCTGAACTAAGACTTTTGAGATGCAAGATGACTCCTGAGGACTGCTTTAGGAGCACTGTGTGTTCCTGGTCATCAACTATCAGGGACAAGCTGTAGTTGAGGGAGGAGGTTCCAGCTGAGAGGAGCCTAGCCACACCATGGCAGTGCTTGGGTTGAGATAGTAGGCAAAGCACCTTTAACCTCATTTACACAAAAATACTGCAATTTTACCCCCTTCTTTCTTAAAATACAATTCTGCCTTTCAAACATCCCTTACATTGAAGCTTATGAGTGCAATTCACATCGATTCTCTGTACTAGAAGTGAAGATTGTATAGATAGACCTGTTAAAGGCTTTTTCAATTGCATCAAATGTTTATTTACACAAAAGAGCAATGAAATACAGAATACAGCACACAGATCTATGGATTTGGAAAACTTCTTAATCTTAAAATGTTCAGCTAATTTAAAGTAAACAATGTTTTGCAGATGATAAACAGATTTGACAATTTCTCACCAATGCTGCAACTGGGGAGTTTCCACAACCTCGGGAGTCAATAGCTTTTCTCACAGAAGCCTAAGTTGACTTGAGAATGTAGCCATTTGCATACTAGAAACTTCTCTTGAATTGAGCTTCTTCAAAGCCACAAATGAGCTTCATAGCTTACTGGAGTGAGCTTCACCCTTAAGCCTCCAGGTAACTGCTCTATTTGAAGCACACAGATAGATCAGCTCAGCGAGCAGGACAATTTGTTAAATTATTCAATCTCACAATTTTTTGGTTGAAGCGTGCAACACTGGGCACAATTAGTCTTTTCGACTTTGTGTCTTGAAAAATAATTTAGAGTTTTGCAATATTGAACAAATTGGGGGATAATGGTGGAAGCAATTTGTATCACAATTAAAAAGCATAAAGGCTTAAATAATATTTCCTCCAGTCTATTGGTAGCACTAACCTAAATAAACCTAATGCCAACACTGCCATCTGCAGCCAATCTGATGGCTACACCTAGTTAATATGAACTATAGTTAGGACAAAATAACACTTAAATATAATTCATATTAAAAGAAAGAACATCAGAAATAATCTTTAGTACCAAATAAGTTCTTTCTGGCAAGTTACAAAACAATGCTTGGCAAATATGTATGGAATAAACAGCACAACTTTGGTGGAGCAGAGAATTTAGGACAGCAAATTTAATTTACCATTATATGCAATACAAATGAAAGGCAGTAGATATTTAGCAATGGTTAAGCACAACAGAAATGACATTCTTCCAAAAGACTGTACACTATACATACAAGGATCTGAATTATGGACAGCTTTCCAATTTACATTCATTTTTGTGACCGCTTATTTTCAATTAAAAGAACCATCAGTCTGTTTCGAAGTGACCTAAGCTTGTTTCTGTACTGTTCCTGGAACAGGGATACAAGTTCCTCTCGAAGTGTTCGAAGTGATGGCAAAGCCTGGCAGCTGGGCACATACAGCAAGGTGTTGAAGAAATTGTTCCACATTTCTGTATGATGACTTCTGAAAAAACAAATAAAATTATACAGGCTGTGCAGCATGGAAACAGGTCATTCAACTTCTATGCTGTAGGAGATACACTCATGCTCAGCCCTCCTAATTACCTCGCGCACGCATCACATTTCCTCTTAAATATGTTGCAAATATGCTGATCAAATCATAGCTTCCAGCAGTGAGATTCACATTCTCAGCACATGTGTTTATTATTCCTCAACTCTCATTTAGACCCATCTTATATTTACGTTATATTGTTTTAGATTCACCGAGGGGAAACAACCTCTTAATGTCTACCTTATTGAATCTTTTCAATAATTCAAACACCTCATTCAGGTCCCATCTCACCTGCAGAAAGAAAAGCTCTGTCCAATCTTTCTTGATGACTGTATCCATTTACCCTAGGTATCATCCTAGTAAATCAACCTGCAATTGCTTAATTGTTACAAAATCTTTCCTATATGAACACAGTAAACCCCTGACTTACCAGAATTTGGACCCGGCCGGACTGGGCACAACACCAAAAAAAAAAAAAAAATTCTGCCAATTCACTCTCCTGGCGCATGCCAACGCCATGCTGAGCAGCCTCACCATGCTTGCTGCCCTTCACAGTAGCCAGAGATATCCACTTTGACTCAGATTGTTTGAATACCGTGAGCAGAAAATTGTTTAATTACTGATTCAAATAATTAAAATTCAAGTACCAGTATTTTGGAAAAAATGCCAGTAAATGCCAGGACCGACATTGTAATCACAGGCATGGAGGAAACTTGTGATTCAGCCCATCCACTAAATGCTGAAATGTTTTGGTGCAGTTGGCTCTTGAATACTGTAGTTATCAGCTCGAGGAAGCAACATGCAGTGGCAATTGCAGGATGACACCCACACCAGGTAGATCATATGTCGTGATCAATGTACATTTTACTGAGTGCAATTTCTTCCATAAATGAAGCTTCACAATTTAAAAAAATCTGACCTTTTAAATGTCGTGTTGACCTTCCAGATACCTTGCTCCTTCTTTAATTTCATGTATGTACCAAATAACATGCAGTGAATCGTCGCTGCTATTCCAAAGTAATCTGTCTAAAATACACAACATAGAACGTTTGTTATAGCGCAAACTATCATATAATTCAGCTGAAGATTTTGAAGAATGGTTTTGAAAATGATCTGAACATGAAAGAAATAACATAGATATAATCCAAATTACATTGAGCAAGCAGTTTATCGAATCTAAATTTACCTAAATACGATGAAATGATTCAATTATAGTGGATACAACAAATGAGACATCCACAACACACATATTCAGTGGCAATGTACTGCTAACTGACTGAATCTTTCAGGGAATAGAATCCATAGTCAATTTGGCAGCATTACATTCCAGAGTCATAAGGCAGTGAAATCAGATGGGGAGTTAATCCAGGTCACTAACTCGTGGTGTTGTAGCCTGTTATGGCGTTGTGCTGCATGCCCTGGGCTAAGAAGACCAGGGTGGAAAGAGAAATTAAAAACTAAAATACAGTATACCTGGTAGGTCCAAGGTTTCTCAGACATCATTTCAATACACTGGAAGCCGGAGGTTTTACAATTTGCCATGAAAACTGCATCTTTGGGGAAGAGTTTCATATCTATGCTTTGACCATAGTCGATCAATACCAGTCCTTGTGACAAACTGTCAACAACACTAGCCGCACCACTGTCCAGGAACCTACATTGAAAACACCAATATTCTGATTAATTCAGGCAAACTCGTTCAGGTTATTTAGAGTCCTTTCCTGGACTAACTTTTAACTGGTTTCCAGAACCTCAACATCACATCTCATTGAGAACAATTAATAATAATAATAATAGTATTTTAAGTGAAGAAAATACAAATACTTTTTTTAAACCCTCTTCTTCCCCACATCAGATTCAACTTTAGAAAATGTTACAATAAATTATAAAATAATCATTGCATTTAATGTAGCACCTTTCATGTCTGAACAATGTCTAAGGCAATCATTGCGCCTATGCTTCATTTACATTGCAAAACATGCATCACCAGGGATATTTCATGGCTCAGTGAGCAACAATTTCACCCCCTGGCCAAATGCTGGATGTCTGACCTGAGCGATAGGAGCTCATTACCAAATGAACAGAACAAGATTGACTATTTTGGGATTACACCAGAATAGAAACTGCAGCTGTACTTTAATCCTCTCCTCCCAGACACCACCTTGTTCACTAAACACATTGTTCGTACAGATCGCTTTTCCGGGGGTAATAATAATAATTTGTTTGCTCACCCACGACAGTTTGTAGGACACTGCTGTGCGCAATTAGCTGCCGCGTTTCACCCACAAAATAGTCAATTCACTTTACAGTATATTCTGTGAAGCGCTTAGAGACGCCTCAAAGATGTGATAAGGCGCTATATCAAAAGCAAGGTTTATTATTATTATATTATCTGTACAGGATTTCTCCATTTGAAATTTATACTAGCTGGAACATCTGAGTGGCTAAGGCAAACTATGGAAACATGAAGGATTTAGATAAATATTGAAATAGGTTCATTCATAATATCACAGTGTACAAATTATTACGCCAATTAAAAAAATATGGATGCAAAAAGAACATTTAAGAACTAATAAATAGCTAATTTTTCTTAGTGCATTTTTATATGTTGTAAACTGCAGAATCTCTCACTGAAAACATATCTATCAGATGTATGGAAAAACAGATACAAACCTTTCTCCCAGTATAAAGTTGTCAGGTTTTATGTCGCCGTGAATGATTCCAATATTATGCAACTGCTCCACGATGTACAGAATGTGGATTGCAAAGTAGATCACCAGGGGCTGAGGCAAGACTTTGTCACTTTGTGTTTTATATATATTGACTGTATTCTAAATTGAAAGAAAATATTGGATTTTACTCAAAGGGTAATTCTTTACAATAGAGGCCTACTCCCATTTACTATGGACTTTGATCCAGTAAAACCCACAAGGAAGCTTATGGATCTGACTCAAAGAAGGAATGTGGCCAGTTACATACGGTACACATTTATCATACAAAGATCAAAAGAAGTTACTTCATTTGCTGAAGAGGGNAAAAAAAGCCTTTTGAGCATTGAATGTCACTCTGAGGTTTTAGCTCATTTATCTGCTTGGAGACCCAAATCCAAATAGGACATACATTATGGTATCTATAGTATATAAGATTTGGCAAAAAAACAGGTTGTTGAATAAAATTAAAATACCAGCAAAGTTCCATAGTTGTACAATTCTCCAACTAAAATGCTCCCATTGTTAAAGAAATGTCCAGAGTCAATGTTGGTGTAAAGATGGTGAACTTTGCGCTGTAGCCTCGCATTTATTTGAGTATTTATATAGAATTCCCATTGACTGGATGGTTTCTGAACCTGCAAAATAAATTTGGGTATTACAAGAATGCATTTTTAAAATTGGTCACCATAATCATATTACAAATCCTAATGCCTGCATGTTGTAACATCCGTAAAATTACTAAAAAATTATGAATGTATTTTAAAAGAATGTTATAATCCAACGCTGAGCGGTACTGTGGATCTAAAGTACAAAACAAGAAAATTATGTTAACAGTAGATTGTTGTGCTCACCTTTAACATAACTTTTTGTTGGTTTCTCACATCAGAGAGATTATTCATATTCAGAAGTGTGGCTTGGTAGACATGGGCAAAGGCCCCCTGACCAAGCAGATAATCCACATGGAATACTTTATCCCCTAAATATAGAGAGGGATTAAAAAGGAGAGATGGATTTTACACAAAGTACTGCATGATAGTAGCCGACTCTTCAATATAGTCAAAGGAAGAAAGTGTGAAGTAACAAACAAAAAGTGAAGGAAATAGAAATAAACACAATATGTCCACAGAGTTTAAATTGGGTTCATACTCCCAGCTGACTTGAACTGAATAATAGAGTAACCACCACCTAAACTGAACCTAACAACACAATCTGTATCATAACTAGTACTTTGACTGGCAGCATTCACCAAAAATCTACATCTGAGCACAGCCCAATATTTCCAGCACTTGCTTCTGCTGCACTATTTCCGTCTAAATTTTAAAGCTACAGCGTAATCTCGAGCTGGGAATAATTGGTTATTCAAGTGTTTTATGTATAATACTTTTGGAAGAGTCCCTGCGTTTGGTTGATATCTGTGTTCTCTGCTGCTAAGTACACTTGCTTAAGGTCATCGGAGAAGCATAAGATTAGATTTGGTTGTGAAGAGCTTGTGGTCAAATATCCTGCTAACATTCACGAAGACTCATCACGAGTGACATCATAGTGCACCAGCCCATTACCCATTAACCTGTACCTCAACACGTTAGGACATTTTAAAAAGCAGAAAAAAAAAATCAGAGTAGGTGAAAAAGTAGAAAAAGATACTCATTGATCCAATGGATCTTTTTCATAATTATGTCAGTCAAACTGGATAAACGAAGAAACAATTCTTCCCAGTCTAATAAATGTTTTAATTTAAATGTCCATTAAATTCAAAAGATAAATGAACCAACATCCTCCTTAGTATAAACATACAGATAGCATAGCATATAAATTGCAGCAAAGCTTAGCACCAGATATACCCTGGACTAGAACTATTAAGCAGGTAAGAGCGTTATTAACAGAAAGTACCAAACCAAGGCCAGATATTGTATCTCAGTATAGGAATAAAGTGTAACAGGATAGGAAGAAGCAGACTTTTTTTTTAAAAAAAGTGAAATGCAGATAGGCACATGGAACAGACTACCAGGCCAAGTGATAGGACAGGGAAATAACTATAAATCGTTCTGGAACTATAAAAAGGAAGTAGATTAGTTCCTGAAAATTAAAAGCACGCAGGTATGTCAAAGGATTACTTTGGAAAGATGGATGGGCAGGCTAAATGGACCAATGGTCAATACCTGAAAATTACTATGTTACTGAGTAAAAGGGCACGAGGGAAAGTAGACGTGGTCAAAGTTACCTTAAAATTAAGCTAAGGACACATAGAATCCAACTAAGGAGCACAGTGCAGCAAAGACTAGATGGCTGGCTGTAGAAATGACAGCAGGGATGAGAAATACAAAGAGTTTTAGAAAGGTATCTATTAATAAATAGACATTACTACTAATAAAACACACTGTTTACCTAATGTGAGGCTGACTTTAGGTCTAATAGTAGGCAGATTCTTGTCCCAATTAAAACAAGAGGAGTAGGAGTTCACTGGTTTTGGAAGGTTTGCCAGGTGTTCAGCAATGATATCCTTGTCCCAAGGATTTACAATGATTGTGTCTGCAACTGAGAAGCAAATTGATTAGGTTTTCATAAGATTGTACAGTTCATGTTGATGTACAGAAACTACAAATTAAATAGCTCAATCAACTCAATTTCCTGAGGTAGACAACCTGAAGCTTTTGTCTTCCAATACCCCCTCCAGGTAATCTGAGTTAAAGTCCCCACATTAATCCAAACCTATAAAGCTCATTTACAAATTGGAATTGGAGTATCAGCTCCCAGCCTTTGACTGTGGATAACAGCTTCTTCTTCATGAACAAAAATAGGGTGTCCTGCTAGTCACAGCTAAAACCCAACGTCAAAGACCAGACTTCAGATTTCCCCACTGACTTCAGATTTCCCCACTGAGAATGGCATCAAGACGGTCATGCAAATAATAAATTCAAAACAGGCCATACATCTATCTCTCCCTCCGCCCGATTCCCAGATTTGATTTCCACTGAATGATCATGAGTCACACCCCAAATGAGCTATTTGGGATCAACTGCTTAAACTAAACCATTCAGAAAAACACAAGGATGGATATGAAGTCAATCAGTTCTTTATCATTGCGATCGTTCTATCGCCTCTATTGGTTAGACTCCCATTTGGCATGTTGCCACTCTTGCCCCATGTGTAAACCAGGAAGGAACTCTGTGCTTGGTTGAAAAACTCCTATACATTTACCAGTTTCTGCTTGCATTCCATCAGATTCTCCATCAAGATCGCTATTGTACATATCCTGCAGACAGCAAAATGACTGTTCAGGTTTAAGATACTCTTCCTCAGGTATAGTCAGGGAGCACGATTCCAGCTGCCGTTCAGTCAGATGAACCTTTTCACAGATTGGGGGTTCATTATTGCCCAACCAATTAGGGCTAGGGTCAGCAGAAGCAATGACAGCAGAGGATGAAATGTTAATGGGTTCAGGCCCTGGATCCTCAACAGGGCTGTATATATAAAAAAAAGAAGAATGTTCAAAACCAACATCAAGAATGAAATAGTTTGCATCTGAGCTGTCTGTCCTTTCTAATTTGGATGAACTGTCTGGTATTCTTATAAACAGTCCAAACACTGATCACCAATACTGAAAGGCTGTGTGCAGCTTACTTCAGGGACAATACTTCAGAGCTAGACCCTCACACACACTCTTTATACAATAGTGCATTTAATGTTCTTTTAGCATTCTTATAGAGAAACCCATTATATGCTCTTCGATGTAACTTCCCTATACCATGGAGCCACGCTAAACAGGTTCTTAAGAAAAGCCCAACTTCCTGGTCACCACTAATGTCATGTGCAGGAAGGTTCTCAAATATCATTTCTCTCAGGAAGTAACACTAAGTGGCGACCTGGTGATGTTAACCTATTTTGGCCAAATCTCTTATAATAAAGTTCCTCTGTATTAAGAGATTATAAGGGGTATAATTTGTAAATAATGAAAAGAATTGTAAACTTGTGTACCAGTTTTCAAAAGGGAACCAAATACAGTGCAGCCCTGTTACTCTTCACAACAAAAAAAAGTATTTATTAACAAGATTTCACTGTGGACTCCATATTTGGTGCAGTCGGCCCACTCACATCCCATACATTGACTGATTTTCACTGAAAATAGCCAACTTCCTAGTCATTAGATTAACACCGGGGGTCATGTCCTACTTTCTGACTGGACAGTAAACAGGAAGTGATGTCGCTGGTAAAATAAGGCTCCATAATTCAACTTTTTCTTATTGTACGAGAACCGGCGGCTGGCGTTTGCAGGCACACACAAACAAACCCAATCTAGTGTGAGTGGGATTTTGCAAGGTACAAATCTTTTGATAACAGTGACAATTTAGACCCCAAATTAGTAAAAAGTATTGAAATTCTACCATAAACAATTCTTTATAACAATTCAACATGTGTTATCTATCTGTCTTAAAACTATTTCCTTTCAATTGAGTAACAGATTATTACTGAAATTCTGCATTAATTTATGAAGTTAGATACTTGGTCAGTTGATGGATGAAATTGAAAGTCTCTCTAGGTAGTCCTTACCTAGTTTGTCTGGTTTGGAAAAGCTGTATGGAGTTCTCCAGTGATGAAACAAAAATTGGGTACCCATCTGCATCAGGTACTGCATTTTCTGGAAAAAACATTCACAATGTTTACAACTGGAAAATTATTTTTTACAGTGCAAAGAACTGATCACAGAAAAGTTTTCAATATTGAAAAATTAGGAAAGTTAAGAGATTTTCTAAAAGATAGTCACCCCTTACTGCTAAAAACCACCAGAATGCAAGTTCTTATTTCCATAGGAAAATAGGAACAGGAGGAGCCATTCAGCTCATCAAGCCTGCTCCACCAGTTTATTAGATCTTGGCACACTTTGCGCTGATCTTTTGCTATACCCCTTACCTCGAGTATAATCCTCCAAATCTTGCTTTGGTTGTTTTTGTACCCCATGGAATGGAGTCGATGCTAGATGTGTTGCAAATGCAAAATCCTGGGTAGCATTTGAATTAAGTGGCAGGGTTTTGTTGTCATGCACGGCCCAAAATGTTTGATCATCAGAGCCTGCCAGTAGTAGTACCTCCTATATGCAAACAAAATTCAAAACTCTTACAAGCTTGCATCAAAACAAATAGGAATTTTGTGGTATAAAATCTCCTAAGAAAAAGCTGAGGAGTATTATGGCTGATTTGTTAAAATAGCCTTCTCTTTGACTGAAGAACATGGAGTTAACCTGCAAATACCATCAGCAACAGCACATTATGGATAAAATAACACCAGGGAGTGATTTTAAGGCATTAACTCATTTCTGTAAAGATAACGGTGGAAATAAAAATGTGCTATGTACATGATATCACAAAGTTGAGTGACATCACAAGGCAGCTTCAGCTCAGCTGCAAATCACCCAAAATATTGCAGATAGCATTTGATGAGACAGTAAAGGTAAAGTAAGCCGAGACTGATCATAACCAATTAGCTACTAAATACTTTTATAGAATATACAGAAATGTGGCAGTGCTTGATGGGAACAAAGTACATTACATTGATTTGTCCTTGACAAGAGGATGACAGGGATCTGGACTTAAAAGGATTGCTTTTAAAAAAAGCCAGAACACACACATGGGCTGAGTGGCCATCTGTACTTTAAATTTCTATAGTTTTATGACCACCTTACAGCCTATTAAGCCAATTGTGATCACACCCTCCCACATTCCCAGGAGTTGAATCATGACACTAGTTGTGGCTCACACCTTCAGTAAGGTTGAGGGAGAGAATTCTTCCTCATTAACACCTTTTGAAAATCCGGTGTGCAAAATGTAATCTTGTCAGTTCTGTCACCTAACCTCACACATAAAACGGTTGCTGGATAAGTGGAAAGAACAGGAGTGTTTTTACCTTCGGTTCATTAGACATGACATTTTTGCTAGGCATCTCTCCAAGTGATTTAGATTCTTCAAGTTTACAGACCAAATCCTTTTGCGACCTGTGAATTTTAACTATTAGTTATTGGAATACAATGAAACTGGCTACATTTCTTCATTGGAAACTTTGTTTTTAAAAAAGAGTTTACCCATTTTTATCATTGCAAATATCATCTTCGAAGATACTAAATGGAACAGTGGAAGGAGGAGCAAAGTTCATTCCCAATATTCCAATGGATTGGTCATTCCCTTTTGAAAAAGAAAAATAAGTTTTGTGTTATTTAAGGTTAACACTGCAATAATGACCAGCAATCCTTCCTCAACCATGAAAAACAAATAATGGGAGCGGTCTCAAATTCCTACTGCAACACCATTCATTACGACCAGGGCCGATAGAGAATATTTGCCAAAATTTGTGGGGAAATTTGGCAAATTTTGCAGAAAATTGATTGGTGCTACTGTGAACCTACATTTTATCACTTTATTGATAAAAAGTAAACATGAAGAAATAACACATATTAGATTGTTGCAAAAGAAAAATTATTAATGCTTTCTTTAACAAAACTGGGCGTCTCATCTAGGGTTGGGGGGGGGGGGGGAAACACCCACCTAGGCCCAAAGGACCTGGAGATCTGCTNAAAAAAACGAGACGAGGCCCTCCTGATTGGCTCCTGTCAGCACCCCTACACTCAGGCACTGACAGTATCACCATCCAAGGATGCACACTCCACTTCACTGAGCCACTCTGCAATCTTGACATCTTGTTTGACCCTCAACTGACCTTTATACCCCATACCCGTGCCATGACCCGCTCTGCCTTTCCCCACCTCCATATCTCCCTGCTCTGCCACTGCCCCTCAGGCCACCAAAACCCTCATCCACGAATTTATTAAATCTAGGTTCGACCTCACCGACTCCCTGCTTGTCAGCCTTCCCAACTCTTCCCTCCACAAGCTGCAGACCATCCAGAACTCTGCAGCTTGTGTCCGCTTCCACACCAGACCCCCACCCGGCTCCACTGCTACCCAAACCCCAGAGGATAAAGTTCAAAATCCCTGCCTAGTGCCTTGGAACGTCCTCCCGATGTGAAAGGCACTGTACAAATGTAAGTAGTTGTTGTACCAGTGCATGCGACCACCAAAGGATGCAGAATTCACTACCACTTTCATAACATGAGGGTATTTTTTGAGAATAGTGCTTTCTCCATCAAGGTTTATTTGTTGAGTTCTATAAACTAATACAATACCACACTGTGACATTTCTACAAACTATTCTGTGGCCTTCACGAAAACCGTCACTTAGCAACCGATTATAGGATTGCGTTAATTGTGTGTTTATACAGTGTTGTACTGTCAATTTTCAACTGAGAATTTGCCCAAACTAAAGTTCCTTTAGTGAGTATAGCTGGGACTCACCCAAACAGTCTGGGTCACAAGTCCCAGACCCCAGAGGTCTGTAGCTCAGTGGTTAGAGCACTCGCTTTGCAAGCGAGAGACCAGAGTTCAATTCCCGGCAGAGGGCGAAACCTTGGGCAAGTTTCCTTACTCCACACAGAGCCTAATAATAATCCCTCCAAAACCAAAAACAATAATAAATTGGTCATTTTCAATCTACGACTGTTTGTGGGACATTGCTGTGCGCAATTGGCTGCCGCATTCGCCCACAAATATACAGTCAATTCACTTTACAGTGTGTTCTGTGAAGCGCTTTAGGACGGTCCTCCCGACGTGAAAAGCGCTATATCAAATGCAAGGATTATTATTATTGTTACTATTAAAGCAAGAGGACCAACACAATGTACCACCTTCTCCCTATAAGAGAATCTTAATATTGATATTATATCAATATTTATAGATTAAGATCCTTGCACTAGTTTTCAAATCTCTTTATACCCTGGCACCTCCTTACCTCTCCGAGTTGCTTATCCCCCAACCCACTACCTTAGCCTGACTGGCTCTGGCCGCCTACGTGTCCTTGACCCCCTGCGTTCTGAGCAGCCACACTCAGCCACTACACCCTAAAACTTTTGGAACACTCTTCCTCTATCTCTCTGCCTTGCCCCTTCTTCCCCATTTTCAGATCACGTCTGAAGAATGTCCTATTCGACTGTGCCTACTGTCACCTCCCGCTGGCGTCATGCTCCACCACTGTCAAGCGCTCTGGGATGCTACCCTGCATGAGGGGCGCTATTTAAAGGCAAGTTGTAATTATTGTTATATTAATAAGCTGCATTCTATATCAACAATATTTAAGATCTAGTTACATGTATGTAAGCACCAATACACATTAACCACCTTAAACCTCATGGACCTACAGACTTACCATCCTTTTTGCAAAATAGTTCAAAATCTCTATCTTGCACTTCCATTTGATCTTGAGAAAATGCTTCAACTTCACCATCCTCCTGAGGCTGTTCCGGGATTACTGGTGCCTGGAACATGTCCATAATAACATCTGCAAAAAGATCATATTGTGGAATTCAACTTCAGTTCTGCATGTTGACAGCACATTCTGAATCACTTTAGATTTATATAAAAAACATTTGAATGAGCTCTCGAATAATGACTCCTCACAAATTTGGAGGAAAAGAAAGTCAAATATCCTTAGTTCAGAATAGGAGGAAGTGTGTAAAACAAGTATAAGTGCAGAAAAATTGACAACTTAGGTGAAATGGTCTCCAGGTTCTATGGAGTTTATTTTTGTTGTATAATTTCTGTAACTACATTTTCTCTCAAGTCTTTGTGCTTTGATGGTTCAATTGGTTTTTAGGTGGAACCTTGTTATGTGGAACTAATCTGCGTAAATGGCTGGATTCAAATCTCTTCCAAGATGTTTTTTTTGCATCTAACATGTTTCTTGGTGGTGGTAATGTTTTAGCATAAACTGGAGACATGGAAAGAAAGCAGCTGTAGCTCTGAAAGCAGATCAATACAAAACAATTTCCAAAGCCTTAGAACTCATCTCCCTCAGTTTCCCATTGTATTTTTCAGGCACTCATTCTACTACAATGCTATTTAAAATAATTTCTTACCCAGTGCTTCTTTTGTACAGACAGTCGGCGAAGGCAAAACTTTGGATGGAGTCGCTTGGACCAAACCAAACGAAGAGTTTGGAGTATGGGATCTATTCACAAATAATCCTGAAATATTCCCTGTAAAAGTTGAAATATCAATTTAAACATTAAATACTGTATGTTCAAGTAGGGTGTTCTCAACTTCCTAGCTTCTCAATTAGGTGTGAGCAGCTTTGATTCATTTAGTAGCACCCATTTCTGAGTTCAAGACCAGGGTTTGAGTTCATAATCTAGACTGACACTCAAATTCAGTGATGGGGGAGTTACTGCTGTATTGTCAGAGGTATTATCCTTCAGGTTAAACAGATAACCCTTCTGTCTCTTCATGTGGACATTAAAGATCCAATGACACTATTAAAAAAAGAAAAGTTTCTCTGTACTCTCCAGATAACAATTCTTCAGAAAAATTGGCCATTCACTTCATGGCTGTTTGTGGAACAATGATATAATAATATTTGATATAGCACCTTATGTTGTCGAGGTGTCACAAAGTGTTTTACAGGAAATACTGTAAAGTGGATTGACTGGATATTTTATGCAATTTGGCTGCCTACAAACAGTCGCTACACTTTATCAGAATTACCCCTAAAGTACTTGCGGATGTTTGAATGTTATAGGGAATACACAAATGGAAGGATCGTTTGTGTATATTTAATTTTAAACTGGTAATCCCCAAGCCTTTTCAGATCATTGATATCATAACATTGTCAGCATCAACTTAAGAATATTTTACCAACTTCATGAAATGGATATTTCATATGGAAAAGATGAGTCGAGTGCAAAACGGGTTTGTAAGATTGTACACTGTACGGTTGAGAACATGCGTAATGCCGCACTACTCTCAGGATTTGAAGAACATTCATGTCTTTTCTCTTGTGGTTTGGACTGTTCAGATTCAAAGCCATTGCTGATTTTGTAATAAGCTTTCAGAAATGCCAGCTCCTACAACGTGAACACCACAGTATTGTGAACATCTCAACATGGAATTCAGCATTGATGCAGATACAAACACGATGGCAAATTCCTAAATTTATTGTTCTTATGGAGTCCTGGTAACTTAATTCTGGTTTCGGATTGACTCTCCAAGGTTATTTGATGTCATACAAACATTGGAAAGATATTTTTCGAAACCTGTGATGCAAAATAGGGCCAATATTTGACATATCTCTATGAACACACATTGTAATATTAGAGGTTTAAATTTACCTTCTCTCAAGCCTGTGAGAGGAATTATCTTGGTGCCATAAACACTTCGATTCATGTGCCTGAAAGATTAACAATAAACAGTGAGTAAAAACTTGGTTGAACTGCATGCACTCACACACCCATATTGCATTGATATCCTGTCTAATCTTTTATACCAATCTGCCTTCCAATGGATGTTTTATCCAAATGGTTCCCAGTCTAGGTGGTTAGATACATTGAATCGGTTCATGAAACCATGAATGGAAATCAGCAGATTTTAAAAACACACCAGCATATAAATGCAGATAAAAAAAATTAAGCTGACTGGATGGAAAGAGTGTTAAAAACTTTAGCTGGAGTTCCAAATCATGGAATGCTTCACCGCAGAAACAGGCTATTTGGCCTATCAGATAGCCTGGTGATTTTTACCATATAAGTCAGTCTAATAACGCTCTGATGTTCACTTCCATACTCATAACATTTCTCCTTTATATGAAATTATCCAATTCCTTTTAAAATAATCTACAGACTCGGCTTCAACTACAGTTTGTCCCAAATAACTTCACATTCTTAATGCCCTCGGCGCTGTATAAAGAAGGCGACAATATGTACCAATAATACTTACTCTTGTCTCATGCTATATCCAGTGGCACCTGTAGGTGTTTGTTCAGGTAGAGTTTCTACTGTTATGCTTGTGCTACTGAAGCTATGCTGTGGTTGATCATGCCATGTTGATGTTGCTGTATACTGAGATTGTTGCAGGGGATCGCGTATCAAACTTGTGGTTAGGATTGGTGCAGCACAAGCTCCCAAACTGGAAACCTCTGCATTTCCAGTCCAGTCAGATTCAGCAGGTGGTAAAGGAACCCCATTAGTCATCATGGATGGTGGTGATGCAGATATCTCCTGTGTGGCATTTCGAGACACCTGGGATGCTCTCTACCAAAAAAAAGCAAAATTATAAATCATATGAAATATGTATGAAATGTAGTCACATTTGATTTCAATGCTGTGGCATTTCTAAAGCATCTGTGCAACTAGTGGGTGTAAAATTGGGATACTTAGTTATCTGTAAGATATATTGACCATAGTAGATGAGTGTGTCTTGTTCTCCACTGACAGATAACATGTATTGTCTTTAGTGATGTCAGCTTCTAATGGAATTTTCCACAATAAACTCATAAAGTCAATGCTGGTAAGTTTACTGCCAATCAATCGGAGAATTGGCCTGGATTTGTACGCTCAATTTCTATAGTGGTTTACATCAGAATTAATATTGCGCACCACGTTGTGGGGAACAAACAAACGAACGGCAGCTGCTAGTTTTGTTTCCAACCATTAAGGAAACATTCAGAACAGTCAATTACACACAATTAGATTACTTTCTCTATTCCCAACATAACAAGATGAACTCATTACTCAGTATAGTTGCTGCAGTTTATTGTAGCAGTTAAATAAATCCAAATCAATCAATAAACACAGAGGAGCCTACTGGCTTATTGGCAACAATAAAACAGATACATGAGGATGTGTTTAATGTTTGAAAGAATTTGAACTGGATTGTGTTCCAACCAGTGCACCATAATTGCAATGATAAAAATTATGCACTTGAGTGTTGCTCACAAGTAAATTAATCATTTGAACCATTGATGTGCTTCTGGATAAAATCATCCAGAATTGTGAACTACATTTGCTATTTCAAAGTTATTCTGCCTATATTCCCAAAATTTCGAACCAAATTTAAATTAATTGTCTACCCATCTCGTTCTTATTTATGAGGTGTCGATGCTGTGTTTGCCTATGTAACTATCATTTAATTTCTATTCAATTATATGTTGTAAAGACCTTAGAGACATGTATTTCTATGTGCAAGCTGGAAAATAAATCAAGACGCATACAGAAAGCTGGCTTGACTCACCTGAAAGCTTTCTTCACAGTGGAGCTGCTCCATTTCTTGAATTAACTGGAGCTGCATCTTTTGTTCCTTGAGTCTTTCCTCTAGGGTTCGGACCTCTCTAGTCTTGGCACCAACAAATAACTCTTCTTTAATATAAAAACAAAAGTTACCAATCTGAATGTTACAATAGGCCCCTGATACGACAAAAAATAGATTTGTTGTTCTAGGATGAAAAAAGTACAATGCTAGAATTTGGGCAAATTTACTCAACGACAGGACTAGGGACACTCCTTGGCAATTTAGGATGAGAAGAAAGTGTTAGTTGAGGACTCAAATAATCCATTGAGATCCTTGTTTGAGTGAAGAGGTATGAAACAAGATACACATTAGTGCTTATGCAATAATAATAATTATTACAAGCCTTTCATTTGGTTTAGTGCCTTAACACCTCATTGAGATGTCTCAAAGCGCTTCACAGGATTTACTGTGAAATGGAGTGACTGTGCACAATTGCAGGTAGCAGTGTCCCACAAACAGCCATGAAACGAGTGAACAACTTTATTATTTGGGAGATTATTGGCAAGGACATCAGGAGAAACTCTCTTTTCGAATAGTGCTATGGAAACAAGCAAATGGGACCTCATTTAACATTTCATCCCAAGGACAGCACCTTTGATAATGCAACACAAAGTGCTACATTGAAGTGGGATTTGAATCCACAACCTTCTGACTCAGAGCGAGAGTGCTACCACTGAGCCAAGCTGTCACATACATTAGGGAGAGGCACTTCTCCATATTGGAGGCACTCAGGCAGCACTTGAGCACCTTGCATTGAAGGCTTCAAGGTGATATTTAGCAAACAACATGGATCATAGTTGGAAAAGAAGCAAACAATCTCATACTCCATTCTTGCTTCTTTTTCTGGCCTTGATTTTGCTGGTGCCGTGCAATGTGCGCCTTAGCTCGATTTTCTTCAAAACAAAGTTCTTTTTCTCCAGAAAAGAGAAAGTTTTTTTGGTACATAATTGCTTGCTGCAGATCAGTGGGGGCTGCTGGCGTTTTACTGTGATCATCAACTTGGTGTGGAAGATGGGATGAATTTGAAATCCTAATAGACATTTAAAAATATTACAAAAAGTAAATTGTCTGGACATCAAAGCACATGCAGAAAGATAACTGTAACCACACAATGATGTAGAAAATTAACAATGTCCCGCTAGATAAATATTTAGGTCAGATAACAGCTGCTCTGTGGAACAATTTTACCTGAGTGAGCATGAAGTGCCAATTGATCTACTCAGTTCATTTTCATGAAAAGCTACTTTCTTTGGGAATGTACTACGTCCACTACACAAGTCAGTAGCTCTGCACATAAATACATAATCCATGCTAACTGACCTATTAAAGCAATAGAATGAAAACCCACAAAATGTAGAAGTAAAGATCAAATGTCCCACCAAGAAAAAAAAAAAATTGAGTTTGTGAAATAAACTTCCCTGTGGTTATTGCCACAGACAGGGACTAAAGAAATATTAGGAGTCAAGGCTCTCTCTGCACATAATGAATAATTGTTTAGCACAATAAATTACCCCCTCACCAATTCAAGAATGAACAGACCAGCAACATCACTAAGATGCCTTTGTACAAATCTGTCACCCAACAGAATTTATTGACTGTAAAGTACATTTTTACTTACGTACTGCTAGCAGCATTTGGTACAAGTGTGAACGATTTGCTAGTGAAGCCATTTGGTACATTGTCCTGTACAAGCTGTGGATTTGAAAGAAAATAATTTAAGAGAAAAAATTAATGTTTGTGAGTATGGACATATAAATCAATCTGGTATTTAAGAGTGATGTACTCTCCATAAATCAAGCTTTTGATTTGAAATTGAGTGGGAATTAACAATAAGCATGAGTACAGAAACCAAGGATAGAAAGATAGTCTACGAATATTGCTTTTCATAAGGTTACATCTAGTGTTCAGACCTCCATTGCACAAACGAGTCCTTCTTTTGTATAGCAGTTGGAAATACACTTCAGACATGGAACAAGGATTTTCAATACTTACAATATTGGAGAACAAATCAGTTCCATAATATACTGACACATCCAAAGCTGCAAAATCGTTCCCTATTAATTTCATATCTCACACAAAAAAAGGTAGGCAACATTGAAAGATTTTCAAGGGAAAATCTAATGAGCGGATAATTCACAAGTTATAGAAGGCTTCTCAACAGCAAGATAATGAGGCCATAAATAATTTATAATTAAATGGAATAAATAATCCTTGCATTTGAAATAGCACCTACAACTTTGAAACATCTCGAAACACTTCATAGGGAATTGCTGTAAAGTATAGTGACTGAGTTTGTAGGCAAACATGGCAGCTAATTTGCACACATTGATATCCACAAACAACCATGAAATGAATGACCAATTTATCTGGAGGATTAGGCCAGAATACGAGAAAATAGAGTTGTTGAATTTTGACAGTCTACCTGAAAAAGCACATGGACCTGTTTATTGAATATCTCACCTGAAGAAGTGCTCCTACATTGCAGCCGTCCCCCAGTACTGCACTGGAATGTCAGCCAAGACTATGAGTTTGAAGTCCCAATGTGGGAGCCCACAAACATCATACACAGAGGCAAGAGTGCTACCAGTTCAGCCATGGTGATACAATTTACACAAGTCAAACTGCATTCAGTAGCTTAAGTAGCAAGCGTTTGTTTACAGACACAGGTGCTCACTTTTACTCTTAAACAAAAACAGATTCAATAATAACAATGTAAACCAACCTTCACCTCTCAAAATAAGCTCTCCACCAACTTGGAAGTTAATTTACTGTATGGAAGTTAGTAATTTGGTCAATCGATTTATACTACTCCCTGGTTGAGCCTGGCTAAGCACTCTGAGACGCTCACATGCATGAGGGGTGCTTCAGAAATGCAAATTGTTGCTGTTGGCTTAACCTTACACTGTGGAACCACATGAACTGAAAACACAGTACATCCAGCTTCCAATGCTGACCGACCGGCTGCTTTCTAAAATGATCATCGTTGAAGTCACTTCCTGCACTTTGCGCACGACGTATACACAGTCCACAAAAAACTGTCACAACACTTTACATTAAATCCAGTGAAGCGCTTTTGAGACTTCGACATCGCGATAAGGCGCTATAACAAATACAAGTATTATAAAAATGTGCAGGAGCATTGTTGACATTACTTGCTGCATGCTGCACATATGTGCCATGCACCAGAAGCACTGCTGACATCACTTCTTGTGCAGGAAGCAATGTCAGCAGCAATCTGACAACCCAGAAGTTGATTACAACAGATATCAGACCAGCTAATTCTGATAGAATAAAGTATACAGTTAGCAAGCTTCCTCTCCAAGAGCAAATGTGCCTCATTTTCTCCTCACTTTATAGAATTGCAACAGGATATCAAGTCTGGTGTTTTTCTCCACATGAGCCATTTACTCTAATCCCACACTCCTGCTCACTCCCATCGTTTTTAATATTCCTCTTTTTCAAGCAAATTATATATATTTCTATTTAGAAGTATGTATAGACTGCCTCAACAATAGATTGATGGTTTGGTTCTATAGATACCCATCATCATTGCTAGGATAAATAACAGTTCAGGGAATAGCAAACAATTTTACATCCTAGCACACGTTTAGGAAATTAACGCACCTGGTGTTTTTATGGCACTCAGCCAAAGAGCTAGTTTAACATTTTTAGCCTTAACTTTAGACACTGTAAACACGAGAAGAATTTTAACATCCATTTGGGATGTGTTAACTGAAGCAGCCCTACACGCTGAATATCAAATGAATGTGCTTCCCTCCTAAACCTGCACTTTGCCCAGTTACATAATACAACATTAAACCGCCAATGGCACTCAACACATTCCAAAGTTCATTTAAGCCTGGCAGCAATGCTCTTAAAGCCCCAGGAAACAGCAAACCCCCAAGTTGTCGACACCCCAAACTGAATTACAGGCAGGGGAATAAGAAAAAGAAGATATGACATCTAGTGCATCTTCACATAATAATAAATATTGTAAAGCAAGAGGGCCTGCTGAATGCAGTGGAATGATTAACTTTGGTTTGCTTATATGACAGGGTTATACTTTCAGAAGTGACTGCACAGTAATTTGGAGCAGGAATCCCAATTTATATACCCCACTCCCGAGGAGGGAGCTAAGGGGAGCCTGAGCAAATGTAACAAGGTGTACACACAAAACTGATTGAATCTGTGCCATCTTTTAATATTTAGAGGTAGTTGTTTACTTAGCTCTGTAACAACATTACAAACAGTTCTGTTAAAGTTTATTATGGTCCACTGGTCTGTCCAAAATGTCTACTTGACCATTTATAATCAGAAAATGGATTTATTCTCAGCCCCCACATTTATACTGCAGCAGTAAGAATTAATATATTTGGGAAATTACCTCCCTATAGTGAGCTCTAGCACAAATCTATTCCCAAGTGGTCTAGAACCAAGAGGCAGCACATAGCAAAGATGACAAGGATATTGAGAAGTACATTGATCAAGCTACATCTGCAAACAGTTCAACTAAAATGTCAATAATACATATCTAAAGTTATAAAGAAAACAAAAAAAAACTACCTGAGGTTTGGAACCCACATGGCCTCCACTCAAATCAGACGGAATGAAAGTGGATCTGCCTTGATTGACAAACTGAGAATTTGCCAAAGGTTCATGTTGAAAACCTAAAATATACAAAACTGCCATTAATAGTGCAACTATATATAATCAGTACTCATTTCTCACACCTACTCCTAAGATACAACAACAACAAGATTCCATTTATTGAGCGCCTTTCACGTCGGGAGGACGTCCCAAGGCGCTGTACAGTTGGGTCAGGACCCGAGCAGGGGGGAAATGGTCAGGGTGAGGGGAGGGAAGGGAGGGAGCGAGGAGGAGGTAGAGAGTCGAGAGGGGAGCTGAAGGCACGGTCAAAGAGAAAGGTCTTGAGACCGGCCTTGAAGGAGGAAAGGGAGGAGGCGGCGAAGGCACTGGGAGATAGAGTTCCAGAGCCTGGGGGCTGAGAGGCTGAAGGCCCGGCCACCGATGGTAGGGAGGTTGGGGCAGGGGATGTGGAGCAGACTGGAGCCGGAGGAACGGAGGGTACGGGCAGGTAGGTAGGGGGATAGTAGGTCGGAGAGGTAGGAGGGAGCAAGGCCGTGAATGGCCTTGTAGGTGAGGGTGAGGATCTTGAATTCGATCCTCTGGGGGATGGGGAGCCAGTGGAGGCGAGCGAGGGTGGGAGTGATGTGTAAGATACAATAGACAAGTTGGAATAAGCAGACCAAGTATTCCAAATTAAACTGCACTCATAGTATTTCTAGCATGCTACAGTACTTCCTTGCTAGAACTATGTCACTCAGACAGAACAGCAGTAACTATTAACACTCAGTCCAATAAAGAAACTTGAATTCAAACCCATGCAGATACCAGCATCTTCACACATGTACACAATCCCAGAATTCTGGGTGGACCAAAGTAAAATCGCAGAATCTCGTGAACCTTTGCTTCAGGAAAGCTACAAGTCATGAAGGTTAATGACAGTGGAAGCATGTTTACAGAATACAAAGTTGCTAGAACAAGAGGTCTACACAATGAACTTTAAATCTGTGGTACTCAGATTTGTTTAAAACAAAGTGCTGGCTGCCCTCATTCACAATTTCATAACATCCAGGCTTGACTATGCAAACTCCCTGCTCGTCGGCCTCCCCAAATCCTCCCTCCATAGGTTGCAGACCATCCAGAACTCTGCAGGTCATGTCCTCTTCTGCACCAGGCTCCGTGACCCTATCACTGTCACCCTCGTCAGACTCCACTGGCTTCCCATCACACGGAGGATAGTTCAAAATCCTGGTCCTCACCTTCAAAGCCCTCCATGGCCTTGCTCCCCCCTACTTCTGCGACCTCCTAAGCCCCTACCAACCCACCGCCTCCCTCCGCTCAGCATGCTCTGGCCTGCTTCATATCCCCCGCCTCGCCTGCCACACCATTGGCGAGGAGGCCTTCTGCCACTCTGCCCCCATTGTCTGTAACTCCATCCCTCTGTAACTCCATCCCGCAGTCCCTCCACCTCGCCCCCTTGCCTCCTTCAAGACCTGTCTCAAGAACCTCCTCTTCGATCACCCTCCTTCCCCCCCACCCTCCCCGATCCCGATCTCCAGCTCGGGTATGAAACAGATTGTCCAGTGCCTTGGGACATCCTCCCGACATGAAAGGCGCTTATACAAATGTAAGATTTTATTGTTTATACATACATTAGATTAGTAACAAAGGGATAAATGTTATGTAATACAGAAAAATACTTATTTTGTACAATTAAAATATATCCCGCACCATTCTGGATGTTCTCGGCCATTCTAGATTGATTCACAGAAGAGGAATGAGGAGATTTCATAGGATCGTCAGCTTGTGCTGATAACAGGTTCTGAGATGCTCGAACACAGAAGTTCCTGCAAAACAAAGAACATCTTCAAGCATTGGCCCACCCTTGTTCCACCCAAATAAATTTTTCATTATTAGTTTTTTTATTAATGTTTTTGGAAGAAAATTACCAGTAAAGGGTGAAGAAAATACACTGGTATGTAAAAGAAAACTGTTGCTTTCTTTTATATACATTGTCAGTAATAAGAACTCAGATTACAGCACCGAATAGAGAAATAGTGAAGTTCCTGTCTGCAGTTAGCCACACATTCCATGCGACTATCATTTGAGCAATAAACAATATTAATGAAATAAAGAATCGTGCTTCACAAGAAATTTAAGTGAAGTGTAATGACTATTTGGGTAGGCATAAAGGGTGTTAAAATGCATTTCATCTCATTTTATAAACTCAAAGAAAGAACTTGCATGCATATTTCTTGATTTGCATCACAAATGATCACGAGATCACAAATGTCATCTAAATCTAGTCAAGGTCAGTGACCCAACCAAAAGCAAAATGTTACCTTTTCTCCACTTTAAACCACAATTCTGAATTACCTATAGTGATGCAGAAACATGTCCACTGGCTTAGCAGAGTTCTCAATGCCTTTTCGAAAGATGCCATCCGCTGCCTGAAAACTGCCCTGCGTCTCAAACCCATGTGCCCATGCCAGATAGAATGCGGCTGACTGGGTGCCAATTCCTCGGGTATACATATAGTTGTAAAAATCAAATGAATCTGTGCTGTGATTTACCTGAAAAAAAACCACAAATCATAAGTTAATATACTACAAAGAATTTCATGGAAACCGTTCACCAAGTTCTCTCCCACTATTGGCTTCTTCTTGCCAGGACATTAGGAAGAGACAAATTCCCTTCTCTTTGAGTTGTGCCGTGGGATCTTTAGCGTCCAGAAATGATCTAGGTTTAAAGTCTCACCCGAAGGATAGCACGACACAACACCAGTTTAAAGTGTTAGTTTAGACTTTGCAAGTTCAGGTCCCAACGTAGGTCTTGAACCCACAACCGTCTGACTCAGAGGCAAGAGTGCTTACCAACGAAGCCAGGCTGACACATAACTACAACTTGCATTTACATAGTGCCCTCCACCCCGGGCCACATCTCAGAGAGCTTAACAATGGTGGAGCCCGATGCTGAGCCAGGTGGAGGGGGAAGGTGACCATAGGCACGGTCAAAGGCGAAGGTCTTCAGGGGCGACCTGAAAATGGGAAAAGAAGGGGCAAGGCGAAGGGATAGAGGGAGAGAGTTCCATAGCACACATATATATATATATATATGAATACAGACATAAATAAATCAGTATCAAAACTGTGGTTAGTTATTTCAGTGAGGAAAATACATTTAACACTGATTGTTAGATTACTGCACAATTTATAGACTATAACATTTCTATACTGAGTTTAATTCAAGACCTTTTTTGCTATCTTAAGAAAATATACTTGATATTTAGCAAAATTGATTCACATTAGAACAGTTTAGCACCTAAAGGGAAACATATGAAAAACAGGTGCAGCCTAAAAGATTATGAGGCAGTTAGTCAGTGTTCTTTCTAAACTGAGACTGAGGAGTCCTGTAGTTTAGTGGTTAGAGCGCTCACCTCACAAGCAAGAGGACCTGGGCTTGATCCCCAGCAGGGCGAAACATTAGGCAAGTTTTCTTACTCTACACGCCTCTTTTACCTAGCAGTAAGTAGGAACCTGTTTGTTTGTCAATTGGCAGATTACTTTTCCAGGGATAATAATCCCTCAAAAAAAATCCACGACTGTTTGTGGGACACTGTTGTGTGCAATTGGCTGCCATATTTCGCCCACAAATATACATTCAATTCAGTTTACAGTATATTCTGTGAAGCGCTTAGACGTCTAGAAGATGAGATAAGGTGCTATATCAAATGCAAAGATTATTATTATAACTGCTGTGGGAGTTAAACCTATTGTTCTCAGAGGAAAACACAACAGCAACAACAAATTACATTTGTATAGTATATTTCAGGAAGGGATGATGCCCAAGGCACTGGAGAGTCAGGATTTAGACCCGAGCTGGGGTTTGCAATCAGGAGGGTTGGAGGGCAGTGAGAGTAGGGATAGGAGGGTAACCTAAGTTGTGGTCGAAGACGAGGATCTTTGAGCCTGGATATGATGAATGCATGGGTGAGGGTTTCAGAAGCCTGAGGGGAGAGGCAGTGGTAGTGCAGGTCAATGTTGCAGAGGTGAGTAAGGCAGATGTTATCAGCACCCGAGGTGTGGAGGTGTTAACGGGAGCCAAGCAGGAGGGCCTCGTCTTATTGACATTCAACAGATTGCCTTGGAACCATTTTGTACTCGTTACCCACTCTTTGATTAAATGTATCGGAGTCTAAATTGTGGTGTCTATAACAGGAGTTATTGATATATCAATGAACTCCTCTCTGGAAGTACTCACACAGGAGTGGAGCTCATATCAGCAGAACATACTTCTAGTTACCATTAAGAGTCATTGTTAAGGACTCCTGTTAAGGATTGCCACATTTAGACAACAACCACATACAGTTGTATTGCGCCATTCACGCAGGGTAGTGCTTACCAGTGACGGATATTGAAGCTGCCCCAATTAATAGGATAGAAAGTTCAAAAAGCAAAACAACACCAGGTAGAGTATTTCAAACTGAATACTTACAAGCTTCAGCCAATAGCTGATGTATCTTGGATCATTGAAATACTTCTCGGTATTCATAAAATTCTTCACCAGTCTCTCAGACATTGAAACCAAAACATCTTTCTCTGCAGGCGGAATAACCTGTTCTGCCCATTGCAAAAACCTGCAGGATATAATAATAATAATTCTTGCATTTGATATAGCGCTTTTCACATCTTCTAGACTCTCAAAGCGCTTCACAGAAGAGACTGTAAGGTGAATTGACTGTATATTTGTGGGCGAAATGCGGCAGCCATTTACGCACAGCAGTGTCCCGCTAACTGTCATGGATTGAAATGACCAGTTTATTACTGTTTTTTTTTCTTGAGAGATTATTATCAGGCGTGTGGAGAAAGGAAGCTTGCCCAAGGTTTCACCCTGCCGGGAATCGAACCAAGGTCACTCACTTGCAAAGCGAGTGCTCTAACCACTGAGCTACAGGACTCCACGGAAAATATAAGATTGCATGTGAGCAACTTTTCACTAAATATTAATTAATTCTTAAACTGTATTCAATAATTACTATTTTTACCTGTCCCACATATCCAGTGGATCATCTCCGGTATAATTTTGGATTTCTGCTTCAAAGGATCTGTACAAACATGAAAAACATATGCTTAATAAAGATGATTAGTCATTTGTTGTTCAGCAGTGTTCACAACAAAATTTAAATACAGAAACATTTTCTGGCAACAGCTATAGAGGGACCAATAGATGAATAATATCTGTATTCAACTAACATGAAATGTTACAATTTCCTACATTTTACTGAAGTACTTTGGGTGAGGATAATCTGCTCCCAGCAGGCAGATATACCACTTCTCACCTGTGACCGGTGCCATTCTGAAGTAATAATAATCATGCAGAAATCAAACCCAGGTCCTTTCACTTGTGCTAACCACTGAGCTACAGGACGCGATGGTGGAGTGGCGGGGACAAGTGACAAACAGGAGGCCGGAGCCAGCTGAGTGGAGGCAGCGGGTGGGGAAGTGGTGGGTAAGCAGGTCGGATAGGTAAGGAGATGTGATGGCATGAAGGGATTTGAAAACAAGTGAGAGGATCTTGAAATCGACCTGTTCAGAAATTGAAAGCCAGTGGAGCCTGGTAAGGGCTGCGGTATAATGGGGGTACGGAGTTTTGTGTGGGTGAGAATCTGGGCGGACGAGTTCTGAATTAGTTGAATTTTGTGTGTGGTAGAGCTGGGGAGAGCAGCGAGGAGGGCATTGAATAGTCCAACCAGGAAGTGACAAAGACACGGAGGAGGATTTCGGCTGCGTGGGTTTACAGTCCACACTACAAAAACAACAAAATTACATTTGTAAAGTGCCTTTCACGTCGGGAGGACGTCCCAAGGCACTGAACAGTCAGAGATCAGGACCCGAGCTTGGGAGGGGGGGTGCAGGGTTGGGATGAGGGAGGGTAGAGGGTGGCTAACGGCAAATTCAAAAAGGAGGGTATTTGAGTCATGCCTTGAAGGAGGCAAGAGAGGGAAAAGGCAAAGGGATTGTGATATGGAGTTCCAAAGAGTCGGGGCAGAGAGGCTGAAAGTCTGGCTGGTCGGGCGGGAGACCTGGAGCAGGCTGGAGCCTGCTGAACGGAGAGGTTGATAGGGGATCAGCAGGTCAGAGATGTAGGAGGGGAGGAGGCAAGGCTGTGGAGGGCCTTGAAAGTGAGGACAAGGATTTTGAAAGGCAGAGTGGGTCATGGCATGGATATGGGGGAGAAAGGACAGTTGAGGGTCGAACAAGATGCCCAAGTTCCTAACTGGCTGGGTGAGGTGGATTGTGCAGCCATGAATGCTGATGTTGCCAGTGCCTAAGGCGCTGAGAGCTGACGGGAGCCAATCAGGAGGGCCTCAGTCTTGGTGACATTCATCCGTAAAAAGTTGGCTCTCATCCAGGACTCGGTGTCAGACTGACAGTCTGTCAGGTCGTCAGTTGTTCTGGAATCGAGGGTGGAAGCAGAGAGATAGAGTTGGGTGTCATCCACGTACATGTGGAAGTTGACCCCATGTCTGCAGATGATGTCACCAAGGGGGAGCATATAAAGGTTGAAGAGGAGGGGACTGAGGACAGAGCCTGAGGCTGTGTGGGGGCTGGAAGAGAAACCGTTGGTGGAGACAAATTGGAGACAGTGTGAGAGATGAGACCTGAACCATTCAAGAACAGAACCTTGAAGGTTGAGGTGAGAGAGGTGGTGGAGGAGATGTAGTGGTCCACAGTATCGAAACCAGGAGAGAGGTCGAGAAGGATGAGGAGGCAGAAGGAGCCCTGGTCACAGACAAAATGCGGATTGGCGTGGCTTGTTAAGGGAATGGTAGGAGAGGAATGAACAAACTTGGAAAGCAACAACTTTTTCAAGGACCTTCAAAAGGGAGGTTGGAGATGGGACGGTAGTTAGAAGGCTGCCGAGACCCTCATGCACGCATTCATAACATTCAAGCTTGACTACGCAAACTCCGTGCTTGTCGACCTCCCAAACTCCATCATCTATAGGCTGCAGATCATCCAAAACTCTGCAGCCCGTGTCCTCTTCCAAACTAGGCTCTGTGACCTTATCATCCCCATCCTCGCCCGAGTCCACTGGCTTCCCATCACACACCAACAACGAGGCACAGTCAAAGAGGAAGGTCTGTAGATGGAACTAACCCTCACCTCTGATCTCACAGTACGCACCAGCCCTAACTGTATGAGGCCCTCCTCATTGGCTCCAGTCAGCGCCTCCACACCTCAGGCACTGACAGCATCACCATCCATGGTTGCACACTCCACCTTACTAAGCCAGTCCAGAACCTTGGGGTCTTGTTTGACCCTCATCCGTGTCATGTCCCGCTCTGCCTTCCCTCACTTCCGCAACATTGCCCGGCTCCGCCACTGTCTCACATCGCTTCAGCGGCCCCACCCACTGGAACTCCATCACATACATCCTGGGAAATAAAAATCTAAATGGGCTAGTGGAGCAAAGGAACCTCGGGGTACACATACACAATTCACTAAAAGTAGCAACGCAGGTTAATAAGGCCATTGGGGTTCATTTCTAGAGGGATAGAAATGAAAAGCAGGGAAGTTATGGTGAACTTCTACAGAACCTTGGTTAGACCACACTTAGACTACTGTGTGCAGTTCTGGTCTCCACATTATAGAAGGGATGCACAGGGACTGGAGAGGGTGCAAAGGAGATTCACAAGGATGATCCCAGAACTTAGAGGTTATACCTAGTGGGAGAGGCTGAACATACTTGGACTCTTTTCTCTTGAAAAGAGAAGAGTAAGGGGTGACCTGATAGAGCGCTTTAAAATGATGAAAGGTTTTGATAGGGTAGACATAGGGAAGATGTTTCCACTTGTTTGGAGACCAAAACCAGGGGCCATCAATATAAAATAGTCACAAATAGATCAAATAGGGAAGTTAGAAGAAATTTCTTCACAGAGAATAGTGGGAATGTGGAACATTCTACCACAAGGAGTTGTTGAGGCAAATAGCATACATGATTTAAGGGAAAGCTAGATAGGTACGTACATGAGGGAGAAAGCAATAATAATAATCCTTGCAAAGTACTTCAGAATATACTGTAAATATAAAGTAAATATGAAGTAAAGTGAACTGACTGTATATTTGTAGGCAAAACACGGCAACCAATTGTGCACAGACAGTCGTGGATTGAAGTGTTTTTCTTGAGGGATTATTATCAGGCGTGTGGAGTAAGGATACTTGCCCAAGGTTTCGCCCTGCCAGGAATCAAACCCAAATCTCTCGCTTGATTCAAGTTTAGTAACCAACATCACCTCATTCAGATGGCAAGCTTTATATATTCACACAAAGTAGCAATGGTCCCATTTTCTTTGAAACCAGGTATTCTAATGTATTCCAATCCCACAGCCCCTCCCTCACCTCCTTCAAGAACCCCTCTTTGCCCGTGCCCTCCATCAACCCCCTACTCCCCCACCACCAACCCCCTACTCCCCCACCACCAACCCCCTACTCCCCCACCACCAACCCCCTGCCCTCCATCAACCCCCTACTCCCCCACCACCAACCCCTACTCCCCCACCACCAACCCCCTGCCCTCCACCACCAACCCCCTGCCCTCCATCAACCCCTACTCCCCCACCACCAAACCCCCTACTCCCCCACCACCAACCCCCTGCCCTCCACCACCAACCCCTACTCCCCCACCACCAACCCCCTACTCCCCCACCACCAACCCCCTACTCCCCCACCACCAACCCCTACTCCCCACCACCAACCCCCTGCCTCCACCACCAACCCCCTGCCCTCCATCAACCCCCTACTCCCCCACCAACCCCCTGCCCTCCATCAACCCCTACTCCCCACCAACCCCCTACTCCCCCACCAACCCCCTGCCCTCCATCAACCCCCTACTCCCCCACCAACCCCCTACTCCCCCACCAACCCCTACTCCCCCACCAACCCCCTACCCTCCATCAACCCCCTACTCCCCCACCAACCCCCTGCCCTCCATCAACCCCCTACTCCCCCACCAACCCCCTACTCCCCCACCAACCCCCTGCCCTCCATCAACCCCCTACTCCCCCACCAACCCCCTACTCCCCCACCAACCCCCTGCCCCCCACCACCAACCCCCTACTCCCCCACCAACCCCCTGCCCTCCATCAACCCCCTGCCCCCCCACCAATCCCCTACTCCCCAACCCCCCCACCAACCCCCTGCCCCCCCACCACGCTAACCCCCTGCCCCCCCACCACGCTAACCCCCTGCCCCCCACCAACCCCCTACTCCCCCACCAACCCCCCGCCCCCCCCCCCACCAACCCCCTCCCCCGCCTTCCCCTGCTGACTGTCCAGCGCCTTGGGCCGCCCTCCCGAACATGAAAGGCGTTATACAAATGTAATGTTGTTGATGACTCCCTCCCTCTCTCCCTCTCTCCCCCTCCCTCTCTCTCCCCCTCCCTCTCTCTCCCTCTCTCCCTCCGTCACCTCCACATCTCCTCGCAGTCCATGTTGGGTTTTGCTGTACCGGACGATGCGATCCCGCACTGACTCTCGGGGCCTCGCGCTCAAACCGTTCAAATTTAACCGTCACCGCCCCCATTGGCTCGGCCCCCATTGGCCGGGCGACTATGACCTCTCACCCCCGCTCACAGCCCAATAGGAAGGGGCTGGAGCCGCGCAGGCGCAGAGCTTCCCGGGCCCCGCGCTGGGCAGCGCCCCCCCCACCCCCGGCTCTGTGACGTCACCCACAAGTAAGACACGCTCCTCAGCGCCGCACTGCGCTTGCGCTCATCGTTGCTCTGGTTGAAGTTCAGGGATGAGCTTTACACTCTTAGTTGTTGTTGTAAGGATATTTATTAAATATTTACGGGAACCTTATTGGTGTTTTATTTGCAAGCTTTCGCTCGCAGTGTTGCTGCATGTAACATTTTTAATGCATTATTGGAACCTTCAAAAATAATTTGAAATAAATGGTTTGCAAATAAATAGGAATTGACTAACGAAGATTTTCTAATATATATATATATACTATGGGAACGTGCAAGATGTATTCCCTGCTATTGTTGGAAATATTTATATCTAAATTGGCTATTTTTCACAGTAGACATAAATAATTTCTCCCAGTTATCTAAACATTCCTATCCAGACCCAAAGCAATGTCTTTTGTGTTGATGACCTGTTGGTGGATTGTCAGTCTGATTTGGAGACTCTATGGGTGGTGATTGTTCAGACATCCCACTGATCACAAAAATATAAACACTAAGTATATTAGTAAAGAGTTACAAAACACAAAATACTGCAGATGCTGGAATCTGAAACAAAAACAGAAAATTGGCGAAGGGTCGTGGACCCGAAACGTTGACTCACTTTCCTTTCTCCATAGATGCTGCCTGACCTGCTCTTGAGTTTTCCCAGCTCTCCCTGCTTTTGTTTTAGTAAAGAGTTATGTGGAAGTATCTTTTTGCTATTTAGGTAAGGACAGGAAAGAAATTTGAGTGTGAGAACGGTATAGTTTTTAAAATTTGGAACTGGACAGACTGACTTTGCAGGCATTGTCTTTTCTAATCCAGTAGTATTTGCCACATTTTTGGTCCAGGATCCATTTCCCACAAGCACTTTGTTCTTGAAACACAATATTGTATATTTTGTAATGGGATTTATTTCTAAATGTTGATCCTGCAGGTACTAGGATTTCTGAATACATGTTTAGGCCAATTCTCTGCCTGGATTGACCTAAACAATCCAGATACAGGATTATTTGCATAGATACTGATCTCTCACTAGATGCCAGGAACCTTTTTTGGCAGAATCTAGTTTAGAAGTAGAAACTGCCTAATAGAATTTCAAAATAGAAAAGATGCCAAATAAGAGTTTTAAAACGGTTGGCTTAAGGCACATCCTTAACTCAGCTGCAGGATTTCCTATTTACAGGTGGGAGGAATTTAGAGTTTGGTAAGTATAACTTGGGAGCGAGCCTCGTACACGTCTCCAAATGTATTTATTACAGGTTACCTGCGGTATAATAATAATAATGCAACATGTTGATCTGCAAATGACACGGCTCATGGGCTGGAACCTCCCTTCTAGTTTGAACTTGATTGCACCGGTTTAATCAAACCAGTGACCAAATTCACAGCATCCTCCCTTTTGAGTTCCAGATTTAATTTGCAGAATCCATGCAAAGCACCAATCCTTTTGCTTGTGTGTGTGTGTGGGGAGGGGAGTGATGATTTACTCATGTCAACTGACATCACTCATTCCACTTAAAAAATATAGCTACATTAAAAAAAATCCAGCCCAGCAGCAAATAAACACAGCCCCCGCGTGTTCACATGGGATTGCAATCTCTGTGTCAACTCGGGGACGGATGGTTGCATTTCGCGTCGCTCGGATCCCTGCAGGAATCCGCCTCGTAAACTTCCAGCAGCTCCCACGCCCTGGCTCCCGGATCACAGTACATCACAGCAGATCGCATCAGCACAGCACAGTACAGCACAGCACAGCACAACAGCGGGGCTTTGCTGGAGGGAAGTGACACACACACACACACACACACAGGGCGTTGTGCGAGCTCACGCCCGCCCGCAGCCCCGGCTCTGACTTGCCCGCCCAGCGCTGAGCTGCTGCCCCGCCCGCCCGCCCGCCCAGCCCGCCCGCCCACCCGCCCCGCCAGCCCCAGCCCGCCCGCCCGCCAACCCGCCCAACCCGCCCGCCAACCCGCCCCAGCCCGCCCCGCCCGCCCGCCCCGCCTGTCATCGCTGGATTGCCCGCAGACACACACACACACACACGGACGGCTCAGTCACAGCGGCTGTACAGGAGCTGCCGACACACACACACACCCACACACACAGCCCGACAGCGAGGTGTGTGCTGTGTGGGGTCGGTGTGCGGCTGACGATGTGGGGGCCGGAGCCGGAGCCGGAGCGGGAGCGGGAGGACAGGGCTTTGCTGAGTCGGTACCTGGACGGGAGGCACTGGGAACTGAAGGACCAGTTGCGGCGACACACGGCTCACAGTCCGGTCTTCGCGCAGCGCAGGTACAGCAGCCCCGGCTCCCCCCCCCTCCCCTCCCTCCCTCCCCTCCCTCTCCCTCCCTCTCCCCCTCTGTGGCTCCACACGCAAACTTTTCCTTTTTACACACCAGGAGAAGAATATATTCGCTTTGCATTTGTTTGAACCGTCTCATTTTCCCCCTCTGCTGCTGCAAACATCCGAACCCGACTCTCTTCCTCCCAAACTTTGCTGACTTGTTGCACGTGGCTCAGTTGGAAAGACACTCAGTTGGGACACACACATATACACACATACACACATATACACACCCTGACTTGCATTGCACTGCACTGCACCACTTCGAGGAAGAGGTTTCTGTTCGGCGGTGCAGGTGGTGGAGATTTTATTTTTGTGTGGTGGACTGTACACAGTAATGCAGAGTCGAAGCAAAAAGGTCGGAGCGGGTGACATGGTCCTTCCAGGCTCTGGGTGGCTGCATAGGAATGGTTGCAATGTGAAGCTATTCTGGGTGAACCTGTTCGAGCTCCAGGTGTAGTATAGAGTCCGCTCCTCTTCCCCAATACAATATCCTCCCCTCCCCCTCCCGCAGTGTAATAGTCTACCTTTCCCGCTCGCCCCAAATACAATGCCAATAATTGGTGTGTCCGCCCGAGTCAGACGATGGTGGGTTCAGCGCACGTCTATCCCATGTTTTTTTGGGTCAGCGGTGTGTCATGGAAACCCATCACTATGCTTAAGAGTATCCAAACCAAGCTGAGATTTCCGTGCATCCCACGCACCCATGGAAATGTCAGGGATAGGTTGCTGGAATGGAATGCGCACTCTCTCCCTGGAAGGACGCATCCTGCTCACCTAATTCCGGAAAGTATTTAGGCACAGGTTGGCAAGAGCCAGAGTGTGTGTTGGGCTGCTGCTGGAGTGTAACCAGCTAAAACTGCGTAGTTTGCCATTGCTGTTGCTGTCTGACGACCACCCAACCCATTAGAACTTTCGCTTGCAGGGTTAACAGGAGCTGAGTGGGATGTCTCCAAACCTCCGGTGACTAGTCGGTCCTGGCAGATCCTGCCGAGTGAGGCAGGCTGTGCTGTCATCAGGGGTGCCCTAGAATACAGCAGAACCATCTGGCTCAGGAACCGAACTACTGAGACTGGTACAGAGGCCTGGCTCGATTCTGAATTTCTTTGCCAAGCATGTCACCTTAGAGCCAGTTCAGCTCCAAGGAGCCCCTTCTTAGTGGTTTATCCCATGTCAGGACTTTAAACTTGCAATCTACACTGATGAGCACTCTAGGACGGTACCCTGTATGAAAGGCACTATTAATGCAAGTTACGTAACATAAGAACATAAGAAATGCTAGACGATAAAAGACCCAAGGTCCATTTAGTTCGCCTTCCACCTTCCCGTGGTGGCATGCACATATGTCCCAAATGACCTACATACTATATCCCATACAAGTTGTTGTTGACAGTCAGATGCAGTGCTGGGGGTGTTCTATATTGCCGGAGGTAGTGTCGTTCGGATGAAACATTAAACCAAGGTCTGGTTTGCCTGATCAGGTGGATGTTAAAGATCCCATTGGCACAATTTGAAAAGAGGAAGGGGTTTCTCCCAGTGCCAAAGCCAACAATCCTCCCAAATAAAATTGGTTGGTCACTCATTCAGAGGATTGAATTAAAAATCCCTGTCCTCACTTTCAAGACCTTCCATGGCCTTGCCCCCTCCTACCTCTGACCTGCTAACCCTTTATCAATCTATCCGCTCCCTCCGTTTAACAGGTCTGGTCCATGTCTCCTGCCCGACCCGCCCTACCATTGGAGGCCGGGCTTTCAGCATCTCAGCCCCCACTCTTTGGAACTCTATCCCACAATCCCTTCACCTTGATCCCTCCCTTGCCTCCTTGAAGGCGCGACACAAGACCCTCCTTTTCGACCCTCCTCCCTCCTTTTCGACCCTCCTTTTCGACCGTGCCTTCACCCGCGCCCCCTAGCTCTCTGCCCTCCCTCATTCCAACCCTATCCCCCCCACGCTCGGGTCCTGATCCCCGACTGTTTAGCACCTTGAGACGTCCTCCCGACGTGAAAGGCATTTTATAAATGTAATTTTATTGTTTATGGCTGTTTGTGGGGCCAATTGACTGTCACATTTACCTACAAATACAGTTACTGACCTTCACAGTAAATCCTTGAAACAATTTGAGACATCTCAACAATGTGATAAGACTGTATTATCAAATCCAAGGATTATTATTATAATATTCTCCCATTCCCGAAAACAGTATTCTCTGCAGCCAATGCTATCAACAGCACCAGATTCCACGAGCATATTCACCCCTATTTTTGTTCAACTCACTGGTTCTTTTTCCATCAGCAGATCCCTATCCGCGCATTTATTTCCCTCCACAGCCTCACCCCACCCTACCACTTAATTCAAAACATTTCCAATGTGCATCGTGGGCACACAGTATAGTAATCTGTGAGTGAATTGCCCTAATTTTCTTTAGACTGTCATCATTTCTGACAAACAGGTCAAGCTGACACAGATAGCACATAACCTTGACTTTGTTTTAGCTATTCAATGTAAAATATGTTGTTTAATTTCTCTTTCAGTTCTCAATAATCCCGTGTGATAGCTACTCCAGTTTGGATTGTAGACCATACTTTGTTGAACTTTAAAACAAATGAATATAAAAAATAAACCGATTTCTAAGCACTGTTCTAAATTTGTCCCTTGCCAAAGTCTTGTGAAGAACTGCTGTTTAGAAAATAGCAGGAAAGCATTTTACATCGAAAGTGGTTTTCAAATGAATGTGCTAACACTAAATATCTTGTTTGGTTTACACCTCCGGTTGCATTGTATGAATACTTTTCAAGGAACTGGCTTTTTCAATGACAGCCATAACCTTGAACAGTTTTTGTGTGTTGTGGCAGAGAGAATTATTTTGAACATGAATCTTGTTCCAATTGTTTGAGTATGTTTGATATTCATTTATTCCCCCCGCCCATTTCTCTTTCTCTCTTGAAGACACTGACTCATTGTCGCCTTATGGTTTCACTGGCATTGCTAAGATCCCAGTATCTCACCCAATTTGCCACTTTTCCCGTGTAATCTAGTCAGTGAGTGTTGGCAGGCTGTTTGACTGTTGATGTGTGGGGAAAAGACAACAGCACAATCCTGCCCTTGTCAGGCATCTGCATTCAGAAATATGAACAGCACTGGTTTTCTTTCCCCTCTCCCTATTCTTGACCCTATTCCTGGTACACTGTGAAGAATTGTAAGAACAACAAATTACATTTATATCGCATCTTTCATGTTGAGAGGACCTCCCAGGTCCTTGGACAGTCAAGTGTTTGCACACAAAATGGGGGTTGGAGGGGTTAAGAAAGGTGGAAGGCAAGGGTATTGGAGGTGGGAGGATGACCAAAGGCATGGTCAAAGAGGAAGGTCTTGAGACTTGCCATGAGGGGGCGAGGCAGAGAATCTCCAGGATGGAGTTTCAGTGGGTGGGGGCAAAAAGGCTGAAAGTCCGGCCACCAATGGTGGGTTGGGCAGGCCGGGGGACATGGAGCAGGCAAATGCCTGCTGTGCGGAGGCAGAGGGTGAGTTGGTAATAATAATAATCCTTGCCACTCCCACTCTGATCATCTGTCCATGGCCTCCTATGCTGTTCGAACAACAACAAGATTCCATTTATAGAGCGCCTTTCACGTCTGGAGGACGTCCCAAGGCGCTGAACAAAGTACAACACAAGCTTGAAGAACAGCACTTCAGCTACTTCTTAGGCACCTTAAGCTTTCTGGCCTCAACGTTGATTTTTACCATTTCAGGTCTTAAACACAGCTCCCATCTTCTCTCACCCTTGCCTCTTCCCTCAACAACAACCACAACAACTTGGATTTATATAGCGCCCTCCACGCCGGATAGGGTTTCAGAGCGCTTCACAATAACGGATCCCGGGGCCAAGCCAGGGGGAGGGGGAAGAAGGTGACCAAAGGCACAGTCGTAAAGAAAGGTCTTTAGCCGAGATCTGAAAATAGGAAGGGAGGAGGAGAGGCGAAAGGAGTGAAGAAGGGAGTTCCAGAGCCTCGGGGCGTAGTGGCTGAAGGTTCGGCCATCGATGGTGGAGCAGAGAATTCGGGGGACAAGGAGGAGGCCAGACCCGGTGGAGCAAAGGCAATGGGCACTGTTGTGAGGAGAGAGGAGGTCAGAGAGGTAGGGGGGTGCAGAGGAGTAGAGGGATTTGAAGACAAGAGTGAGGATCCTGAAGTCGATCCTCTCTGGGACAGGCAGCCAGTGCAGTCTGGCAAGGACTGGGGTAATCGGGGAGCGGAGTTTTGTGCGGGTAAGAATGTGGGCAGCAGAGTTCTGGATGACCTGGATTTTATGAATGCAAGTGGAGGGGAGAGCGGCGAGGAGGGCATTTGAATAGTCCAGCCGAGAGGTGAGAAAGGCATGGACCAGGGTTTCGGCGGCTTTTGGGGTGAGGTATTGGTGGAGACGGGCGATGTGTCCGAGGTGGAAGAAAGCGGTGCTAGTGAGGGACCGGATGTGGGGGAAGAAGGATAATTGGGGGTCGAACCTGATGCCTAGGTTGCATAGGGGTTCGGAGAATTTTAGCGGGAGGTCGGGTAGGTGGAGGAGGTGAGAACCGTGCGATTTAAGTCGTTGACGAGAGCCAAAGAGTATGGCTTCCTTCTTGTCAACATTTAGCTGAAGGAAATTCGTGCTCATCCAGCTCCTGAGATCTGACAGGCAGGCTGACAGAACATCAGGGGACTGGGGGTCGCACAGAGAGGTGGAAAAATAGAGTTGGGTGTCGTCCGCATACATGTGGAAGTGTACCCCATGTCTGCGGATGACATCCCCAAGTGGGAGCATACAGATTAGGAAGAGGAGGGGGCCAAGGATGGATCCTTGGGGTACCCCGCAGGTAACCCTTCTATAACCATTCATACATCCTCTGGGTCTATAATCTCCCACTACTGCTTCTTTCGTCTTGGACCATCAACACCTCTGATCTCGTCATCTTCTGTCCCACACCTAGATGTTTCCTTTTTCTTTCACCGCCCCCTTCTCTGCTTGTCCTATTCTCTGCTCCCTTCCAACATCCCCCCAGTTCTGACGAAAGGTCATCGACTTGAAACGTTAACTCATTTTCCTCTCTCACACTGCCTCACCTGCTGCTTGTTCCCAGCGACTTCTGTTTTTGGTTCAGATTTCCAGCATCTGCAATATTTTGCCTTTTATAATAATTCTTGCATTTGATAAAGCGCCTTATTATGTCATTGAGCCGTCTCAAAACCCTTCACAGAATATACTATAAAGTTAATTGATTGGATATTGTGGAGTCCTGTTGCTCAGTGGTAAGAGCACTCGCCTTCCAAGCGAGACACCTGGATTCAATTCCAGGCACAGGGCGAAACCTTGGGCAAGTTTCCTTACTCCATATGCCTAATAATAATCCCTCCAAAACAAAACAGTAATAAAAATTGGTCATTTTCAATCCACAGCTGTTTGTGGAACACTGCTGTGCGCAATTGGCTGCCGCGTTTCACCCACAGATATACAGTCAATTCACTTTACAGTATATTCTGTGAAGCGCTTGAGACGTCGAGAAGACGTGAAAAGCGCTATATCAAATGCAAGGATTATTATTATTATATTCTGTGGATGAAACTTGGCAGCCAATTGTGCGTAGCAATGTCTCACAAATCGTCGTGGATTGAGTGACCAAATTATTATAATTATTTTGGGGGGGGATTATTATTATTAATGTTTTAGTAGGTCGCAGAGGTAGAAAGGAGCAAACGGAATGAAGGTGAGAAGTGATGCGAGAATCTTGAACTTGATCCTCTGGGGGGATGGGAAGCCAGTGAAGCTCGGCGAGGATGGGGGTGATCGGCTCATGGAACTTGGTGCGGGAGAGGACGTAAGCTGTAGAGTTGTGAATAATCTGCAGTTTGTGGAGGTCAGCAAGTTGGAAAGTTTGGCGAGCAGGGAGTTAGCATAGTCAAGTCTGCACAAAATGAATGCATGGATGAGGGTATAGGCACCATCCATGCCTTCAATACGTCCAAGTTTGACGATGCTAACTGAGGGGAGAGGTGACGGCGATGGTGGACAAAGCCATGGATCTGGGGTAGAAAGGAGATTTCTTTTTTTCCCCCCAGCTTGTATAAAATTTAAAAAAAAACGCTCTTCTATACTGAGAGTGGAACAAGTTGTGTTTTTAGTAAAACTGGGTTCTGAACCGTAAGATACTGAAAGTAACCTTTTTCGAAGATATGCAATAAGTTATTGCTGTTGCAAATGCTGCTGCATCAAGTGAAGTGTCGGCGTATATTGCTGGAAACTCCCCACATTTCAACAACGTTTACAACAACTTGCATTCAACAACTAGCACCCTTTATGGGACGGCAACTTGGAATGCTTAACAGTGGCAGAGTTTAACGCTGAGCAGGGAGAGAGGAGGTGACTGGATCTTGAAGAAGATTTTGAAGTGTGATCTGAAGATTAGCATGGGGAAGACGTGATAGGGACTATGCAAAAGTAACCTGTTTTCGTTGTCTGTTGGAAATTGCTCTTCACAATTGGGTTGCTGCCTTTCCCTACAAATATACATTTGCTCCATAGTAAATCTTGTGATGCGCTTTGAGACATCTTTCTGACCTGAAAGTGATTATAATTATTATTATTAAGTGATTGGTTATTCAAGATGTACATCCAGACATTAAACAATCAAAGTATTCATTTTGAAAAAGGATAATTGTTTCTGGTAATGCATTCCTCCTAGGTATGACCTGAGCCTGGATGAGATGCGAGACCTAACCTTTGAACGAGTCAAGTTTATTATAAAGTTACCACAGATTCAACAACAGTTACAGGAGCAGGTATTTCACACAATGAATTTGTCTAAAAAAATTGTATCCTAATAGTCTAGCCTGTGTATATACCCATAGCTTAAATTCATAATAGATTTATTTATCCCAAATTCGTTTTTGGTGTGCAATCCACATAGAAGGATGATCCACTCTCGGGATGTGGGGAAAGCAAGGGGTATGAATGTTATCTTATGCTTAGTTGTTGGGTACTAATAATACTAATCTTTACAATTGATGTACTGCCTTTCACATCAGGAGGATGTTTCAAAGCGCTTTACAGGATATAGGTGTGAAGTGTACTGACTGTGTCTTGCAGGTGAATGCGGTAGCTAATTTCAGCATAGCAACATCACACAAACAGCCATGAAGTACTGTGCATAAGAAAAAAACTAAAGTTGACTTTCCTTCATTGAGCGAAATCTCACCTCTGTGTATGGCTTTTCTAAATCATTTGGTGAGGCCACATTGGAATATGGTGCATTTTGGAGTTGCCCATTTCACAAGGATCATGTTACATTAGAAATAGTTTTTAAAAGAGACCAAACAAGATGATTTTAGAACTCTTGAGTTCTATGGTTACAGTAAAGAGAGATGGGAGGATCTTTGAACTGCTGAGACATAGTTAATGTAGACTTAAGTAGACTGTACTAAACTAGTGCAAGTGAATTACATAACTCAAGTTAAGAGGCCTCAATGAGAGTAGAAATGAGAAGCTATTTTTGTCCCAGAAAATAAATAGAACAGACTCAGAAAAATATGTTTATATACAAAACAGTCACTGCATTTTACATTAAATCCCATGGAGTGCTTTGAAACTTCCTTCTCAATGTGAAATGTGCTATATCAGATGCAAGGATTACTATTATTGCCGGGCTGATTTAATACTTTAAAAAAAATAACTGGGTAGAAATCAGGTTAGAAATGGGATTGAAAGATGTAGGGATATGAAGATACTGCGATAATTAGAGACTTTACTGCACTTGTTGCCCTCCTGCTGCTGCTGAGTGACATCTATGAAGAGCAAGCAGGCAGATTGAAAGATGTGACTAGATAAGTCCTCAGGGGTTGAAGCTTGAGGTTAGGTTAAACTTTTCCTCTGGAAGGTTAATAAAGATTTGTGACCAAATGTTTGTTGACTTCCTTACAGTCCTCCATTAGTGCTACTATATACTTGCAGACGTTTCCCTCCAAATACACAACCACTACACTTTCCAGTATATTTTGTGAAGCACTTTGAGATGCCCTCCTGATGTGAAAGGCATTACACCAAATATAAGGATTATTATACTTGTGGATTAGAAAGGAGTAACTTGCATTGATTAAGTTTATAATTTTGCATTGGCTTATTTTGTAATTTTCTATCTTTCTCCCCATTCTTTTTCCTCTCTCACTTCAACCTAAACTTACTTACTTTCTTGACTTACTGGGTAATACTAAGAAGTTGTTCTGTGGAGAATTTAGATGTTTTCACTTTTAAATGTTGAAGCCTTACACTGTCTGTTCATTTAGACAGAAAAGAAGAAGGACTTTATCAATAAAAGCCTGGCCTTTGGAGAAGTTGTTTCAACAGCTGATCTTACAACTGGAGTGAAGGTAATCTGTTGTTGTGGAAATCTTACCGTACAATACACACTCATAGAGCACCTTTAATGTCTGGGGAAACTCCTCAATTACTTGACAAGCTTGTTAAGATAATAAAATAAACTTGTATTTGCAGCTTTTATGTTGAAACATCTCAGTAATTGCAGTCAAGTGGGACTGTATTTGTAAGCAAATGAGACAGGACATTAGAAGAATTCTTTTTCCCCAATGGTGATTTGAGATCTTACATCTAGCTGAACAGGCATTCAGAACCTGGGTTTAATGTGTCACCTGAAGGATAGCACGTCCAACAACACAGTCGAACTGCAGCCTAGACTGAGCTCAAACACCCATGTGAGTTTAAATCCACAATCTTCTGACCCAGAAGTGAGAGTGCAACAAACCGAGTTTACCGTGGTTATTGGAAATTAAATCAATCCTGCTACTTTGGTTCTGCAATATATTGACACTGTGCAAAAGTGAAGTGGTAAGAACTAGTCACATTTCATTCAGGTTGTGGGAAGAAACCTACACTAGTACTCAGAATCTTGGGTGATGTTGCAGTGCAGAACTGAGGAAGTGCTGTCAACAGATCATGACTTGCATCTTTGCTCATGAGGTATTTGGTCAAATCATTCGTGGAAATATTTATCAGGTCACACAATCAAACGGCTTCCTTCACATAGTGCAACGAGAAATCGATTTGTGCAAACGTGTGATGAAATTGTGGTTCAGACGACAATTTTGTGCGACGCTTCACAGCCTGTCATCTCCCTTCCTCCTTCCCTCCCCCTTCTCCCCCCCCTCCCCCCCCCACAAGCTGTTCCTACATCAAATACTAAGTTTTGCTTTGTCCTGAGGGTTCACTTCTCAGCTTTGTGCTTTCCCCATCACACCAGTTCTTGCCAGGCTCTACTGACTCCCAATTACGGAATGGATCAATTTCAAGATCCTCTCACTTACTTGCAAATTCCTTCATGCCCTCTCAGCTGCCTCCAGCCTCCTATTTGTCCCTCGTGCCCTCTGGTCCACCATTGGTGGCCGTGCCTTCAGCCTCTACACCCTGAAACTCTGGAACTCTCTCCCTCCACGTTGCCCCCTACCTCCCCACTTTCATATCCTGCCTAAAGACCTGCCTTTTTGATTGAGCTTATGGTTATCTCCCCCGTCTCTCTCCCCCTGGCTTGGCATCAGATTCCGCCACTGTCAAGCGCTCCGGGACGCTACCCCACATGAAGGGCGCTGTATGAATGCAAATGTTGTTGTTCCTGACGACTGCTCTTCCTTCCTTCCTCCCTGTTCTAATCCTTCAAAAAAAAACTCACCATTACCTGCTCCAAATAGTTTCAAGGTTGTTTTAAAAATGAAAACTTCTAGGGTTAAATAAAAGGATGAATGATATAAATTGAATAAAGTTGCTGCTTTATTTTGCAATTTGAAACTAGTTTTTCTGACGCTTGTGAGGCAGAAAATCTACTTGGGGACTTTAATGCTTGAATGTTATGTGCCTGGGCTTATAGAATGAAGAATTAATCTAACTGAGTTGTAATTTATATGTTTGCACTATTTAGACTGAGTTTCTGTGCTGTGGGTTATTCACCTGTGAACTCCAGGTTAATAATCCATATTGAAATTGCAAATTTATTCAAGGCTTTCCTGAAATGTTGTCTGACCAAATTGAGGGTGTTCACAAAGTCCTGTTACCCCCATGTGTTTTATTTAACACACACAGTGCACTGACCAACAACTGAAACTTATGGAAGAATGATGATAATTGTACTTAGGAGTACTTAATTGTGTTCAGTATAAGTGTTGAACTGTATTTACTGTGGAGTCCTATAGCTCAGTGGTCAATTCCAAAGTCGTCACCTAGACTAGGCTAGCACCTTCCTATTTCTGTGACCCTCATCTGCCCCACTTTTCCGCATCCCCTCCAGTCAACTAATTTGAGATTGTCGCTCATCTCTGTCCCCTTTGCACCTCTATCAGTAGTCAAATCTCAGATTCTACACCCATGACCTCACCACCCATAATCTCGCTCCCTCTCTATCTGTCTTTACACCCTGCTTTAAAACTGACCTCTTCAACAAGAGTCCCCTTCTTCCACTTCTCTCTCCTCCGACACTAACCTTGTGGAGCACTCTGAGCTGCGCTATATAAATGCAAGTTGTTGTTAGCCAGTACAAGGAGGGCAAACAGACCATGTCCTGTTGAACAAACTAAATAAAGTTGCTCGGTGGACCAGTTGTAGAGTGGGTAAGGGCATGTAAGCGCTTTGAGACGTCTCAAAGATGTGACAAGGCACTATATCAAATGCAAGGATGGTTATTATCTGCTCCAAATTGGGCATGTTGTTGAGAGCAGAGTGGACCCTACAACCTACACTTAGGTGGTTAATGTGCCCTGGGAGTGGCTACCCAAATGGGAAAGTGTTCCGATTCCTACAGTTAAAATGCCTCAGCCAGTTGAGTACAATGTTCACCAAATATTATTCCCTCTTTCTCCTCCCTCCCCTCCCCTGCGCCCCCACGAGTTTCATTGCGATGTGACAAAATGTTATTTCACGTTTAACCAAGTCGTTCACATTTAGTGATTGTTAATGTGCAGCATTAACTGTTTTTGTCTCATATAGTTTGGAACAAGTAACATTTTTTTATTGTTTAATAAATTAAATGCATTTAATGTGTGGCTTTCTGTCAGTTACTGTCTGTTTTATTAATAGGAATAGGGTCTGTAGGTGGAAATAAGGTCGTGACTGTCCTGCATGTAAGTGAAGTTTCTTTTGTGTGACTCCCTCAGATGTAACTAACTGTTGCACCTTTTTCTCTTTTTCCTCTTGACTTGTAGATGGGAGTTGTGTGTTGGTTGTTTGGTGGGGCAGTTGTCAACCTTGGCAGTCCAGAGCATATTGAAAAATGGGTTCAACCCATAAAGGTACTTCTCTCCAAATATTAAAATCTGTTTGATGAATTTAATTGGAGCTGTAGGATTTGTAGGATCCTACACACTGATGTACAGTAAAACTCACAAGTCCTAACAGTCAGGACTATAATATTTTTAATGACTTCTATGAAGTCTGAGTTACAGGCAATCTTGTGTAAATCGTATAAAGTCCAATTTAATGAATAACCTATACTGCGCATGTGTAATTCAATACTGCCAGTAAGTACGCATGTGGTACATTGTCACTGCAGACAGTAAGTGCACATATGGTGACGGGTTAGGACATCATCTCCCGCGATTCAATGCATCCAGTAAATATGGGAGTAATGGAAGATAGGGGAGTGGTGTTATAAATTAAGAGATGATTAATGCAAGTAGTACAAAAGAATCTTAAGTGGTTTGATAGGAAACTGAATGCAACTCAGGTACATGTATGACTTCAGCAATTATACTATTTATAAAGATAAAACTTATGCAAGTTTTACTGTGGTGCCTTTTACCTCAGAAGGACATCTCAGTGCTTCAGAGAATTTTACTGTAAATGTTACTGTTTTACAGTGTTTGTGTGTTTTTTAGGCAAATACAGTAGCCAATTTGCACACAGCAATGTCTCATTCTCTCTTTTTGCATTTATATAGCGCCCTTCACACAGGGTAGAGCCTCAAGAGGGCTGAACAATATAATAATAATCCTTGCATTTGACATAGAGCCTTACCACTTCTTTGAGACGTCTCAAAGCGCTTCACAGAATATACTATAAAGTGAATTGACTGTATATTTTGTGGGTGAAACGTGGCAGCCAATTGCGCACAGCAGTGTCCCACAAACAGTCAAGGATTGAAAACAATAGAGGAGTCTGAACAGTAACTGAGCCACTCTTTACTTCAAGCTTTAATTGTTTCTGATTTTACAAAAATTGTTATCACATTCACATCCAGGAGAGACTGAGAATCATTTAATTATTTTTCTTTTCCCAATAACTTTAGGACCTAAAGTTCACTGGAATGTTTGCGATGACTGAATGTGGGCATGGTAGTAATGTAAAAGGTATCCAGACTCAGGCTACATATGATCCAGCGACCAAGGTAATGAATAGTGAAGTCATACTGAAACTTATTAGGAAATGTGCAGCCATGGAAGTGATATTTTTAGCAGTTTGAAAGTTGCAGTTGCAGACGAATTTCAGCAGTAGAACCTGTATTAAAGCAACAAGTGACATGTTTTTGATAAACATAGAACACTGATGGAAGTTCTGTTCCACAACAAGGAAAACTTACATCTATAATAATAATAATCCTTGCATTTGATATAGCGCCTTATCAAGTCTTCGAGACATCTCAAAGTGCTTCACAGAATATACTGTAAAGTGAATTGACTGTATATTTTGTGGGCTGTATATTAGTGCCCTTCACGTGTCTTGGAGAGCTTCTAAGTATTGTAATGTGTTGTCTCCAGGAAAAAAAAGTTGGTCACCCGGGTGGGTCTCTGACACATGTGGAAACCCACCACCATGATTAGTATCCAAACAATTCTGAGAGTTCCACATATGTATGACACTTACACATGGAAATTTCCCTGTGTCTGGAATAGAATGCAAACTATCTCCCTGGAGGGATGCACACTACTTCCCTAAATCAAGAGAGTATTAGGCACAGATTGGCAAGAGCTAAAGTTTGGGGACCTCAGAGTGTGTATTATGGTACTGCTCTCAAAAATTCAAGGAAAGCTTTATAGAAGGTAATAACTGAGCTTTGGTCCAATTGGAACACATCTTGCAAAGTAGATTGCAGATGGTCTGTTGTACTGAAATTATTGTGCAAGGTTCAAACTAGCAAATTTCTTTTTTCTGTCTTCTCTTCTAGAGTAGTTAGGGAGCAGTGGTTGAGGCAGAATCCATATTGGATTTCAAAAGGGAACTAGATAAGTACTTAAAAATGAGTCAACTGCGGGGGTATGTTACTTAATGGTGCTGCCTTACCGTTGGTTCCCATATTGGATTTCAAAAGGGAACTAGATAAGTACTTAAAAATTAGTCAACTGCGGGGGTATGTTACTTAATGGTGCTGCCTAACGTCCGTTCCTTTTCCAACAAACCACACACCATTCAAGACCTCATCGTCGATGAACGCATCAACATCCTCGCCCTCATTGAAACCTGGATCACTCCAGGCGACACCTTCCCACTGAATGAGGCCTCTCCACCCGGCTACACCTTCCATCGCACCCCTTGAGCTAACCGCCATTGTGGCGGTGTGGCTCTCATCTCCCGGTCCCTGCTCGGCCTATCCCCTTACTCCTCTGGAACTTTCCTCTCCTTTGAGCACCTTACCCTTTATCAACCCTCCAACCTTGCCCTCAAAATTCTCTTATCTACCACCTCCCCCCCCCCCCCTCCCCCACAAGCCCTCCTCCACCTTCATCCCTGACATTTCCACCCTCCTATCTTCCCTCTCTCTTTGCTCTGAATGCCTCCTCATCCTTGGCGATTTCAACCTTCACTTCACCCCCTCCTGCTCTACCTCTGCTGACTTTTCCTCCCTTATCTTTTCCCTCAATCTCTCCCTCCACTGCCACTCCGCCACACACATCCGCGGTCACCCCCTTGACCTGGTGATCACTCAGGGCCTCTCCGTCTCGGACCTTACCATCACCGACAAAGCGATCTCGGACCATCACTTCATCTCCCTTAACTCTTCAATCCCTCTCCCCACTGGCACCTAACCCACCTCCATCTCATACCGCCCCTGGAAAAAAATCTCCCCCCCACCCCCCCTCTTGGCTGCATTGGAGTCATCTGAACTCCTTCCCCTCTGGGAGTCCTCCCGGAATGACCTATCCTCCTCCGTCACTCTTCTCCACAGCTCCCTCTCCTCCACTCTCGATTCCCTTGTTCCCCTCTCTTCCCGAACCATCTCCTACTCACGCAAATCACCTTGGTACACCAGCCACCTCCGCTTCCTTAAAGCCCAGGCACATTCCCCTGAGTTAACCTGGCTTAAATTAAACCTAACTGTCCATCGGCAGATTTGGCTGGACCATATCAACTCCTACCGCTCCACCCTCGCCTCCGCTAAATCATTGTTCTACTCCAAGACAATCTTGGAGGCTAAGGACAACTCTAAGCTCCTCTTCTCCATCATGAACCGGCACCTCCGCCCACCCTCTCACACCTCACCCATTCTCACCTCAAATGCCAACTGCGAGGCGATGCTGGACTTCCTTGAATCCAAAGTCGAGGGAATCCGCTCAGCTGCCTCTGCCACTGCAACTGCTACCCCCTCCCCATCTCCTCCTCCCACCCCAGCCCCTACCCATCCCTCCCTCCACACCTTTGAACCGGTCTCCCCCTCCTGTCTCATCACCACCATAACCCGTATGAAATCCACCACCTGCTCCCTCGACCCCATTCCTAGCCCCCTCCTTACCTCCCAGCTCCACTCCTTACCCCTCTACGCACTGATATCGTAAACCTCTCCCTGTCCTCTGGTACTTTCTCCACCCCTTGCTGTCATCCTCCTATTTTTAAAAACCCCTCCCTGGTCCCTTCTCTACTCCCAAACTACCACCCTATCTCCAACCTCCCTTTCTCTCCAGGTTCCTAGAACAAGTTGTTGCTTCTCAGCTTCACTCCTTCCTCTCCTGCCACTCCCTTCTCAAACCCCTCAATCGGGTTTCCGTGTCGCCCACAGCACAGAAACAGCCCTGGTCAAAGTGACAGATGACATTCTGTCCATTTCCGACCAGGGCTCCCTTTGCCTCCTCGTCCTCCTTGACCTCCCTGCTGCTTTCGACACTGTTGGCCACTCTATCCTCATCCACCGCCTCTCCTCTCAACTCAACCTCCACGGCTCTGTCCTTGACTGGTTCAAATCGTACCTCTCACACCACCTGCACTTCATCTTGATGTCAGACATCAAGTCCTGAATGAGAGACAACTTTCTTCAGTTCAACGTCAACAAGACTGAGGCTCTCCTGATTGGCTCCCGTCAGCGCCTCTACACCTCAAGCGCTGACAGCATTACCATCCATGGTTGCACACTCCACCTAACTAAGCCAGTCCAGAACCTTGGAGTCTTGCTTGACCCTCAACTATCCTTTCTACCCCATATCTGCGCCATGACCCGCTCTACCTTCCCCCACCTCCACAACGTCACCCGGCTCCAACACTTGTCTCACACCGCAGGCCGCTGAAATCCTCATACATGCCTTCATTACATCGGGACTTGACTATGCAAACTCACTGCTTGTCGGCCTCCCCAACTGCTCCCTCCATAGGCTGCAGATCATCCAGAACTCTACAGCCCATGTCCTCTCCTGCACCAGGCTCCACAACCCTATCACCCCCATCCTTGCCCAACTCCACTGGCTTCCCATCACACAGAGGATACAGGATCCTGGTCCTCACCTTCAAAGTCCTTGATGGTCTTGCACCCCCCACCTCTCCGACCTCCTATCCCCTATCACCCCATTCACTCCCGCTCAGCGGGCTCTGGCCTGCTTCACATCCCCCGCCTTGCTTGCCCCACTATTGGCAGGCAGGCCTTCCACCACTCTGCACCCACTCCCTGGAACTCCATCCCGCAGTTCCTCTGTCTCGCCCCCTCCCTCGCCACCTTCAAGACCCACCTCAAGACCCTCTTCCTCGACCGTGCTTTCGATCTCCGCCCCTGCCCTCCGCCCTGCCCCACTCCGACCCCCAGCTCAGGTCCGTAACTCTTGTCTAGGATGGCCTCCCGACGTGAAAGGTGCTTTACAAATGTAATTTTGTTGTTGTTGTTGCCTTAAGCGGGAGTATGTTTGATCACACATTGCATTAGGAATGTACTTTGTTGGGAATTGAGATCAAAAGCCAGTATCATTACTTGGTGGCAAGGACAATCCAATGTCCGTTGACTTCATTTCTTTTTTTAAAATATGGTATAGTGTGTCCAATTATTTTCCTAATTTTCTCCTCACTGTGCGCTCTTGATGGGGGGTAGTTTCATGGGAGTTCATTACCCTCTGAGACACTCTGCCCAAATGACAGTTATTCATGTGTGAGCCTTGGTAGCCACTCAACTGCAGAGAGCATGACAGCTGAGCCGGACCTCTCCCTGCTTGGTATACCACACATGCACAGTCAGTTCAGGGTGCTGAAGAGGGATCAGGTGCAGGAACCCTGGCTGATCTTCTCCCTCCATGACCCTGTGAAGGCTGCCTCCCCGTGCTACCCCAGCTGAGACCAGCAAACGCAGCACAGAACAGTGAACTCCTGGTTCGTGAGCTACAGCTCCATCACCTGATGTTTTAAGTTAATTTCAAAATTGTGGTTTAGTTATGCATTCGTTACCTCCCGACTTGATTTTTCAAATGCCTTCCTCCCTGGTCTCCCCAGCTCCACCATACACATGATCCAGCCGATCCCAAACTCCGCCTCCCGTGTACTCACCCATACTAAACTCCATACCCCCATCACACCAGTGCAAGCCAGGCTCCACTGGCTCTCTATCACTGAACGGATTAATTTCAAGATCCTCACGCTTGTTTTCAAATCCCTTCATTCCCTGGCACCTCCCTACCTTTCTGAACTGCTTACCTCCCAAACCGCTGCCTCCGCTCGACTGGCCTTTTGCATGTCCCTCGTGCCCTCTGTTCCACCATCGGTGGCTGCACTTTTAGCCACTACATCCTGAAACTCTGGAACCTTCTTCCTCTATCACTCCGCCTTACCCCTTCTTTCCCAATCTTCAGGTCGTGCCTGAAGACTTTCCTATTTGACCCTACCTACGATCATCTCCTCCTCCCCCGGCTCTGCATCGTGCTCCGCCACTGTCAAGTGCTCAGGGTGCTAGCCTGCATGAGGAGCGCTGTATAAATGCAAGTTGTTGTTATTGTAGTGTAAGGTGTGATAATTCCATTTTGTAAAATCTCTCTTTCTGTTTCAACCCCCCTCATCTCTTCCTCTCCCCCCCCCCCCCCCATACACACACACTTGTAGGAATTTGTTATTCATACTCCTTGTGAAGATGCTAAGAAGATGTACATTGGGAACGCAATGCAAGGAAACTATGCCGCTGTGTTTGCTCAACTCTACGTCAATGGAGAGTGGCAAGGTTTGTACTTTAAGTATCCATTTTTATATATTAAAAAAAATGCATATTTGGGTGCTGTGGAATAAACCCTAAAAAGGCATGGGAGAAGACTAGGGAAATGGAGGTTGGAGTAGAAGTCTCCAATAGCGATCTAACATGACATTGTCCCAATGGGGTACACGACTTCCTGTGGCTAAAAGCTTGCAGTTTCCGCAGGATGGCAAGAATTGATGCTTAGGGATGTCAGTGTGTGCTTTGCGTTACTGCTGTAGTTAATCAGCTAAAAACGCAAAGCTTGATATTGTGAACATGACTTGGCAAACTTCCTGCTGCTTGTTCAGCTAAAGCTACTCTATCTGTTAAGGATTTGGATTACAGGCTTCACATGAACAAAGTGGGAAGAATCCCAGTCCCTAGTTATTGATCTGCTCCTTCAAGTCCTGAAATCACGGATGCGCTTTCAACCACTACACCCTGAAGCTTTGGAACTCTTTGCCCCATCCCTCTGCCTTGCCCCCTCTTCAGTATCTATATGCTCCCTCTTCGTGACATCATCCGCAGACATGGGGTCAACTTCCACATGTATGCGGATGACACTCAACTCTATCTCTCTGCCTCCACCCTTGACTCCAGGACCACTGCTGTCCTGACAGAATGTCTGTCAGACATCAAGTCCTGGATGAGAGCTAACTTTCATCAGTTGAACGTCAACAAGACTGAGGCTCTCCTGATTGGCTTCTGTCAGCGCCTCCACACCTCAGGCGCTGACAACATCACCAATCAAGGATTCACACTCCACCGTACGAAGCCAGTCCAGAACCTTGGCGTCTTGACCTTGATAGTTGACCTTCAACTATCCTTTCTACCTCACGTCCGTGCCAAGACCCGCTCTATCTTCCCCATCTCCACAACATTGACCGGCTCCGCCACTGTCTCACATCGCAGGCCACCAAAACCCTCATACGTGCATTCATAACAACAACAAAATTACATTTAGAACGCCTTTCATGTCGGGATGACATCAAGGCGCTGAACAGTCAGGGGTCAGGACCCGGCATGGGAGCGGGATGGGGTAGGGGCGAGGGAAGACAGGGAGGTGGGAAGGCGACCAAAGGCAAGATCTTGAGACCGGCCTTGAAGGAGGCAAGGGAGGAAGTGAGGCGAAGGGACCGTGGGATGGAGTTCTAGAGTGTGGGGGCAGAGAGGCTGAAATCCCGGCCACCGATGGTCGGGCGGGAGACATGGAGCAGGCCTGAGCCCGATGAATGGAGGGAGCGGGCAGGTTGATAGGGAGTCAGCAGGTCAGAGAGGTAGGAGGGGGCAAGGCCATGGATGGCCTTGAAAGTGAGGACAAGGATCTTGAATTCGATCCTCTGAGGGATGGGGAGCCAGTGGAGTTCGGGCGAGGGTGGGAGTGATGGGTCACGGAGCCTGGTGCGCGAGAGTACAGGAGTTGCAGAGTTTTGGATGATTTGCAGCTTGTGAAGGGAAGAGTTGGGAAGGCCGATGAGGGAATTTCCATAATCGAGCCTTGATGTGACAAATGCGTGGGTGAGGGTTTCGGCATCCTGAGGGGTGAGGCAGTGGCGGAGTCTGGCAATGTTGCAGAGGTGGTGGTAGGCAGTGCCGGAAATGGCAAGGATGTGGGGGAGAAAGGACATTTCATGGTCCTCAGTGTCCTCTCCTGCACCAGGCTCCGTGACCCTATCACCCCCATCCTCGCCCGACTCCATTGGTTTCCCATCACACAGAGGATACAGTTCAAAATCCTGGTCCTCACCTTCAAAGCCCTTCATGGCCTTGCTCCCCCCTACCTCTGAAACCTCCTAACCCCCTACCATCCTGCCTTCTCTCTCCACTCAGTGGGCTCCGGCCTGTTTCACATCCCCGCCTTGCCCGCCCCACCATTGGCAGTCTGCCACTCTGTCCCCACCCTCTGGAATTCCATCCTGCAGTCCCTCCGCCTCACCCCCTCCCATGCCTCATTCAAGACCCATCTCAAGACCCTCGTCTTCGACCGTGCTTTTGATCTCCCTCCTCCCCCCCCCCCCCCCCCCCCCCCCCCTGCTGTCCACTCTTCCCATCCTGACCCCCAGCTCAGGTCCAAAACACTGACTGCCAAGTGCCTTGGGACGTCCTCCTGATGTGAAAGGCACTATACAAATGTAATTTTATTGTTGTTGTTAGATCACGACTGAAGACCTTCCTCTTCAACCATGCGTACGGTCACCTCCTCCTTCCCCCCTGCTCGGCATCAGTCCCCGACACTGTTAAGGGCTCCGAGATGCTGCCCCGTCTGAAGGGCGCTGTATAAATGCAAGTTGTTGTTATAAACCAGACTGACTGATCTGTCATCAGCAATGCCAAGGAGCTGCCTGGCTCAGGCAAGTTTTGTATGATTCCGACATTCCATTGCCAGACCTGTTACCTTGTTAACTCACCCCCCAAAGAGACCCTGTTACTTGCCCCGTCTTGTCCCTGAGGATCGTATGGTGAACACTATGATCAGCCTAGAGGTAGATGAATTTCTGATTAGGAGTGGAGAGCTTTATAACTTTTATTCTCGCCTCCTCGAGGTGTCGCTGTTAAATGGGAACTCAGTACCTGAATATTTGTGGGTTTCAACCTGTGACCTATTGCTTCAAACTACACTTGCCACCTCTGGTTCCACTATTTGTTTGCTTCTATGAAAGAGAGCATAGATAGGGTCAGGGTTTATGTTGCACAGAGTTCCGAATATTTGAAATTAAAATTTGCTGCCGACACAGAAGCAAATTGATAAACCCATCTGCCTCTTGGCTCAAGGCTCTCAGAGATTTAGCCCCAGTTCCTTGCATGTGAAAATAACTCCAGTTTCCTGCTACTACACAATGTGTGGATTCCTATTCACAAATTAATTATTTATTCTCCAAAGCCCAGAGATGTGGATGAATTGCTTCAATTTGCAGTTTTCCCATTAGAATGCTCAGTGTGTTAGATTAATCTACTGTATTTTGAATCCAGTAGAGTATTGCACCCTAATCACTGGAAAAGGTAAATCGTTCATTCTTAGTTAATATAATGCACACACCATTTATCTTAATTTTTAAAATAAAGTATTCTGAAAGGATGGGATCAGATGGACCGAAGGGCTTTCTGCCTTCAAATTGATCTTGTGATCAGTGTGTAATGATCCTTCTCTGTGGGTTCTGTTTGTATGGTAGCTTATACTGTCCTCTTCTGGTTAATTAATACAATTACAATGCAATTGGCATTTATATAGAGCCTTTCACATCAGGAAGACCCTTCAAAGTGCTTCATGAGCATATGGAACCCACAGATTTAACTTGATTTCATGTATGTTGTGCTTGTCTTTTAAGTTCTGTTCCCTTTTTCAGATGCGCACAGTTTTATTCCTTGTAATAAAACTAAGTGTAGGAAAAACTCCTCTTTGTCACTGCACCAACATCCAATTCCTGCTTCCCTGCTCTCATACTATATACTTTAATATCCACCTCCTTGAAATTCCTCAGGTAGTGTGTGCCACTGCAGTGTCACCACTCTGCTGGTATCATCCAGTAGCACTTCTGGGCCAGTGTTCCCAAATTCTTGCTTTATTCTAATTTGTTTATAATAATGATAATAATAATAATAATCCTTACGTTGGATATAGCACTTTATTATGCCTCAAAGCACTTCATAGGATATATTGTAGTGGTGTGATTATTTTGCAGGTGAAAATGTAATCTTGATTTAAAATGGTGTTTTTTTGCAATTGAGTGACCTACTGAGGTGATAAAATCACTTTTATCAATTCCCTTCAATGAATCAGCTCAATCAAATCCCCCTCTCCTCCCCCCTCCCTCTACGTCTAAAGACATTGTATCCTTCCTGTGTTGAGGGCCCTAAACAATGCAATACTCCCAACTGTGATGGATGAATATTCTAGAGTTTTTCACACAGAGTGGTGGAAATCTGGAACTCTCTTCCCCTAAAAGCTATCAATGCTGGATCCATTGAAATTTGTAAGACTGAGGTCAACAGATGTTTGTTAGGTAAGGATATCAAGGGATATAGAGCAAATGGAGTTGAGGTACTGATCAGCCATGATCTAATAGAATGGCGGAATAGATGAAGGGGCTGAAATCCTATGTTCGGATTGATTATTTTGGGGGATCAGGTATTAACTGCTGAATTGTCCCATTAGAGATGGTGAGTGGAGTCCAAGGTAAAGTAATGTGTGATTTATGAAGACATCAGGGCCAATAGCCTTTCCTCTTGTTGCATGTTTTCTTAAGCTTTTAAGTAACAGAAGAGAAAAGAAAAGCTAGAAGATTTGTTGCAAGGGTTTGTTTAATCCCACAGTCATCTTTCACCCAGTAATTCTGGAAGTCACATCAAGTAGATAAGAGAACTCAATCACTTCCCCAATCCGTCTAAAGTTAAGTGCAAAGTAAATGATTCGAGAACAAATTGCTTTTCTCTTACCCTCCTTGCACCCCCTCCAGGCTGCAGTTGAAGTATCATGGATGAACCTGAAATTTTGAGGCAAGAATGTCAGTGAAGCAATTTGTCAACATTAACCAACATTAATAAATACAGCCGCCGAGAGAAGATACCTCTAAGGGCTGACTCGAGAATCTCACCACTGTTAGTATCTAAACTTAAATTAAAAGGGTTTGATAAGGTTAGCATAAATAGGTTGTTTCCACTGGTTTGTTTCCACTGGTTGGGGAGTCCATAACCAGGGGACACAAATATAAGATAGAGACTTGGGTATCTAAAAGAGAATTTAGGGGGAACTATTTCACCCAGTTGGTAGTAAGATTGTGGAACTTGAAGTGGTGGTTGAATCCAATAATACAGATGCATTTAAAAGGAAGTTAGACTTCATATGAGGGAGAGGGGAATAGAAGGGTATGGGAGGGAGTAAGGAATGGGTGTGGAGTAAAGTGGAGTGTAAATAGGCTGAGTGACCTGTTTCCATGCTGTACATTCTTTATAAATCGAAAGGGAGGATCCCTAACAGCACTGACTGCAGTACCTCACCACTCTGCTAGTATCATCTAGTAGGATTCATCCCGCTGATGGAAACAATTAAGCAGATCCAATGAACAGAATATAAAAAAGAGAGACAAAGCTGCAAGGCAGCATGTTACACTGCAACAGCTGTTCAAATTAGTGTGGGAAATTCGTGGAGATTATGGAGATTATTTCACTGTCATATTTTACTTGAAACACTAAGGAAGTAAACGATTCCCTGTGCAGAGTGGAGGCAAACAAGGGAAAATAATGTTACTGGTAAAATAATTTTTACCCTTGAGCTCTTCATAAACTGACTTGATTGAGCATAAATTCATTGATTGTAGAGTTCTGGCTGATGTCCATGTTAGTGTAATGTGAATGACAGCAATTAAATATTTTAGTAGCGCCTTTCAAGTCGGGAAGGCATTTTAAAGTGCTTCATAGGGGCCAACAAGGGTGCTTTATGCCTATTCAACTTTGGAATGAATCTCGCCAAAGTTGTTAGGCTACCCTAGGGAGGATTTCTCACTGTAATGGGATTTAGCAACCCATTTTCAGCATTAACATATCTGTGAGGCAAATGGCACAAATTGTAATTGTTCACAGATTGCATGCTTAGGATGCGATATATCATGGGTACCAGTGCATTAATTAAAGAGCTAGATGATACTTTAGTGATTTGTGCTTCACAAACATTAAATTGCTACAGTGTTGCTGTTGTACCGCTGGGTTTGGTGAATCCAAACAATACATTTAATTCAAAATTAGAGAATGCAAGCTTTTTTCGCCCCAATACAGTGGTGGTCACTGGACTACATATGAAATAACATCAGGAAACCTTGATTAGAAGTTTTAGAAGAAGTTTGCTCTGACGAGGAACAAGATTCCAATTTATATAAATCAGTATAAACCACTAGCTCCCATGGGTCTGGAGCCATTGAAATTCCATCTGTTAGATGCATCTGGATAGAGTTGAATAATGCTGCGTTGATATCTTTCAGTTTTGCTTGACTATCTTTAGTGGTGAGTGAATTTTCTGTTTCTGTGTTTTTTACCTGACTGAGGAGATTAAGCATGTTTTTATGCAGTGTTTGTCCTCCGCTGAAGTCAATGTCAAGTTGTGCAATGCTCTGACATCTGCAGCAATAACAACAAGATTACATTTGTAAAGAGCCTTTCACGTCGGGAGGACGTCCCAAGGCGTTGGACAGAGTACAGAGGAGGAAGAAAAAAGTTCTAGGTGGCAAATATTCTGAGAATTTGCTTGTATAATACTATTCAATTCTTTGATTCAGTCAGTATTTCGGAACATATAAATACAAGTTGTTGGTGTATGGAAGAGGAGTTTGATTGGTGTAAGTTTAGAAAGAAAGTAATTTTCTCTGACTAATTTGCTAGAAAAATAGTCAATGCACTTAACAGTTATTACTGTAAGTGAGATATTTAAGATTTTTGACCAAAAGTACTATAAAAATGTAGGTTATTTCTCTTTCGGCATTTGTTTTTTCTCTCACTTTTTTTACTCACTGGAATTTACAGTTTACAATATAATGAAATACTATGAAGAATGCAGTAAATTATCAAACTTGTTTAAATATATTATTTCCATTCACTTGGCCAATGTAGCATAATGAAACTGGAACACTTGTGCTTTAAATTTGGCTTTTTTATTTTTTTCATGCAGGACCTCACTGTTTTATTGTACCCATTCGAGATCAGGCTGGCAAAGTATACCCGGGAGTTACTGCAGTTGACATGAGGCACAAAGAGGGTGAGTTGCTGAAATAATCTTTGAATTTGATATATTCACATTGGTAGGAAGTCTCTAAGCACTCCTCAGGATTTTACTGTGGAGTGTAGTATCTGTATATTTTTGTACGCAGGAAAACGTGGAAGCCGACTTGCACACAGCATTGTCCCACGAACAGCCATGAAGTGAATGACCAATTTTGTTTGGGGGATTATTGGCCAGGTGAAACTCTATTCTCTTTTTGAGTAGTGCTATGGGATCTTTAATCTGAACAGGCAGACGGGACCTCGGTTTAATGTCTCATCCAAAGATGCAGTACGCCCCAGCACTGCATTGGAGTGTCGGCCTAGACTATTTGAGTTCAAAATCCAGACTCGGCTGACACAAATTGAGGTAGACACAAGCGGTTAAGGCTAGACATAGCTGTGTCATCTGTAACAGTTCCTGGTTAGGTTTGGAAGCAAGGATTCAAAAACATGAGTAGGCTGTTTGTCCTGTAAAACCTGTTTCAGCATTTTATAATTTTATATCTGCTCCTTGTCTTCTTATCACTATGGCATAATCTGGTCATCATTTCACTGCAAAAGTCACACAGGAGTTACTTTTTTTTCCTCCCATCAGCACCTCCACAACTCAGGCGCTGGCAGCATCACCATCCAAGGATGCACACTCCACCTTACTAAGCCAGTCCGGAACCTTGGCGTGTTGTTTGACCCTCAACTATCCTTTCTACCCTTTCTAGTGGTTAGAGCACTCGCTTTGCAAGCGAGAGACCTGAGTTCAATTCCAGGCAGGGTGAAACCTTGGGCAAGTTTCCTTACTCCACACAGAGCCTAATAATAATCCCTCCAAAAAACAAAAACAATAATAAATTGGTCATTTTCAATCTATGACTGTTTGTGGGACATTGCTGTGCGCAATTGGCTGCCGCGTTCGCCCACAAATATACAGTCAACTCACTTTACAGCATATTCTGTGAAGCGCTTTGGGACGTCCTCCCGACGTGAAAAGCGCTATATCAAATGCAAGGATTATTATTATTATTATTATTACCCCACATCTGTGCCATGACCCGCTCTGCCTTTCCCCACCTCTGCAACATCACCCGGCTCACTGTCTCACACTGCAGGCTGCCGAGACCCTCATACACACATTCCTATTATCCAGGCTTGACTATGCAAATTCCCTGCTTGTGGGCCTCCCCAACTCCTCCCTTCATTGGCTGCAGATCATCCAGAGCTCTCCAGCCCATGTCCTCTCCTGCACCAGATTCTACAACCCTATCACCTCCATCCTCACCTGACTCCACTGGCTTCTCATCACACAGAGGATACAGTTCAAGATCCTGGTCCTCACCTTCAGAGCCCTTATGGCCTTGCTTCCCCCAACCGTCTGTGACCCCCTATCATCCTGGAGTCCTGTAGCTCAGTGGTTAGAGCACTCGCTTTGCAAGCGAGAGACCTGAGTTCAATTCCAGGCAGGGCGAAACCTTGGGCAAGTTTCCTTACTCCATGCGCCTAATAATAATCCCTCCAAAAAATAAAACAATAATAAATTGGTCATTTTCAATCCACGACTGTTTGTGGGACATTGCTGTGCACAATTGGCTGCTGCGTTTCGCCCACAAGTGTGCAGTCAATTCACTTTACAGTATATTCTGTGAAGCGCTTTGAGACGTCTAGAAGACATGAAAAGCACTATATCAAATGCAAGGATTATTATTATTATCCTGCTCGCTCCCTCCACTACAGTATGAAATGATTTATAGGTAAGTGTGAGGATCTTGAAATTGATTTGTTGTGCGACAGTGGAGCACTGTGAAGATGGGGTGTGGAGTTTGAACTGGTGAGGACACAGATGGCGGAATTCATTTTGAAATAGTTGGACTTTGTGAATGGTGGAGCTGGAGAGACCATTGAGAAGTGTGAATGGGATGAGGGTGGTGTCAAGTCCACAGCCTCACCCAGCCCCGTCCTCCCCATTTTTATTCCTTTGAGATTGGTCAGTTCAAATGGAACAGGTGACCCATCCCAATCTTGCCTCTGCTGTTTTGAGATGAATGGTGTCTTGCTGTATCATGCTGTCCTTGACTGAGAATGGATATAATCATCCTGAATAATCATTCAGTTTCAGGCCTCGCCTGACACTGACCAATCAGGCTTGTAGTTGGCATTGGGTGACTCATCAAGTCGCACTCGGGGCTGTGTGTGTTTTTTAAAAAGATATGTAATTTAAGATTTATTGCATTGTTGGTGGTTGGGTATAAATGTTCAGATTACTTTACAGCCCATTCATCATTAAGATTTCCACACTGCAGAGTGTCGCTAATCTGTTTGTCTTTTCCTCCTCAAGGTCTAAATGGAGTCGATAATGGAATTTTATTTTTCGACAGCGTTCGAATTCCAAAGGAGAATCTACTGAACAAGTTTGTATTTTATTTCCTCAAAAAGCACGGCAACTTTTTCGGTCAGTTGTATTCTTTTATCGGGGAGAGAAAAAAAAACTATTTTGGAGATATCTCAACAACCCAACAGAATTCATTAAAAGAAAAAACTTGGACGGGGAAGAACTACTTTATTTAAAAACACGCTAATCTTTCCTACTTTTCCTATCTACTCTGCTTTTCATGTTTTTGTTTTCGGCTCCTGGAGACCCACTTCTCTGTTTGCCCCCTGCTGAGTGGCTCCAGTCATTGATTGAGTGTGGGGTACAGGGTCACTTCACATGCTTCGTTGACCTAGCTGCTCCATTAACTTTTAGTGCTTGAACACCAATAACTGCAGCGCAAGAATTAGAGATACAAAAAATACAATAATAATCTTTATATTTGACATAGCACCTATCGCGTTGGGAGTATGTCTCAAAGAGCTTCATAGGATACACTAGAAAGTGTAGTCACTGTGTAATTTGTAGATAGACAATGGGCAGAACAATGTCCCACAAACAGTAATAAATCGACTAACCAATTTTATTTGAAAGATGGTTACCCAGGACACCAGGAAAAATACCCTTTTCAAATACTGCAATGGGATCTTTAACATTCACCTGACTAGGCAGGCGGGACCTCAGTTTAACAGCTCAGTTGAATGATAACAACAACAACTTGGATTTATATAGCGCCCTCTACGCTGGAAGGCGTCTCAGAGCGCTTCACAGTAACGGATCCCGGGGCCGAGTCAGAGGGATGGGGGGAAGGTGACCAAAGGCGCAGTCGAAAAGGAAGGTCTTCAGCCGAGACCTAAAAATGGGGAGGGGGAAAGGCGAAGGGAGTGAGGAAGAGAATTCCAGAGCCTCGGGGCATAGTGGCTGAAGGCACGGCCTCCGATGGTGGAGCGGAGGACTCGGGGGACAAGGAGGAGGCCAGACCCGGTGGAGAGAAGGCAACGGGCACTGTTGTGAGGAGAGCGGAGGTCATAGAGGTAGGGGGTGCAGAGGAGTGGAGGGATTTGAAAACAAGAGTGAGGATCTTGAAGTCGATCCTCTCTGGGACAGGCAGCCAGAGCAGTCTGGCAAGGACTGGGGTAATCGGGGAGCGGAGTTTGGTGCGGGTAAGAATGTGGGCGGCAGAGTTTTGTATGACTTGGATTTTATGAATGATAGTGGAGGGTAGACCGGCGAGGAGGGCATTTGAATAGTCCAGCCGAGAGGTGACAAAGGCATGGACCAGGGTTTCAGCGGCTTTTGGAGTGAAGTATTGGCAGAGATGGGCGATGCGTCGGAAGTGGAAGAAAGTGGTGCTGGTCAGGGATCGGATGTGGGGGAGGAAGGAGAGTTGGGGGTCGAAACTGACGCCTAGGTTGCTTACGGGTTCGGAGAGTTTTAGGGAGAGGCCGTGTGATTTTGGCCGATGACAAGAGCCAAAGAGTATGGCTTCCGTCTTGTCAACATTTAGCTGAAGGAAATTCGCGCCCATCCAGCTCCTGAGGGCTGACAGGTAGGCTGACAGAACATCAGGGGACTGGGGGGTCGCAAAGTGAAGTGGAAAAATAGAGTTGGGTGTCATCCTCGTACATGTGGAAGTGTACCCCATGTCTGGATGACATCCCTAAGATGGAGCATATAGAATGACGGCGCCTACAACAATGCAGCACTGCATTGGAGTGTCAACCTAATCTGTGAATTCAAAATCTTGACAAGGAGCTTGAACCCATAACTTCCTGATTTGGAGGCGAAAGCGCTACTAGCTAAGCCCAGTGGGCACACAGATCCTCCTACCATTGGTAGATCTTCCGCAGAGTAATATCACAAATGAAGGAGTAACTGAGCATCCTTATCTCTCGTTGAGTCTGATCCAGGCTGTACATTAGTTGTGAATTGTATTCCTAGCATTATTTCACAGAGCAGAAAATTTAGAAATAGAAATTTACAGCAGAGAAGAAAGCCATTCGGCCCATTGTGTCTGCTGGCTCTTTTAAAGGGCAATCCTTTCAATCACATTTAGCTGCACTTTTCCCATAGCCCTGTAGTTTACTCCTTTTTAGATACTTATTTAGTTCCCCTTTTGAAGACAAATATAGAGTCTGCGCCAACCACGGCTCCCTGCAGGGCATTCCATATCCTAACTACTCTGCGTGAAAACATTTCTCGTGACTTCCCCATTTTCTAATTTGCTAACTATCTTGAATTGATGCCCCTTAAGTTGATACCTTCCAATCAGTGACTCAGTGATCAGTGGAAATAATATCTCCCTATTGACGATCAAAACCCTTCATAATTCTAAAGACCTCTATCAGGTTGCCTCTCAACCATCATTGTTCCAGCGGAAAAAATCCCAGTTCCTTCAGGCTCTGCTTATAGACCAAACCATTCATCCCTGGTATCATCCTGGTAAATATCCTCTCCAGCCCCTCTATCATCTTGACCTCTTTCCAAAATTGAGGTGACCAAAATTGAACACAATATTCAATCTGTGGTCTAACTAACAATTTATACAAGTTTAGTACTACCTCTTGTTTTATATTTTATACCCATATTTACAAAACCTAGGATTCCATTTGCTTTATGGACAGCTTTGTCCATCTACCTTTTAAGGATTTATGTACAATAACCCCTAAGTCCATCTATTCTTGCATTCCTTTTAAAATATTACCACCCAACATAATTGCTCCTTATGTTTTCTCCCAAAATATATAATCTCATTTGTCCACATTAAATTTAATTTACCATTTATCTGACCAATCAATTAATCTGTCTATGTCTCACTAAAATTACTTACAATCTTCTTCAATGTTAGCTACATTTCCTATTTTTGTGTTATCTGCTAACTTAGAAATCGTCTTATACAGGAATACGGATCATTTGTATAAATGGAGAAAAGCAATGGTCCTAATACTTTCCATCTGTCCATTCTGAATAACATCTATTCTTGGTTATTTCATCAAAGAACGTTTGCTGTGCATATTAGTACAATCTTGTTTCAAATGCCAAAAAGTTAAAACATTTTGTTTCACAGATCTAAATAATTGATTTTTTTTAGTAAATTGCTATTATTTTATAAAATTAAAATAAGAAATGCCAGGGTTTCTCAATACCTCCTCATCACTGCTTCAGATTGTTTATTTCTGTATGAAAAGGGTTGTAATTATAAAGCTATAAATGGTTTTGCTGCATTATACTTTGGAGTTTGAGGGCTTTCTCCTTTAGATCAGTGAAACCTCGAAGCTCTATATTCAATTTCAGCAAGAACCAAACAAATTGCAAACAGAGGACTTGATGTCTATTTGGTCATCTGTGATGTTAAATTGTACCTCTGGGGAGGAGCAAGCTTTGAAGCTTTGAAATTTGACTTGTCAGCGCTATGGGATGAATGTAGCATTGTTAAATTCCTAATAAGTCCTTTCCTTTAAGATTTGTAAACGTTTTGGCACTGCCTATGTGTGGAAATTATACCAGATGTGAAGATATGTTTGATTTCTTCATACAGATTTGGCTCAGTATCTCAACATGGAGTTTATGAGTCGCCCATTAAAGACAAAACTGCTCGTTTTAATGCTATGTTAGCAGCTCTTACCCCAACGAGAATTGCCTTAGTATTTCAAGCCGTGGCTGCTATGAAGGTAAATGCAATTTCTTACCATTTCTTTTGATTAGCAAGAATAATAGAAATTAAGTGGAAGGCTTGTGAAGTGTTTAATGCTGTTCATGGGAAGTTGGCAGAACAGTTACTCATCCAGGTTTACAGTATTGATGCTAATGCGCACTATCGGAATCCATATGCCCTTAATTTGTGAACTGCGCTTTGTGCTTGAGTAATGTCATTCACAGAAATTATAATAGTGATTTGTGAGTTTCTAGGAAGAAAGTGCAGTTTTTGGACATGTTTAACTGGTCCATTGGAACTTTGCTTGCATGTCGATCTCCCGCCAGTAGTCTCCTTCGGCCAAATTCCAATTTCATGGAAGTGTGGCAGCCTGATTCAGTTGTTAGCACTCTGGCCTCTGAGTCAGAAGGTTGTAAGTTCAAGGCCTCCACGTTCTGGTTAATGTAGAGGCACTTTGAGCTCATAATCTAGGCCAGGGTGGTCCAGCTGGAAGCCTGAGCCCCCCCACTTCCCCCACACCCCTCCATTTCATCTGGCCCCCCCACCCGCTCTTTCCACAACCTGTAAATGTTATGTTTCTGGAAGGGAAACACAAAAATATTGCTTATGCGGCCCATGGACGTTTCCCAAATAATGCATCCAGCCCTCAGCAGCCAAAAGGTTGAACCACCATTGTCTAGGCTGACATTGTGCAGTACTGGGAGGAATGCTGCATTGTTGGAGGTGTTGTCCTTGGGATGATTCGTAAGATCAAGATCTTGTCTGTCTGTTCAGGTGGAAGTTAAAAATCCCATGACACTATTCGAAAACAGAAGGGAGTTTCTCCTGGTGTCCTGGCCGACAATCCTCCAGATAAAATTGCTCATTTACTGTATGGCTGTTTGTGGGATAATCCATTTGGTCAAATAATAATAATAATCCTTGCATTTGATGTAGTGCCTTATCGTCTACAAAACGTTTCAAAGCACTTCACGGAATATACTGTAAAGTGAGTTGACTGTATATTTTGTGGGTGAAACGCAGCAGCCAATTGCGCATAGCAGTGTTCCACAAACAGTTGTGGGTGAGTGACCATATTACTTTTATTATTTATTAATTTTTTTTGAAGGGTTTATTACCCCTGGAAAAGCGAAATAATGTAAACTTCTTGACAATTGAGTTTTGTTGTACAATGGTAGCAACAATTTCCCTGTCAACCTAAGCTCAATTATCTCTCCCTCACTTCTGCTTGTTTTTTTCAAAATCTTTTACCAGCAAACACTCTTTAATGGGTAGGAAAGAAATTACTTTTTTTAAAAAATATGTTGTCACTCAGTCCACAGCTGGCTTACTGGATAGCGATCATTAAGAAGCAGCCCTGACTGAATTATTCAGTACAAATTTACATGTATATAACGCCGTTCATGTCAGGAGGATATCCAAGATGCTGGATGGTCCAGGGATTACGTCTGAGCTGGGGGTTCCTTTCTACACACCATCCATTGCTTCCTCGTCACAATAAGACCATTTGGAGCACTTCAGCTGAGATCAGCTAGTTCAGTACAGGGGAAACCAATGCTTGAACCCCCTAGTCTGTTTGGCTTAGTGCTACATTGGATAGTGCCTTTCACTCACTGAACCACCGCGGATTCCAGGACACTTATTTTTTGTTGTAATGTTTTTAAGAAAAAAATTGCCAAGGAATTTGGAATCCTTTGGGTTGTTTTTTTTTAAAAAAAGCGATTATTGGTGGTTGGCACACTGTTTCGGAAGTCTTGGTCTGATTGAAGTGTTGCAGTGCACTACAAAACCAAGCTCGTGTATTGGTGATAGACAAAAATGTTGTTCTGCATTAAAACAACTTGGAGGTTTGAATGGTTTAAGGTCTGCTGTGCTATTCCTAGCTGCAAACTGCTGCATTGCGGTGTGATTGAAGGAGTTTGCGCTGTGTACTGAGATGCGTGAGGGAAGACATCTGTTTATGTTTAAAGTGAGATTGAGAAAAAGATAAAGGGAGAAAATGATCAGCACAAAACATTCATCCTGAGAAAGCTGTAGAGCAGGTAGATGAGAAAGAGGCCAGTTTAAATATTACAACAAGAAAGAAATTAAGCAGAATTTTCTTAAGAAAACATTTTCTGAGATGGAGCAGTTAGTAAGCCAAGTAATTTGCATGTGTTGAGCGGGTATTCTATACAATTGAGTGGATAGAATTTTGACTACTGCTGGAGATGTGATGCAACACAATGTGAACCTAATGCCCTTTGTATGTGGAGATCAGATCAGATTAGATCAAAAACTGCCCCCAATCTAAAGTCTTACTCTTCCCAAACTGCAGGGACTGAACTGCTGCTGACGTAAACCAGACATGTATCAGATACTGGTTTCATGCTGTCACTTTGACCTTAAACCCAGTGTAAAGTGTAATGAAGCTTAAATATCATGCATGCGTTGTGGGGTGCACGTATTTGTTCATTACAATCCAACACCTACAGAGTGAAGCTTTCATTCTTTTTTTTATTAAATTGGTATTATGCAACAGGGTGTTGCGTAGACATTGTAAACAACTACATATACTATTGTTCAAAATTCAGATTAAGGATGCAAAAGGAATTTTGAGCTTTTTTTCCCAAATGGACACATAGTTATTGCCAAGCCCCGGAGATTGGTGTTTATCTCTTTAACCTGCACAATGATGGGAACAATAATTAATAACAAACAATACACAAATTGTTTCGTGTGGCACTGCTGTTTTTGTATTGATCCACAAGAGGGTAGCAGAGGTTTTCCCTTGAACATGTATTGCTTTCTCTAAACTTTGCTGAGGACAAATTACACTGAGGAGAAAAATAATCTTTGTAAATTGTGATGCAATTGATTTCCTCATAGTATGTGGATAGTGGCACTGTGTGGACTTCCTACAAATATTTGAAGCTGTTTGTCATTTTTCTTTGCTGCTGATAGCAGTCTAATGTACCAGTTGCTTCCTATGCTTAGACCTCCCCACATTGTTCACTGTGGTTTCTCTGATTTGCTTATGCATTCAGTGGATTCGGAGACCTTTTTATAGACCTTCTTATAAAGTGTCCTGCTAGAGGAAATGTTTGTGTGTACTTGAACTTTCTCTCTCTCCCCTTAAATATCAGAATCAGATTTACTGTTTGTAATTTTGCAGACTAGGATATTTTATTTATGAAACGTGGAATGAACAGAGCAGTAATTATAAGTAGAAAAAGATTGGAATGATAGAAACACAAAGCCTCTTGCCTCTGCCAATGTTTTTTTTCTGTTTGATGAATGGTTGGATTGGCGACTGATATGGCTGCTGTAAACTATGCTGTGTAGTTGATTCTTTCACTGATAAAGAACAGAGACAAAAGTTTGATTAAGTTTTTTAGGCACAGATGTCGATGACCTGGTAAATACTTACACTTGAATTGTTGGAAATTTTTTTGACATTTGGTCATTTTCTCTTTAAATAGATTTTAACTTATCAATTGGGATTTGTGTGTTTGACTAGTCTTGAAATAATGATTTGTGGGTAATAGAGTTGTATCAAATGCAAGAACTATAATTATTACTGTTATAGTATTACCTGGCTTTGAGCACCACGCCAAAGGAGAACAGAAACTGAGGAAGCACCTATCCAACATTGGATCCAGAATGATTATCAGTAAATAGTGTTTCACCAATAAATAAACCACTGATCAATAGCAATCAGAAGTGGGTTCCATATTCCTGGTTCAGCAAGTTTTATTTTTACTAAAGCTTTGTCAATGAGTCATCTATCTGTCAATACCATTTCTGAAATCATTTTTTTGAGCACTTAACTCGCAAGTGAGAGGACCTGGATTTGACTCCTGGCAGGGCAAAACATTTGGACACATTTCCTTACTGCACACGCCTCTGTTTACCTAGCAATAAGTAGTAAACCGGTTGTTAGATAATTGGTGGATTGCTTTTCCAGGGGTAATAATTCCTTCAGAAATTTGATCACTCAATCCACGACTGTTTGTGACACACTGCTGTGTGCAATTGGCCATGTTAGGAGGTGACTTAATTGTTACAGTTCAGTGGCATAAGCAGAATACACAATGTGTGGCATCAGATGTGTGCCAAGTATCTATTGGGTTCAAACCAATTGGGGGGAGGTGATAAGCAATTGCATAATTGAGTGTCACTGAAGAACTACATATCTCATGCTGGCTAACGGAAGATTGTCAGAAACTGAGACTAGTGTCTAATTGCTGATGTTTGCAAGAAGAGGTGGGAAGCACTAATGTGAGCCTCCTTAGATCACAGCAATTTCCAAAAGCTGACAAAGGGTAAAAAAAAATCCAGAGAACTCAACATCAGCTATCCTATCAGGGAAATAGGTAAGCAAGATATGTCCCTACAGGGAGAGAGTGTGCATTCTATTCCAATAAATATCTCTGGAATTTCTGTGTGTAGGTGGGATCCATGGAACTCCATATGGTTTGGATTCTCTTAAGCATGGTGATGGATTTTGGCATATGTCAGACACCCGGTCTACCAAAGAAAATCCCAACAAATATCCGGTTCACTCGCTAACCACTTCATTTTGTTAAAAATGACCAAACCGCCCCTCTCCCTCCCAATCTGGACTCAGGTCGACCACAGAGATTAAATTAGCACTTCCCTTTCCTGAATGTTGCACACTTGACTCCTTTATTATATGTATTTGTGCAACATGAGTGATGACTGGTGGTAACTGAAGAGATGTACGTATCTCTAGCCATCTGCTTGAATGTGGTTTTACAGGACTCTGCAAAGATCAGTGGAACTGTATTAATGTAAAATGTAGACTCTTTTCTCTTCTGCCCCCCCACAGTCAAATAGCAATGCTTCTAGTATACATGTATTGATGGAATGTTTCAGACACCTTGGATCTCTCAAATCCATTGTGCATTCAACTTCATTTTGATTTAGATTAAAGTAAAATATGTTTCAGAAATTGGATTAAGACGTTCACTGGCTGTTTGTGGGATCTTGTTGTGGACAATGGCTGCTAGTTTTCTGTGCAGATATCAGTCACGGAACTTGATTATCATTACTGTGAAGGGCTTTGAGATGTTTCAAAGTATGATAAAAATGCATGTTCTTTCTTAAACAATATGTAATAACTGTGTAATACTGTGTCTTCCACTTTTTTAGCTTGGATTGACAATTGCCATCCGCTACAGTTACAGGTAAATGCATTGTTTTGTTTTTTAAAAAAAAGGTTTTGTTCAGATGGAAAGAAATTAGATTTCTTGCATTTGTGGTTTGTTCTGGAGACTAAAGGGGAAGTATAAATTGAGCTTGTTGATTCCTTCCTCCCATGTCTTGCCTTAACCATGATTCAACATAATGGCCTTCATTCTCATTGCAAGCAATATATTTCCATGACCTGACAAAGCACAGGTCTCTGTCTGCAGGTTCAGAAACCACTGTGGCTAATTACTTGGTATCCCCAGAAATCCCCAGCAAATATTGCGTAGCTCCACATGCACCCCCTCCGCCACCTACACAAGAAACAGCTACTTCCTCGTGGGTGGTTGTGTAAGCCCACAAGAACTGAATATGCATCTTACAGAAAGCTATGATTTTTTTTTCCTAATGCACAAGTTTGGCATGTTTATATCAGAGAAAATGAGAAGGCGTACATTTCAGTAAATGGTTCCTAAAGGGGGTTTCCAGTTTTAAGGGAGAGGAATTGTCTAAAGAAGGAGTGGTGGTGGGGTTGGGGTGCTACATAGCCGTACTGAAGTGTCAGAATGCTTTTATTATTGGTTGCATTTCAAGCTTTACAACTTTTTTGTTTGTTGCATAGGAAGTTTATCAATGGATGCTTCTCACACATATTACAAGAAATCTGTATTACTAAATGTTATTGAGATCTCAGGTTGGCAGGGCATTTTAAATGCTTATTTATTTAAATGCTTTATTTTTTAATATATCCTAACGTTTGCAGAGCATACAAGGAGTATAGCTAACAATGAGGATCACAATAAGCAATTTCAAGAGGATTAGACAGCAAGATTGCAGGTGAAATTTAATTCATAAAACTGTGTGGTTGTATGTTTTAACTGAGAGGGTTGAAATTTGGTATAGAAACATAGTCTAGACAGTGTTGCTGGGAAATCATTAGTTCCAAAACGTTAGGAATATTGTGGTTTGTGAGCATTCGTCTTTGAAAGGTGTTTTGGCAGCACCACAGGCAATCAGAAGTCGCTGTCAGATGGAGGCTCTGTGGCCTGGTTAACAAGCACAATGAGTTGAGAATCGCATGCTGGATGGCTCGGCTGTAGATCTGCACCCATTTCAGTGGGAAATTGTGCCGCGCAAATGGATTAAATTTGTGAAACCAAGAGAGGGCCAGAGCATCCGTCATGCAGGACTTAGCGCTGCAACATGTGATGGGCCCTCGGGCCCAACCTGTTATAATTTTTTGTGAAGCTCGCTACCGGCATTGCACAAGAGGGCTACAGTCTGGTTCCAGGTCACCCATCAGCATGGTCATTGGTGGCAGCCCCGGTGAGATGTGCAACTAATAACAACAACAACAACATGGGTTTATATAGCACCCTTCACGCCGATGTTGGAACAGATGAAGGCGAGTACCAAGGTAATATCAATAGAACCCAATGTTGTGGAAGGTGCCCCTTTGCATTGCATGGCTTCCAGAAATGAGGGCCATCACAATGCAGAAATGTATGAACATGTACATTTGCTTCTCAGTGCACGATTGTTGAAACCAGGAGGCGTAGGGAGACTGGTAGGCCTGTACTTGAACCCTTATTGACCATGGCGAACGCAATCCTGGCTCTTTTTATCATCCCTGAGGGCAACAGGCAGTTTGAGGCAGGAAGGCTCCTGCCGCTACCAGGTATTGTGTTAATGATGTGCATGCATTTATAACTCCACAAAAGCAGTCTTTTTTTCTGGTCTGCCTCTTACAAAGTTTAATCAGGAATTCTGTTTTGTTAACAAAACTTACACATGTGCTTTTTACTTGTCTTCCAGAGCTTCCACCATCCCTGCACCCACCCCTCCATTAACTGACCCTCCACCCATCGCTCCATTCACCCTTCCAGTTTTCCTGCCAACAGCCCACCCAGTAGCCAAACCAGCACAGGAAGCTTGGATGTGATATTGGACCTGGATATCAATGACATTCTTCCCTTGATGGTGGAGGAGGAAGCTGAAGTGAAAGAGCAACAAGAAGGGTGATGATGACATCCTTCTCTCTGTCAGAGCTCCTGGTCCTCCATGACAGTCACAACACTACATCACGCACCACATTTGCATAGAGCCGTGTAGATCAAGGCACCTCACAGGACTGCGTGAAGGGCATTATATAAGTGCAAGTTATTGTTGAAAGAAGGCCGAAAATACCTCTGCACAGCAAGGCAACTTCAAAGCTGATGTCTCGAGATGCAGCAGCAACTTGTGCCTGGATGAGTGGAGTCGTGAAGTGGCAAGGCCATGGATCTCCACCCATTCACTCTGGGGGCACATACTGGATGTTCGGGGCCCCACTCACTTTTCTTCTCACACAAGTATCGGATACACCGAGTCAGACCAGTCAGCACATAGGAAGTCAACAATTAGAAGCTAGGAAGAGGAAACACACAGCATAGCACACTGATGGTAGGCATATTGGTAGGGTTGTAAATTACATAGCTTTTTTTACCTCGTGTCAATAAATATTTGAGCACCCTCAAAATTGTAGCCCTCAGATATGTTTTTTCAAGTTTGTGCTTCTTCCAGATTTTTTTCTGCCAAGTTCTGTGGGCTCCTCGGCCCGCAGACCTGTAACGTACATTGTTTGAAAGATCCACGTGTAATGTACTGTGCATATGTAATTGTGAAAATGATCCAATTTCCTACATTGAGACAATCTGCTCAGAACAGGTGGATACATACAGCACTTTCCATGTGTTAGAGTTAGACAATACAGCTATATCTCAAAAGAAAGCCCCAATCATCCCATGGAAATATAGTCTCCCTTTCTTAAATGGCTGCCCAACTAACCAATCTAAATTTACAGTTTCTATGTAGTCCATGCAATCTCAACCCCAAGAAAAGGCAACAGATGCTAAATAGTAACATTTTAAAGAATAGAAGAGCATAAAGACCGAGAGGTTAACGTACATAATTGTTTAAAGCTGGGAAGGCAGGTGGACAAAGCTCTGTGAAGAAAGCTGAGATCTTAGTTTTTATAAATCGGGGCATACAATGTAAAACCAAAGAGGTGATGCTTATCTTATACAGTGGAACCTTGATATTAGCTACCCTTTTGTAATGTTTTTTTCGCTTATATGCCAGATGACCTATTATGACCTGTTGGCTTGAGGTCTCAGACTGGCCAGCTTCCTCCTCACTTAAAGGTGTCCAACTTCCCCGGTCACTAGGGCATCAATATCGTTTTCTGCAGGCAATCACGCCCCATTATAAGACTGGTTAGAATTTTGTGAACTCTAACTATGATAGTGCTGAGGTGAGTGGTTTAACGTGCTGAAACAGGGTTTGTTTTGACTGGAACAAGGAGGTTGAGTTGAGACCTGATTGAGGGGGTTTGATGTACAGAAAACTCCTGATAACTCAACCCAGGCTTAACTTGCCTCTACCACTTAAGTCATCGTACTGTCAATATTCCGGCCAATATTCCGACATTTATTTATGTAATTATACATATGCCTAACTCGCCACTCCAGATAACTTGTCACTGAGCCCTTTTCCCTTGGAGTGATGAGTTACCAGGAGTTTACTGGGAGAATTGGGAGAACGAACGTGTTTCTACTGGTCAGGGAGTCAGTGACTTGAGGTTATTGATTTATGGGAATTAGGAAAGAGAAATCTGAAAGAATATTTTTACCATGAGAGTTATTAGGATGTGGAATACTTGGCCGGGTGTGGTAGTCAGGGCAGAATCCATATTAACTTTCAAGATGGAACCACAGGTTCAATACAAAAAGAAGGAGTAATTTGTAGGGATATGGGTGGGGGGTGAATAGACATGTTCTCATTTCCTGCGAACTGCAGTAATAGCAGGAAGGGTTCTCTTAGATGGACCAGTGTACTGTGATATTTGCCAGTGCTAATATGAACCAGTGCTGCTAAGATATCATTTTTTTGAACAACTGGACAATGTACAAATTATTCTGTCCCACACACTCTTTATCGACAAAGTTCTGCCCGAGGCATTGAACGGTGATGGTGCTTCCTCCGATTGTGATAGACATTCTTGCTGTGAGATCAAACTGATAGTTGGTTTAGACAAATTTGAAATATATTTTGTGAATTGTGGATGCTTTTTGTTTTAACAAAATATACAAGAATTACCTTAGAACCAGATGGAGTCGTGAATTAATTCTAGATTATTAAAAAAAAGTGTTTTAAGACCGAGAAATTTCCATATTCTCTCCTGGTATTGGTTTTGTAATGAACAGATTAGCCAGGAGTGAGAGGTGATAACTATCTCCTTGAGGGAGGCTGCCAGGATAGCTCAGAACTGCCTTCACACAAGCAAGTTATGGTCTGTCTCATGAATGCAGATAATTATCTTATCTTGCTGCTGCCCGTGACCCAGTCTGTTTACACCACATGTTAACAATACAGTGTTCTTGTTTTTGTGATTTCAGGACTTTGGAGATAGGGTGTTCTCAAACTGGTAGAAACAATTCTATTTTTACTGCTGCTGCTTACCAAACTGAGCAACTTCATTTACTTGGGCTCCAAAAATACAATTGCTTTTCAATTAAAACCTATCAGAAGGGCTATAAGAGACTATATGAACCAGCCAAGGGATTTGTTCTTCACAGTCCCCAGACACAGTTAATGTTACTATGTAACCTTACACTTTTTTGATCCAATTGTCTCCCTTTTTCTCCTGGTCCTGATGTTTCTGATTCATGTTGGGGGTTACAGTTAAGGTATCTTGACAATAGGTGCTTATGATGTACTTTTGGATGTTTAATCCAACTTTTTTTCTTTTTGTGTTTTCTGTTTTCCAAAACAAATTGACTCTGATCTCAGCCCACCTTTGGTACCTTGTATGTGATGTGGCATGTTAGTGCCTCAGTCCTCTGCACAATATCTGTATCACCTATAACCACAACAGTTGCACCTATTTAGTGTCCTTCACATAGAATAAAATCCAAGAACGCTTTACAGAGATGGTGGCAGAAACTGAGCAGAGGAGGTA